CCCCCCAACACGCCCCTCGCCCTTTCTTCGTATCAAGAGTGCACTTCATTCCATCAATCTGCTGAACAGATATTACATCTGTTAAATCCTTTAGCAAAGACGAAATCCCCACCATGGTTTCTAGAAATAAGTGCACCCTGATTTAATCTATTTCTAAAAAGTAAAAGTTGTGATTAACAGATTGATCTGTATCTTAGACATATAGTTCATTCTGTTTTCATTTGATTTTTCTTTTTCTCATGATAGATTCAGACGTTGTTTTTGAAGTCGACTCCCAGTTCCAATAGTTTCCCAAAAGCAGCTGCAAAATTCTTGCTAAAGAGATTTGTATCGTTGGCATATTCTACCACATATTTTTTAAATTCGGGATCTTGAATCAGCGCCATATCAGTTGGTAACATCAGGAAAGATTGTGTCCTCACATCTTCGAATTGTTTTGAACCATTCCAATGATGCTCTTGCCATTGTTCTCCTGATAGAAAACGGAAAAATTCATTTGAAAATGTGGTCGTTGTAGTCGTCCAATCTCCATCGTAACCGCTTCGATCAATATGACACCGACCCAAAGAATGAGCACCAATCAAAGCGACAATTTCACTATCATTAAAACCCATTCGATAGAAAATATCCCGGATATGTTGGGCCCCTTGAGAAGCATCCGGTAATCGACCATCAGGCGGTGATTTTTTCCCATCTGTATAGTCACTTCGCCCATATCGCCATTTGATGATCGGGCCCCCCATTTTTTCTATGGCCACGACCCCAGCCAGTGTGTACAAGTCTGCATGGGTTAAGCCTGGGTAAGCCTGATAAACACCTTCCAGGCGTTCTCGTGCTATGTTCAAGCCTGGAATGAGAAAGCGAACGAAACATTGTAGATGACTTTGATTTCTACACGCTTAAGAACATTTTTACTTTTCTGAAAAATCAAAGGACAGCAAGAATCCTAACTTTCAATATGATAAGATCTTGGCTAATAGAACAGAAGAAGTGATAAACTTGAAATGGCTATACTTTGTTGCGCTACCTATCCTGATCAGGCGCAGTAAGCATTGAAGCTAAAACTTTTTTTATGAGCTAGATACATTTTAACGAGAATATTTTTGTCACATTTCAAAAACATTGAAATAGATGTTAGCATATAAAAATCTTTTGAAATTCTTCCACAATACAATGGAGTACGACTTTGAGATTTTTTGTTTGATGAACCATTAAACGCTTTAGATTCTATCTGAAAAATTCCGGACCGAGTTTGAAATCCGATCCGTTACTGGTTTTCTTCTGTCATTTTGTGGGGGAGGGATATTTTTCACACAAAACATGTCGTTTGGAACCTAGAAGATTTATTTGTCGAATTTACATGTCAGTTTTGATGCAGCGTTTTTATTTCGTGCTTATTCAAATCAGACAAAAAACTCGATGAAATTACTTATTCTATATCTGTTAAGGCTACTTTTTTTGACTGGTCAGTGTTTAATCAAGAGGGTAAATGCTTGCACCTAGCATCGAAAAGTGCTGGGCAGGTGCTGAGCTACTAAGTAGGTGCCGATATGTCAGGTGCCAGCACTTACCCCCTTGTGTTTAATGCATTAATATGGAGAAATGCTCTGCTTTTCAAGTTAGAAGAATTTATGTAAGAAATCTTTTCAATCGAGTTATGGATCCTATCTTACCCAAGTAATCAAAAACTGAAGGGAGACTGCCGATGTGGCTAGCCAGAAATGTCCGCAGGATCCGTCTAGTCTAGTCTGAAACGTCTTGCATACTCGTCTGGTCTAGTCAGCTTAATGAGGAATGGCTTACATACACGTCTGTACTAGTCTGAAATGTCCTTGAGTCCAGTCATGTCTAGTCTGTGTTGTCTGTTGACCCAGTCCAGACTAGTCAGAATATTAAAAAAACAGGTTACACGGTGGGTTTGAACATCCAGCCGACATTGTTCGAAATATGACGGGCATCCTGACGACAGACTAGGACACTGAGATAGATTGTCGTAAGTATATATAGTCTAAACTTATATATTGACTCTCATCCATGCAAAGAAAATCAGAAATAAGTCGACGTAAACGGTATTGCTTAGTCTGAAATTTCTTCAACAGTTGTTAGGACTAGTCTAAAGCATCTGCTGGGCACCTCATGGCTAGTCTTTTTTAAGAAGTGTTTATTTCACTCAATGCTTATCGAACTTTTCCTAACTAGAAGGGCCAGCAAAAAGCCTGGTGTAATCAATAGTGCGGTCAAAAAGATGCAAGTTATTTCGGATATCCCTATCGTGATATATTTTATTTTATTTTGCATTAGCATATGCTAAACGTTTAAGAGTGTATCAAAACATAAAATAGTAGGGGTTAGTACTAAAAATAAAATTCATCTCGCATCAAGGAGTGGTAATTTATATATTTTTTTAAATGTGAGATGTATTAAATTTAAAAGAATTGTGAAGCATCTAAATCTTTTCATATAATTATATTATGTTAGTTTATTTTAAATATCAATTCTAATAATTTAAAATAAAACAAAGATAATTTATTTATTAGATGAATATACGGTGATTTAAATTTAAAACTAAACTAAAAAATAATATGAAAAAATTAGTTTATATTCCATACAAATATTTTTTAATTTTATACTCAAATTAACGTTTTTAAAACCAAACTATTTAATCGCACTTGCTTATAAATCAAAATATATTTGTCGAAAAAATTATAAAATTTTCTTAATTTATTTTGATTTAATGTTATCTAAAGTAATCGCGTCTCAGTAAAAGGTAATTTTTATTGATACATAAAATCAAAAACAGTTGGAATAAAAATTGTATTAAATAGCATCTTAGAATGATCATGAGTGTGTAGAATATGACTTCTCGATCGTATGACTCAATGGTTCTGGCGATGGGTAAGTGTCACATTGTATACATGTTCGAATGTAATTTTCATCCTTACATATTTCCATTCAGACTAGTTCAGACTCGTCCACTATATAAGGCTACAGCTGGTTGTATACTCGTCCCAGACGCCCTTAATTTTTCATTCATAAACCATTTTCGGATGGGCAACAGGGACACTAGTCACGACTACTCTTATTAGATTTTATGACTAGTCGCCAATCAGAGTACTAAGACACATATGCATGACAGTCAACAAGTCCGACTAGTCATGGACGAGTAGATTTTGAGATAAAGACTAGACAGGACGGGTCGACTTGACTAGAAAAAAGAGTAGTCATTTAACCAGTCTTTTGCTCACTTGGGTTGTTCTCATGAAAATTCTTTTATTGTATACCTGTATTAAAATCACTACAATTCCTGCTTTTAACCAAAAACAATGAGACCAAAAGCGTATCAGAAGGCCGATGAAAAATCTCTTTACGGGCGCAAAAATGCTTACCCTTATTGGCTCCCCAAACACTCTCGGGTTCAAAGCGCATGCATGCACCGTTGGAGCCACCGGTTGAATCCAAACGAGAATATGTGCCACTCGAATGCCAAGCCATTCGAACGAATAATGGGCCGTAGCTCCCATCATCATAGCTCTTGTCATTCAGTAGAGCACCAATAGATTTTCTTATTTCAGTATAGTTGACTTCTGATAAATAATAAATAGCAATTATTCGTAGTGATAAACATCATTACTTTTATTAATATTTATTAGTTCAATATTTGTCCTTATTTTACTACTGAATACAAAAATAAATGATTGAAAGTCACGACCATATCTTGACTTTGTTAATACGTCAAGAACTAAATGAGTCCAAGTGTCGCTTTTTTATAATGATAATCCTCAACATGCGCTATGAACCATGTGTTATATCACGGTTAAAGAAAGTAACGTTATAGCTTATGTAGTCCTTATGATTTGAATAATGCAACAATTTTTACTGGACTTTCTCATCACTTTTTTCAATTTTCTACTGTCTATCAGGTCTAACTCGGCATAAAAAGATCGTGCTAGATGATAGGTAGGTTTCAATGGTTACCACACTGTGGGTTTAGATGTAGAGAACCTTCACACTCATATCTACACCCTGTGAAATGTAATGATCGGTTATTGCAGCATGAACTATGACTTGCTTTTGAGTGCAAAAGGACAGCGTATCAAAAAATATACCTGACTTTTGTTTAGATCTTGATCCCAAAACAGCACCAACAGTAACTGCTACGATGAATATAGCAGTAAGTAAACCTATGAGACTGATAAATTTCTTCTTTTGATACCATTGACTTCTTGTAAATCTGATTAAAAGTCTCGGCAAAAGTGTAGATATATGAAGACGATGTTAGACTTACTTAACTTTTGGATAAAGATATGCATCTAAACATCGAAATACATTAATTCAAAATCAACGGTAAAAATGTTTAAACTACCTTTGAAAGGAAGCTCCAGTTGTTTGTCCTCTGGTATTATCTGTTTTAAGTGAATAATATGGAGATTGGGTATCGTACTCATTTGCGATTGAACGGCCACATGAGTGCCGGGGAAAAGAAGGATTTCGTCCTCTATGACAGAATGTGAATGAGCACTTATCATTCGGCCGTTAATGGCTTCAATGGACAGGAGAGTTCGTGTGTCCGCTGTATTCAAACGCATGTTGCTTTCGAGCGCAGTCATAGTTGATGTGCATGATGAAAACGCCCACCATTTCATTATGGTGCCGGGTAGAAACTTCGCGCTCGCATCTTGGTTTATCCCTCGCCAGACGATCTGCGATGGAAGGCATGGCAGTTTGACAAGAGCAGTCATGAGCAATTTGAGATATTTGAAATAGAATAGAAGCTCCTTTCGAACAGCAGTATTGAGCGCGTAATTGAGCATCGAATGGAGACTTTGATGTGGTGATTCCCATTCAATCGTGTAGAGACGAATTGAAGCGCTCTCGTCTATTGTCAGTCCGTTGGCTGGCTGCTTTGGAGTTTCATCCAATGCTAACTGAACGTAGAACGATACATTGTGAATGGTCCCAATGAGCGGAGCACATGCTTCATAGAGTGGCAGCAAAGGCTGGTCGGCATATCCTACCATATGACTTAATTCTTCTCTAATATAGCTGATAGTATTCGTATTAGTCAGGTTTAATTTCTCCATGGTAACTTCTAGGAATCGACAGCTTTTATTCATAGTATCGGGTGATGCGTTCTCAAAATCCTGTAATTCTACTGTCACTTGTCTTTGATCAAGTATTTCTTCTGTATTTGAGTCCAGACGTGCCATATCAAACATGTTCGATGAACCATTTTTGATCTCGGCGTATGTACTCAACATATTTCGTTCGTCATCCGTCTCTTCATTAGGGCGAGCGATTTCTGTTTTCTCTGGTGGAACGTATAATTTTTCTGCCGCTACTTTTCCCGTTTCATCATGACCGTCGATCATCTTCAGCTTTCTAGAGGAGTATTGATACTTAGAAACTAAAAATAAATTATTTTTGTCGTGATGAAAGTGAATAGTTATCAGCAAATAGGAGTTATTTAGAAATAAGCCAAAACTTTAGGGTGGGATTGGTTGAATAGATAATGAGAAGTACCACGCGGCACGAACACGACCATCCTTTCAGATATCCGTAGAGAAACCGATATTGACACCACGCCCGCAGGTGCATGCACAACGATATTTACAGTGGCACTCAAACTCGCAACCACGCCTCCCTACACTCACTCTGATGCATATATTTGATAATAGTATCAACTGAGATTGTAAATTAGTGCATTATACAGAAAGAGTTGAACACTTAGTCGAGACTCAAGCTAGTCACAGCAGTGAGCATTAATTGTTATTTACTACAATAAATATTGTGTCCGTATATTTTTCTTCGATTTATCTTGAGGGTGTGGGTGCTCTGTCAACGCATCCACATTCGAACGAAGTTTGAATGGTGTGAAGATGTTATTTCGCAAAATCTATGGTGATAAATAAGTCCGTCTGATGGCGATTGCTTCAAAACAATGGGGCCGACAGGAAGATTGCAAGGATTCGTACTCATTGGGGAATAAGTTCGATTCGAGTTGTATGTCCCTTTTTGAAGTCTTTTTCTAAGAAGGTTCTCTATTGGTAGGTTCCATTCAAATCAATATTGACTTCGACAAGTTAAGACTACATCACCACATGAAACATGTATATCTATAATTTACGAAAACACGGGTCTCTTGGTGAAAGTCTTTGTGTTCTGTATATTGACCTGATTATAAATAAATAGTTGATCCTAGGGTTGGAACAGATTTTGTCAGTAGTATATCAAGTAAGCTTCTGAATAAACGAGCGAAAAACTCAACATGAAGCATCTTATCACCGGAACGGTTTGTATTATCGACACAAAAGAGTGTTTCACTAAAAAATGCGACTACTACCTTGCGGAAAACTTCATGGACATTTTCATCAGCGTAATGTTATTGATTTAGATCACGGCCATTTATTTCTAGAAGAAGGTGATCAAAAAGTTTGATCTTCAACAAATGTGCGGTTCAGCCGACGCTCTTCTGACTGAAATTGAAAATATTGATGTACATTTCTCCTTCGCGTGTACTGCAATCGATAACAGCGTGATTATATCAAGAAACTTCGCTGCCAATCAGTGAACAAAACCATTTTTGTGGCTCAAATCGACTTTTCGATGAACTACACACTTATTTGCCAACATGCAATTCAACAAATCTTCTTTGGTCAATATCAAAGCGTATGAATCATTTGTTTATTGTGCTCAAAGAATCTTTGTCCAATTCATCAAGAACAGCCGGTTCATTTTCAATTTAATTCATCACAAAGCTGATTTCGGTTTGGATGCCTTCTGGATATTTTACAGCAACAGGCCACGGCAACGTAGCTGACAATGACGTTATTACCGTGTTGCAGTCAAGTGCGAGACGTGTCACGCTCATAAAAGAACACTCTTCTATCTTCTTCGAAAGATTTATATGAGTTCTTGAGCAGTTGCTAATAAAAAAAACTTGCTATCTACATTTGCTTTATTGAAACGAGAGAAGTCAAAGAAGCGAAAGACACGATTCTTAACCAAATAGCCGAAAAATCAAGTCATCGGGTAACGCACGTTTTCTCGTTGTTCCCAATACTAATCACTTCTATGTAAGAACAGTTAACGGTATTTTCGTGTAATACACGAGTTCCAACTCTTCAACAAGGGAGAGATTAATTATCGAAAAACATGATACTCTACACGTATGAACATATTTTTGTTGCAATAAAGATTCCTTTTAGATAATCGGTTCTTTTCTTCATTCATACGCAGATTTCCAAGATAAAAGAAGATTTCTTAGCACGACATGCGTGCAATATTCATACAGTATATCTTAAACGACGTCACTAAACCCAATGCTATTTTCTAATTATCTTCTCTTACCAATACGGTCCACAGACTATGAACTAGTAGATTTATGTTTCTTATGATTGAATAAGAACTATGCTGGTCACTCCATAAGTTCGAATGAGAAATATCGATACCACGCAAAGCACAATTTTAACCAAACGAGAACAAACGTTCCTGCCTAAAGCATCAACGCAAATTGTCCTCTTGCATTCTTGTTGACTCAAACTCTAAGTTCGAAATGCTTGTTATATAATGGGAAATCGCACTACAACACCAAATTATTCAAGGTTGATTTCTATAAGCAAGTGCCATACTCTAGAGTTTGGTGTGCATCGGTGTGTTCCAATTTCGAGAAAGTAAATATTTATACAGAATATATTCAAGATGAGCTAAAAAATAGCGAAACCAAGAAAAAATCCTGGCACAATTTCATAAGTTCCACTAATCTGAGGCTATGATTGTATATGCTTCGAGAAAATGATCTCGAACTCGAGATTTTTCGTAAGAAGGCTCATTATAGTTGTCACCAATACATGTTTTCTAGAACTCAGAGATAGCCTTTTAGAAGAAAAAATTGGAAAAAAACGCGTTTTCCAAAAGGTGGTTAGAATCCCTCAATATAAGTTTCTGTATCACTATATAAGATAAGAAAACTTCTTCAAGCATTCTGCAGGGAAATAAGACGCTCAAAATACTGTTGGATCACCGTATGTAATTTGTAGGAATTTAAATTATTTTTACATAATTTTCAAGTACTTTAGGGGTACGTATAGATACTTCAGACTATTTTGAGCAACTACTACTTACTTTGAAATACTTTTGTGCTTTGATGTACTTTTCGACTTGAAGTACGCCGCTTCCTTCTTTAGCTACCTATTGAGGCTTGAGTGTGACTAATTACAAGTAATGAGTAACCACTTACGATTGCTTGGTAATAGACACAGTGAATCGTATGATGCTGGTACTGTAACGCAGTTATGCTTCTGTTCGTTGTAATAGTTGTAGTCACTGACAGAATCTTTTAGTACGAATAGTGCAATGTATTTACGTGTACCTGTAGTGCATAATTGACTCTGCATGAAACAGCAACGCGTTTGTTAAAAACAATGACGTGACATAGTGTTTCTTCCATTACAAGAACGTTGTGTAAACGAAGCTGCAAGCAAGACGTGCTCATATTGTGTATTCATCAATCATCCACTTCGATTTAAGCAAGAGGTGTTACTCAAAGTATACAATCGTATACATATTGTAAGGTAAACACGCTCTCTCGATTTTTCAGACAGATATTATGAAAGAAAACATTTCATCGCTGAGGAGCATAAAAGAATGCTGTTTTTCTCTATTGAAAAGAGGTCAATATTCAATAGAGTGTATATTAATGGTTCTATTAATTTATGACTCCTACATCAATTCAGTACCCATTCAGAGAAACGATAAAAAGAATGCATTTTTTTCTCGCTTGTCTGACTGTGTTATAGCCGTTCTGTCTTTCTCCCGCCTTCGCTGATTTTATCTGATACAGTAGGGTACAAATTAACAGCTCAAATCAAATTTATTTTAATTTATTTTCTTATTGAACTGCTCAATAAATAATTTTATTTTATCACGGGTGAATTTTATTCTATAAGAAAAGCCGAGACAAAATTTTAAAAAATGAAGTAAAAACAGCTTCAACATACAAAGAGAACTAAATTCAAATAAAAGAAAAAGATGTTAACGTAATTCGTACTTGGTATTGCACATAAGTCGCGACTATTTTTTCATAACCTTGTTCAAAGGATCTTCTCAATTTGACTGATAATTTTCTATTCAGAAGTGTGTGATAGAAAATGTAGAGATCATGACTAATACCTTATTTTATTGACTTGAGAAACAGAGAAACAAGATGAACGGGAAAGAACACGATAGCGACTGAGCTTGCTGTAGAAGAGAATATGGGTATGAAGATTCTTCGACAAGGAAATTTAAACAACATATAGCATAATATATGTTCCTGTATCACACACTCGTCCGCTTTAAATTAGTTTGATTAAACGGCGCATTGGTTTTTAATGTGTGATGAACATCGAATAATTTTCGATCTTCGATCCAATGGAGAAGATATTGGTACATCTTTATTAAAATCAGTTGTTTCAATTGTTGGAATCATCACTGGTAGATCGCCGTCAATAGAACAATGTCGATGCATAATTTGATTCTCATGACAACACCACACTTACTTTTCAACCTTACCAGACTGATGATAAGATCCCATACGATTATAACAAGTATGCCAGATGTCCATTCTACTTTACTTGGATTTCTTCTTAAATCATGAACTTGCACTTTGCTATCTATATTAAAATGACGTTATACTTAGAATGACGATCAAAATTTCTCGTGATAAAGTTGTTTTGTAACACTTGACGCATCCGTTGTATTAGGACGTAGTAAGTGCAATACAGTTCTAAGCTAAAATTTTCAAAAGATAATTCAGCTGGGCTTACATTTGCTGTTGCATAAGTTGATCTATGACGAAATAAGAATTTAGAAAGAATGTCATATATTTTTCCTCTCTCATGAAATTGACGGTCCAATTGAGGATGGCTTCGATAATTTTCCTTCTTTCTCTCTCGTATTTCTGTTATATTTGCCTATAGCTACTCTCTGTAGTGACGATCATTACTGTCATTTTTGATATCTTCAATTTTCTAGATTTTTAACATTTTTATTGTCGATCAATATTTCCCATGCGTTTCGCAATATATCTGTAAGAATAACGCTTAGTGTAAGCATCTACCAATCTTAGGTTGCATTTGAATTCATGTTTATTAAATGCACCCAACCATGTTAAAGAAATGTGAAAATAGAATTCGATGATTTAATATGCTTTATGGAGAATATTTACATGATGAAAGCAAACAACTCCCATTGAAAAGTTTTAGAACAGCATTTATTTTTAGTAAAGTTGATTCTAATTGCAATCGAATCTGTTTGATTGAAATGTTTTTTTGTTGCTTCCATATTAGCTACTCCGTGTTCTTCATGATTATAGTCATATTAATTTCTCGTTTAACAGTGAGTATGCTTATTCAGATTCTCTTGTTGTCTTCTTTCAGCTGCTCGTATAGCAACATTTGATGATTCGGGTCCCTGTATTTGAATGCCTAAATCAACATCAGTTCGACGTTGAAGATCAGTAGCAGATGCAACTAAAATGAAAAATACATAGTGAGCTGTTTTTACATTGTATGCTTATTTCCACAATTAATCACCTGCAACCTGTAAAAATAGAAAAACAAATTTTAACATGAACATTCGATTATAAACTCACTTGTAGTTGCTCTCGAGTTTCAGGATCTTGTATAGAATTCATATCGATTGATCTTTCAGATGTAAGTTCATTTAGCCATTGGCATGCTCGAATTTCACCAATTGTAATACGTTGTGCTGGATCAACTGTAAGCATTCGCTGGATAGTCAATTTAGCTTCTTGTGAAATATTGCTCCATGGATTATCTGGAAATTCATAATCACCAGCTTTGATTCGATCTCTCATGCCAGGACTTAGTGTTAATTGATCATTTTGTGAAGAAAAAGGTGGATAACCACATAGAAGAATATACATAATTACACCCATAGACCAAATATCGCAAGCCTATTTTATAAGAATTATAACGAAGGCAGAAAAATATTTCGACGTTCTCAAATAAAAACAATCGATCCGTTCGTTTTTTACTTATTTTTTTTTTTTATATTATCGAAAGAAAACACTGGTCACATCTTACTTTGTCATATCGTGAATTAGACAAAATTTCTGGCGCAACATAATATGGTGTATATCTAAATGAGAAAAATCTATTAAAAATATTCGATATTATTAACTCATATCTACAATGGAGTTAATAATGGCATCAATTCGTTGTTTCCTTTAAAAAAAAGAATACCAAAGTGAAGATAGTTTATTTCTTTCCTTCAATGATTACTATTTTACCTTCTTTAGCAAAGCCAAAATCGCCAAGTTTCAGAATCGCATCGTTTGATGCATCTGCCAATAGAAGGTTTTCGGGTTTTAAATCGCCTATGACCATAAAATTTATCCTTAGTCAATCATATTTTTTCTTGGTGTAACTACGTACGATGGGCCTATGAGCAGTATCAGGAACAAGAAAGAATATATAAAGAATAGAGTACGCAGTAAAATCTTACTATATCCATGCTGTGTAGATGATAAACAGCTTCAACTATCATCCTAATATATCTTGCGGCATCGCGTTCAGTATACGGACGTTCACTTCTCTGCAGAATGCGAGCAAATAATTCACCACCTTCCATACTAGAATATAAAATTTATCCACAACTACAGATAGATGTATAGATATAAGAAAAATCAACTGCACCATTCCATTACAATATAAAAGTATAGCACGGTTCCTCGATAATTTTCCTATCATAAACAAAAAAAATGAGAGAGAGAGAGAGAGATAGTCATGAAAGTAAGAAAAGCAAAAACAAATAGCTCAACAGATTTTTTTCGTACATAGATTTCCAACAGTTGCACAATGTATTGACAATTTTCGCATGCTCTTCTATGTAAGATGACTTCTTGACGAGCTTCGCGTGCATATTGCAAAATCTACAAATATTTTCAAAATTATAAATAAATTTATGATAATAAATCAAGCAGATACTTTAACAGCACATTTCTGTCCTGTTTGGCGATGTGTACATTTGAATACTGTACCATTTATACCACGACCTAAAACTTCTCTCGATACGTCGTAGTCATCTGTGATGGGATTCCGATGTATTGGAAAAGGAAATGAATCATTGGTGCTGGCACTATTTAATCGATTAAAATAAATTTTCATTTTCATTTCATATTGAATTAAAAAAGAATTATCATGATAGAGAATTGATATTTATTTACACTATCAAACATCTGTAAGAAATGGTTATAGATCAAATATAAATTTGAACTTCTTTTTTTTATCCTATCCTTCTATGCTCTATCGATTTTTCCAAGGCAATGTTTAGAAATCCTCTTATAGTACGAAGAAACAGACTGTAGTTATGTGTGTTGATTCACTTACTTTGCATTTGTTGTGATTTGATTAGTGGCCATCACTATGACTAAGAACTATCCGTCGGTAAATAGTTACGATGATTGAATGAATACGGAGTGATAGATGATACTAAATAGTGAGAAAAAAAAATATGTATTTATATAATATCGAAAAAGAGGTTTATGAAATAATTTTGTAATTCTTGCTTCCAGCAAAATCGATAAATTCCCAGAAAAAATCAAAATGGGAATTTTACATGTTAGCATTTATTTTGGCAATTATTTGCAACGTTCTATTAAATTCATATACATAAAATGGCTAGAGACTACTAAACTTATGAAGAAAAGAAAATTTTTCACATGGGCATACAAAAGCTAAAATGCAACGACACTTGTGAAGCAGACTGAGTGGAAAGAATCCGACATGATGATCTCGATGGTGAAATAAAAAAGAAGGTAGCGGTGTTTTTCTTCCAGTATGTTCTTACATAAATTTAGCAAAGTATTTTTCCTGTTTATTGCAAAATCCTAGAAAATTTTTCGATAATGTTCGTATACAATGCAAAAACATACAATCATAAAATCTACAAAAATGTAGTAGCTGCGTTTTGAATCATAAAAATTAATTCAAACCAAGAAAAAAACATCCTATCAAGCGTGATTTTTTCTCGTCATCGCTTGGCTTCATCTCAAAGGTGACTTTGGAAGAACAATAAAAAATGTATGACTGCATGTGGTTGCTTGAATATAAAAATGAGTCGATGTGAGGATGTGATAACACTACTTTGGTGTTCATTGGTTCATTAATATTCTAACATCGGTCCTTAATACTGTTCCTGTTTGTGTTAGTATTATTTTGTATTTAGCGAGGAAAATTACAATACGTCAGTAAACAGGAAAGTGAATGAGACGACTTCAAAGGAAAACTAAATCTAAAAAATATGTGAGTAATGAGAAGTAAATACATGGTGGATATTAAGAAGAGAGCAATCACACACTGACAGAATCATTTCTAGAACTAGATTAGTTTAATTCCGAAATCGATAGTCAACTGTAATTAATCATTCACGATGAGGAATTGATTGTATATATTAAAAACAAAATAGTCATCTATTAATCACAACGTGTATTGTTACTCCAGTTTTCGTAGCTTGGGGAAAGCTTTTAAAAAATTGATAATCAAGTTACTTTGTCTTTCAGAAGAACTACGAAAGAGTGCTACAAAGGTTCAAGGTTAATGTAAATATCTGGCTTGTTATGATATGAACCAAGAAGAAAACTATAATGAGAAAAACCAACCAAAACAAGAAACATTGAAAATACATAGAACTACATGCAGCGAAATGATGAACTAACGTATGATCGAAAAGTTTTTGGGCAACTTTATGAAACGTGAAATATATAGTATAAAAGCTATTGGAAGAACCTTTTTTTACGATTTACATAGGTTGTAGTGTCCTCTATCTGTCATATAAATTTGACATCCTTTGATGGATTGTTGTTCTCAAAATGATCGATCTTCGAAAACGTATATTTTCCNAGCATAGAAAATATACGTTTTCGAAGATCGATCATTTTGAGAACAACAATCCATCAAAGGATGTCAAATTTATATGACAGATAGAGGACACTACAACCTATGTAAATCGTAGAAAAAGGTTCTTCCAATAGCTTTTATACTATATATTTCACGTTTCATAAAGTTGCCCAAAAACTTTTCGATCATACGTTATGTTAATGCTGAAAAATCTTTAGAAGTAATCTTCATTAAATTACAATGATAATAATTAAAAAAAGATTTGATATTTTGTCGCATCTTACCCTAAGTCTATTTAAGCTTGTTATATTAAAATTCAGCCAAAAAGAATGGCTACAGGAAATGAAGATCGCCCTTTAATGAAGTGAATTAGTTGTTAATGTTCACTGCTTTTATCAAAAACAAAACGATTTAACTTGACATAATCAGCATAAATATATTTTTGTTATTGATAAAGTTAACAAACCATCATATTCAACATTCCACATAAAATGCATAACATCTTCGTATGTTTACTTTTTTCAAAAAGACAAAAAAAAATGTACACCAGAGATCACTGATATATGTGTAATTAAAATACGCGAAAAACAAACTGTCAAATGGAAGGATATAGTGACACTACCTAGCTAGACAAGAACTCCTATTAACGCATAAACCGATGTGTTCTTACGTCAAAAAAACAACGATATATCTTATTTGTTTTAAAACGTAAAAAGCGCATATATTTAAGTGAAAAAACGCATTTTTATCGTTTTTGTCTGACCGAGTAATAACAGCGTGTAACATTTGAGATAGAAAAAGAAAAAGAACGCAACTAACCATGCACAATGAATTATTTCATTTTTTCGTTTTTTTTCCTCGTGTACGAAATAAAGATATGCCCATTATTAAATATATATAATAAACAATAAAGAAGAAAACCACAGAAAGAAAAAAATAAGTAACCCAATGTTACGTTGCATTATGAAGAAGTCCATCAAGGACACGAAGTCCACTTTGAGTCAATGTACCCATATTTTGGCTATAACTGCCAAGATTATCGCGTGCAACAGTAGACGTTGTTGTATTCGAATAATTTCCATATGTTTGTCGGCGTTGCTGTTGATATTGCCCAATATAACTGCCAACTGATGATGACGATGGTCCAGCAGAGGGTTGTTGTTGATTATGCGTCAATGCCGATGCTGATTGAAATCTTTGTTTAGCTCGAGAATCCGCTGCTGAAGTAGGTCGAAGGGTTGATACCTAAATTCAAGCGAAAATAGATCAACGCTTCTATGATGAAATTAATAATTACATTTACAAATTTATTATTAACTCTTGCTTGCGCTCCACTACTTTTATCACTCGGACCACCACGTTCATCATTAAATATAACAGTTGGACGACGAATATAATAATTATTATTATTAATAATTCCACCATTGGTTTGTTTAGATGATGATGGCGGTGGTGGTGTTGGTGTTGGAGCTGAACCTGAACGAAAGCCACGATTGGCATTTGCTTTTTCACGCATCAAACTTCCATTATTGGGTTTCTAAAATAAAAATGATTTTTGTAAGTAATTTTGCTAAGCAAAACAAAAGTTGAGTCAATATTTACTGGATACAGTAAAGATGAACTGGATATATTTCGTTGTTTGGCACTGATTATTCGTGGTTGACCTAGTGTTGAATGTAAACCATTATAACTATTAGATCGACCAAGAAGCCCTACAATATAAAATATCTGTAAGAAAATATTTGTTCAATTTCCAAATATTAACAAAACAGTTGAATCAAACAAAAATACCATAGTAGAGGAAACCACTCCTTTTCGAAATCAGCTAATAGAGACTAGTAGAAAATATTACGAGAAATTAATATGTAATGGTCAAATATTACCACTTCAAATTTTTCTATGTATAAATAAGCTGCTTCTAATTCTAATCAACTTATCATTTTAGTGTTCACAAAACATGAGGTAAATACGTTTGTATCACGATTGTCATGTTAAAATCTTGAATTTCATACGAACCAGAATAAGAATTCGTTGAAGTATTCTTATTGTATGATGGTTGTCCAGTTGAATAATCATTTGTTACTGTTGTTGAATAATCCTCATCTTTTGCATCGTCAACATATCGATTTTTATTATGATCTGTTGCATAATTAGAATAAACTCCTCGATTGGCTCCATCATTTTTGATCATTTGAGATGAAGAATTTGTTGTTGGCTGTCTATAAGCATCATATTCGGATTGATCCATATAGGCACTTGCTCCATAGCGTTGCTGTTGATCAACAGAGCTGTCACGTGATCGTGGAGCTGGTGCATCAGTATTTGACGAAGATACATTGGGATTCATTTTGGCTGAAACTTTACGTAATTGAATTAACTATATTCAAATAACAGAGCAAAACGATAATGTTTTCTATCATCTCGAGAAACCACCAACAAGAAATATTTACTTCGTATAGTTTTTTTCTATATTCATCAACAGTTAATTGTATATCATCACTCAATTGTGGTACAACATCATAGCCTTTAGTCATTTCTTCACTTGGATTATGAAACCTAGTTTTGATGAAATAAAATAAACAAACTTTGAATAAAATTTATGTGAACAAAAACACGTACGAAACAACAAATGAATGACGAAGTCCATCGTCTGCTGTTATTCTTTTATCGGGATTAAAATGAAGAAGACGACGAAGTAAATCAAGAGCTTCGTCACCTGCATTAGGAATAAATGTATCAAATGATTTTTTTTGTCTATAAAATAATGATTAGAAAAAAAGACAAAAATTCTTCAAATGAATAAATATACCCAGATGATGCTCGTTCTAATACACTCGGTCCATAATGTGATGCAATACTAGCAATATCCGATTGAGTTGGCGTTGGAATATGTTGAAGAATACGTTCTAACTGATTGAATGTTGATGTTCCTTGAAAAAGTGGTTTTCCAAGTAACATTTCTCCAAGAATACAACCTAAGAAAAAGTACTTGGTGAATTTTTATTTATAAAACAAGAAATACTTAGAATAGTCGCTAACAAGTGTTTCGCTTGCATGATACATTCGATGGCATGCTGACTATGTTGCAGATTTCAACTTCTTCTAGTTTTTCAACTAGCTAATGTTTTTAGCAATAATGATCTATACTCGTTTTAGAGAAGTTTCTATTCAAGGTAACGCATTTTCAATCTGTAAGTTTCAATAATAACGAATCTTTTCTTTTTTTGTTTCTCAATGTTCAGTAAGCATCATTATAATGTCTCAAGAAAAAAGCATTCAGTTTCTTGGTCTCTGTCGGGACTATCTAATTGCTGTTAATAACTTACCAATAGACCACATATCAACACCTTTGGTATATCTAAACATGTTCAAAGATTATTGAAATCGAATATTTACAAACATATTTACTTTGATGAAGCAAGTAAAATTTCTGGAGCACGATACCATCTCGTTGCTGTAAACAAACAGAAATTAATTATCATTTCACTTAGATTTTAATTGAAATCAACACATACCAACGTATTCTGTTAAAGCTGGATGTTGTGGATCTTCATAAACATGATTTAATGATCTTGCAAGACCAAAATCACATATTTTTACACGGCATTGTTGGTTGAGTAAAACATTTGATGGCTAAAAAACGACAGTAGGAGATTTTACGCATCTTTTCTTTTGCCATAATATTTACTTTCATGTCACGGTGAATCACATTTGCTGAATGAAGATATTTCATTGCTTTTAACAATTGATACATAACATAACGTTTATGTGTATCTTTAAGAATATTTCCTTTGCGTATCACATTATGAAGATCAGCCTCTGAAAGTTAATCGAAATGAATAAACTCTGATTAAATTTTTTTTTCTTTACCCATAAATTCAAACACAAGATAAATATCACGATCATTATCAGCTTTTAAAACATTCTGCAACCGAATTACATTTGGATGCTCACCAAATTCACGTAAAAAAACAATTTCCCGATATGTTCTCTAAAGCGAAGAAAAACAAATAACTGAAGTTGTTTCGTCATGTTATATTCAAATGTTCTTACTTGTGCATCAGTTTGATTTCGAAATGCATCAAAAATTTTCTTTAATGCGACTATTTCTTTGGTTCGTTTATCTATTGCTTTCCATACAATTCCATAGGCTCCTTTTCCAAGACGTTTTTGAATTTCATAGTAACGTAAAATATGTGTATCGACTCCTTAATATTCAAATATACTTATTTATATGCATCGAATCAAGAAAGAAGAAATATCTCTCTTACCCTCGGACATTTTTCAAATGTATTTTTTTTAAATTTTCTAAACAGATAATAGAATTATTAATCTAAGCATTTAGAGGTATTCGTTTTCTTTTTTTCTCTTTTTCGAATTGATTTCAACCATAATAAAGTAGACATCCTGGTTTATTACTAGACAACAGTCTCTAGCACATTTATTATGTAACAATTACTTTCGAACAGAGGTCGCTCATTGACGAACAGGGATGGAGATGCGATCGATTTTATTTTGATTTCATATTGTGAATATGATGAAGAGACGAACACGAGAAACTTCAAGTTTTCATCACATTAGTTGATTTCATAATAGCACATATTATTGATGATTTTGTTTTTTGTTGATTACTAGCCCGGCATTTACCCTGACATGCTTTAAACAGAAAACAACGATTAAATAAATGATACTATTAAGATAATTTGTATGGCTTTTTTTGACAATTCGTGTTGTCAATATTTTGATTGTTTTCTTTCTTTTTTCTCATAATAAAATGACCCATACTTTAACAGATTAAGCATGAAAGTCCTAGTGTAAAGGTGACCTATGCAACTCTCGATATGTCTATGAAATACAAAAGAAAAGTTAACAAAGAAACAAAATTTCTTAATTTATACATTCATCTTGAGATAGCAGGAGTATTCTTTCTTGCCTTTTTTTCTCTTTATAAAGAACAAATGCGTCTATGATTTTGAGTCAGTCTCAAATAAAGGTCAACAAATGCGAAGATCAACATTTTATGCTTGTACAAAAAAAAAACAGAAAGAAAGAAAGATCATCATTCGTCAAAGCATGAGTACTCAACGCAAAAGTACCCTCTCACATAACACGCGTCCATCAGCTACTTCAATTTATTCAGAAACAACATTGAATTCAAACGACGAAGAGGATCATCATCGACTATCACGCTATTATTCAGCAATCTATACTCATAAAGCTGATGTTTATCATGTTCTTGAAAGACAACAAGGCAAACATACACTTATTTATCATTTATTTGTTTTTGGACTAACATTGATTTCCTTGATACTCGGTGCAATATCAACAATCGATGAATGTCGATCAGCATTAAATGGACCCTTATATTATGTTGAATTAGGTTTATCGATATTTTTTACTTATGAATTTTTATTACGTATATGGTCAGCTGGTTGTGTAGCAAAATATCGAACATTGGTTGGTCGTTTAATGTTTGTCACTCGATCGGTCATTGTACTCGATATAGTAACACTGATGGGCTTTATATTATGCATAGCGACAGGTATCACAACTGGAAGATTTCCTGAAATCGTACTCAGATTTTTACCACTATTACAGACGATTCGATTTATACGTGTTGATCGACAATTATCATCGTGGAAAATTCTAAAAGAAATTATTTGGACACATCATGAAGAACTTGCCGTTACAATCGTCATTGGTTTTGTGTTTCTTATAACAGGTTCTTATCTCGTTTATATTGCTGAGACACCAGAAGATCGACGTTTATATGATGGACCATACAAATCCATGGCTGATTCAATGTGGTTTTCAATTATTACAGTAATACTTTCATAAGAAAAATATTTCTGACCTGTTCTTTTCTATATATTCAATTTAGATGACAACCATTGGCTTCGGTGATCTTTATCCAAAAACCTTTATTGCTAAAATGGTAACATCAACTGTTTGTTATCTTGGTGTTGCATTTTGGTGTTTACCTGCTGGCATTATCGGAAGTGTAAATTACTAATTGCTTTTTTAAACTTCATCATCCTATCATCTTTTTTTGTTTAAAACATATTTCAAGGGTCTTGCTATCAAAGTTCAAGAACAAAAACGTGATGAAGCCATTAGTCGTCTTATACCTGCTGCAGCAAGTGTGATTCGTAATTGGTGGCGACTTCGATGTGCATATCAAGGCAATCGTTTTGTTGCTACATGGAAATTTTATAGATTAACCCAACGACGCGTTGATAGACAGATACCACCAGTCGTCACTGAACATATGGATTCAGCATCACCCATTACTACACTTCCAATCAGTCGTTCATTTGATATGAATCTATTTCGACGTAATCATACAGGTTCAACAAGAAAAACACAACAAGATCATATTCGAAAGAAACCTGTAGAGACCATAGATGATTTACCGAAACGTTATGTAACAGCAATAAAAATAATTCGTATGCTAAAGTATTCATGTGCATGTAGAAAATTCCATCGAGCTAAGCAGCCAGTTAATTTGAATGAAGTTGTTCATGAGAATACTCTAATGACGAATCGTTTATCAACTATTCTCAATGACATACAACGTCGGTTAGATTTAACATTGGGTACAAAAAGACCGGTATCACATCTACCCGTTGAACAAAAACATCAAGTGAGTTTAAGTGCACGAATCGAAGCAGTCGAACATGTAACAATTAGATTTGAATCAAAATTAAACTATTTAGAAAGATTAGCATTGAATTTAAGTAAGAATCGTTGATAGAAAAGAAAAACTTTATTTTTTTTTTATTTTTATTTTAAATAAATCATTTAATGTATTATTAGAAAAAATCTATTGTCGATTAGATCATTTTTATCCACTTGTATGAGGACGAATACTGCGACCTGTATTTAATAAAACGAGTGACGATTGAATAAAACTAGAATTCAATAGCCAATCGGTATCTAACACTTCTGGTGACGTCAATTGAAATGTTTGATTTTCTGATTTGGGCCGACGAGGCAGCCATGATGGTAAGGAAGATGTTTCTTTCTCAACTTGAATCTCATTAACTTCTTTGCATAATGTTGTACGTGCACGTTCTAATTGATATTTCTCTCGACGTATTATATTTAATCGCATTTTCTTTTCACGTTCATAAAATTTTAAACGAACACCGAGAAGACGATCTTCAATTTTGTTCTTAGCGCGAATAACATCGCTCAATTCTGTATATCGTTGATGAATAAATTCGCCATTAGCATCCTAAATTTAAAAAATAAAATAATAATTGTTGTCGATATTATTTTGTTTTTCATTACGGCTTTTGGTCGTGCGAACGTCATCGATTTTCAAGCAAAAATATGATTTTAACTCTAGTAATCATTCGTACACAGTTGGAATCTCAGCATGAACTTTTTTTCTTTTCTTTTTTTATTTCAACGTCTCTTGATGATAATTTATTGGCGCCATTGACACTAGTGTATTGATTTCTCGGTGACCATATTGGCAACACAAAAAAATGATTGATGATGAGTTAATGGAAAAACGTATTGAATTACGACAAAAACTTAAAAGTAAATTATTAACATTATCACCATCATATCATGTGTTGAATTCATTTAATAATTTCATACCAACTTCACGTGACATAGAGTTTATGGAAAAGCAAGGTCTGGATTGTGTTATGAATTATTTAATTCACGATAATTCCATAGAATATCATGAGCAACAAATTCCTAATGTTTGTTCAAATTGTCAAATAGATTTAACTGAAAATTGGTGGTATTCATTATCAAATTATAAGCAATTGATCTATCTGTGTGATTTATGTGAACAGAATCGAATTCGAAATTTCATTCTTGAACAACATCGTCAATCAATGAAATCAGCTTTTTTAAAAGCCAAAGAAAATGAACGTCGTTTAGAAGTGGATTATCAAAAGCAAAAGCAAAATAAATCAAATCAATAAATTCAAACAATTGATAATCCTCTGTATAAAAGTAATTCCTTATAAATGCAAAAAAATATTTTTTTAAGTAAAAAAATTCAGTTATACAAAAAAATATTTGTAAGTGCAAAACCTATTTAAATAAAAAGAAAAATGGCCAAAAGAGATTCTACTTGTCGTTTGTAGTACAGTATCAATCAGTACATAAATAATTCGAATAGTTCGTAAAAATATCATCGATATCGTTCTAAAAAATAGGAAAAAAATTCAAATTAATTTTTACAGAATTAGTTACTTGCCAATATATATATATATACATATCAAAACAAGGATTCCTTAGAATGGTGTATTTGTGTGAGGCTACCGCCCACACTCTGATATACTAATAAAAAATTCCCTTAGGATGAATAGAACATCATGTTCATAATACAACAGGTACTTTTCATTGAAGTACTTTCTCATGGGTCATGATTAATAAAAAAAATGCAATTTTTTCGTATCGGAAATGCTCGCAAACGACTTTTTTCATATTTGTTTTCATCGAGTTTTTACTTGAGTATGTCTTTGGGAAGTGAGTTACTAATTACATCCTATTATTCACTTTTCATAGCCATTTCATAATAGAAAATCATGTATGTTTCCTACGTTAAATAAGTTCCTGATGTTCCTTTTTTGTACTATCTCATTAACCTATCAAAGATCATACGAAAAAGAAATCCATTCAATAGTATGGATTCATGAGATAACTACCACACTGAAATATCTATTCAAAACGAAAATGGCATATAATCAGTGCTGTTCTTTCTAAGAGTATAATAAATAAGAAAACTTGTTAAGCAGTTAATGGGGAACAAGCGTCTTTTGTTGACAATTTTCTCCTATTGAATTAAATCTATCCCAAGCGAAATTCGAATAGAGACAGTACAGTTTAAAAATAATTTATCGATCAAATAAAATATATTCACAGACCGAACAGAAGTATCCCGAATTTTCAAAGTTCTACTCAACTCTTGAGTATTGCAATATTTAACTTACTAAATAATTGTCACTATTGTAATGAATATTTAATTGTCCTATACGTTTTTCTTTGGTACTATTATTATGTAGCAATAAATGATAATAAGCTTGGCATGGATTCATTGATTTAATCCATGATTGACATGTTAAACATCGATATTGTATTGACACACTACGACGATTTAAATGTAAATCAAACATTTCATTTGAACTAAATTTCGAAACACATAATTGACATTCATTTAAATCAATATGATGTTCGTTTGAAGAAAATGAACAAGAAAAAGTTTCTTTTAAAAAATGATAAAATTCATTTTGCTTAAAATATCGATTCGTCGACGAATATATTGCATATTTACATTTATATAGATATTCATCGGATAGACGTAAAAAATTCGTTGTTTGCCAATGATTATCATTGACATTTAATATTTCTAATGAACCTTTTTTATAAGAACGTTGTTGAAATACACTGGAACGAAGTTCTATAGGTAGTATTGGAAATAAATAACGGCGACGGCGTTGTCGTATTAATCGACAGTTTGTTTTTATACGTTGAAGACGTTGTCTATAGGATGATGAACAACGTTTTGAATTTTTCTTCGACAAATTTATTTCATTACTGATCGATTTTGGTAAAAGATTTTTATAGTATGGTAAAAACAGTGACTGATTTCCATATGAATCAATCATTACATTAGACATCTTGAGCAAACGAGAAATAACTCTATGGTTGTTGTTTATTTGCTTTGTATATCGAACATTCTATTGGCCAATAGAATCACCTCAGTTACCAAACAAAAAGATAAACATCATAGATTATTGTAGAGAAAATAAATAAGAACATGGATATCAAAGGTGAGTATTCTTGATTTTAATTTTTGTTTCAAAATAATCGATTTTAATTTTCTGTCTGTGTAGAAAATGATTCGAAATTATTTACACCTGGTCCTTTAACGACCAGCTTAACAGTGAAAGAGGCTATGCTTCATGATTTAGGCTCACGCGATACGATTTTTTTAAATATAATTGCTCATATTCGCGGAAAATTACTTGAATTAGCAGGTTGATTTGGATTTATCAATGAAAATCAAATATCTCATGATTTTTTCCTATCGTTTTATTAGATGTCTCAGCAGATGAACATGCAGCTGTTCTTGTACAAGGAAGTGGTACATATGCAGTTGAAGCAACATTTTCAACAACTGTACCTCATCAAGGCGCTAATGTAGATTATTGTGTTTTTGTTTTATTTCAAAAATTCCAATCATTTTTTGTTTTCATCAAGGTCTTAATTATTGAGAATGGTGCATATGGTCAACGCATGATAAAAATATGTCGAATATTAAATATTCCACATGATGTAATTTCATTTCATGAAACAGTACGCGTTCAAGTTGATTTAGTCGCTAATAAATTACAATCAAATCACTATACACACGTTGCTATTATTCATTGTGAAACAAGTTCAGGAGTTTTAAATCCTATTGAAGAAATTGGGCAATTAGTATATGATCATGGTACAACAAAAGGTATTCTATTCGACCCTTTATTTTTATTCTTTTGTTATTCATATTATATTAAATTGAATGGTTGTTCTTTAGGTTCAACCGTATATATTGTTGATTCAATGAGTGCTTTTGGTGCTGTTCCAGTTAGTCTTCGTAATGGTCATATTACTTATATCATCAGTTCGGCTAATAAATGTATCGAAGGCGTACCTGGTTTTGCTTTCGTTATTGGGAAAAAACAACATTTACTCACGTGCCAAGGTTAAATAGTTGATTCTTTTTATTTTTTTATATCTACCATTAACTAATTTTTTTTCAGGCCAAGCACGTAGTTTAGTACTTGACCTATACGATCAATACACATACATGGAACAGAGTAAACAATTTCGTTTTACACGTATGTTAAAAACACAGTATACGCAAAAAAATTTCTATCATCATTTTTCATTGACATTTCTCTAGCACCAACGCATACTATACTTGCATTCAAACGTGCATTAGATGAATTAGATCAAGAAGGTGGTGTGCAAGGTCGTGCTAAACGGTAGAATCTGTCAGATCACTTAAATTCTATTCTAAATTCTTCTCTCCCTTTTAGATATCAAGCTAATAATAAACTTATTCGAGAAAAAATGAGAACACTTGGTTTCATTGAATTAATTAAACCTGAATATCAAACATATATTATTACATCGTATTATTATCCATCGGCACCATTTAACTTTCAAACATTTTATAATAAACTCAGTGAAAAACGTATGATGATAATGAATCTATGTGTTCATAGGAAATTAAGATTTCTTTATTTTTAGATCAATTAATTTATCCAGGCAAAACAACTGAAACAGATTGCTTTCGTATTGGTAATATTGGACGATTATTTGAGAATGATATGGCAACATTAGCTGAATGTATTAAAGAAGTATGCGAAGAAATGAATATTGAGCTTCCGTTAAAGAACAACACCAAACAATAAAACAAAAACAAAAAAACTAGAGATCATTAACGAATGCATTGAAAGTTTTCCGGAAAAAATTCTACTGTTTGGAAGCATTCTAGATGAATATAAATCCATAGACAATGATCTAAGTTTTTTGTTCTTCCCGGATGTGAGTTCAGTAAGTTCGAATGTATTTCTCCATGAGAGGTTTGATAAAAAATTGTTGACCTATAATTTCTTGATAGAATTTATCTATTATCTTTGCCCTTGCTAATAATATTTCAGCTGCAATAAAATGTGAATCAATGTCAGAGACTTTGATTTTCTTTCTAAAAATAAACTCCTGGAATCTTCTTCTTTTTTCAGTAGTGATGAGAGTATCTTTCTGTATCTGTAAAAATTGCTTGACAAGGCGATGAATAATTAGACATTATCTATCCACAAAAGTGTTAAGGACGTCTAGCAGTATCTATTGTCTAAAATGAAAACAAATCTTGAGAAAATGTAATCAGATAATTAAAAATATAGCGCTTCTACAAATAAACTGATGACTATTGTCTGAAAAGGGATTTGCATATGCAAATGAGTTTTAATCAGATTATCAGTTTTTCAACAATAACGATAGTAATCAAGAGCAAAAAAACAATTTCTCTGAAGACATAGTAACATATATATATATGGCAAAATCAGGCAAAAAGGGGACATATGCCCCCTTCTTTCGATTCTTATTCTCCACACAGGCTTTCTTTTTGAATAATTTCTTTTATCATTGACTTATGTGAAGCTCTTTGCTCTTTCACATGACTATTTATTAATTATTAATTAATTAATTAATCAATAAGTAATTAGTGATTTTTCTGAAACGGTATGAGAAAAAAGTCTGAAAAAATCAGAATAGACTCCAGAGTCCAAGCTGCATCTATGGTAAAATTTTCAGCCAGATTGAATTCCAAAAAATTTCCTCGGAAAAACTGGCTCTATAAATAAGCAATCAAGAGTAGAAACAAATCCTGTTATGTTATTATAATCCCTGAACTCTGAGCAAGGATTTGTCCGATTTGAAATCTTTTCCAAACTTTTTGTTCGATTATGAAAATATCTTTTCGGTAGTGTATTCGTACTTCATCGTGTCGCTAACAAAATTGTCACGTCGCCAACGAAAAATTCATACGTTTGACAGAAAAATCTAGACATGTTGAAGAAAACATTGCATGCGTATGTTGTAGTCCGAGCTGGTGTCTACTGGATATCGAATTTAGTTTTCTAAAATTATGTGGCAGTTTGGAGTTTTTTAAACTGAAGTCTGTAAAGTGAAAATCCGTGTCCTTTTTTGGGTAACGTCGCTAACGACTGTTTTTTTCCAGATAACTCCTATCAACAAAGTTCCCTAGTACTGATTTCTGCAGGATATCTAGAGTCACTTAAGATCCATATAATATTTTAAAAATCAAGTCTAGAAAAGTTCACTATTTCGAGATATAGATATTTGAATTTTACGAAATCACGTCGCTAACAAATGATTTTGCCCATATATAAATATTAACTAGAGCACAATCCCCTCGATAATCAAATCGTCACTATTAACGTCTTTTGCTCAATAAAAAAATTGTTTTTTGTTTTTCGTCTAAGTTTCTCATAGATTGGTTCATTATTCATCAAAAAAATTTCTCAATTCTTTACTTAGTATCTTACATTTATCTAGAATGCTTTAACGAATAGTTATAAATGAATTAAGACAATGTTCACAAATTTTCAATGCACCCGTTAAAATATTTTCTCAAATTTATATTAATTTTTCTTTTGTATTACATCTTAATCAAATTCTAACATTATTTACGCAATATAACTTTTTATTGTTTTTACGCGTTAGCTGCTTTTCATAGTAAATAATTATAACCAAATAAGTTTAATCATGCAAATCTTATTTATAATTCGGACATCAATCGAAAGCAATTCAGTCACTGATTGAGCATGAACGATGACGATGACAACTATTTATCGAATCGAAGAGAAAATTGTAAATGTTTAGATTTTATTTTCAAAAAGAAAAATAGCAAAATTGTTTTATCATATTTTTCGCTGTCAATTTTAACAGAGTCAATTTTAACATGGAGGAATATCATTTATTAAATTGTAAGCAAAAATTTGACGTTTTACGCAAAATCCATTGCCTTTCAAATTAATTAATTCAGCATAAGCTTTACCATTTGGTATGCCAGAAGTTATAAGGATATCATCAAACCCGTCTCCATTGAGATCTATATTACGACAAGCATCGACTACTTTGTTATTCACTTCTTGCATGCAGTAAATAGCACCAATATTCGCAATGGCAGCTGAATGCCATACTAATAATAAGAATACCAATAGAATCAAAGCGAACTGATTGTTTTTCATAGTGTTAATGAAGAAATAGAAAGTAATGAATTGTATGAAATTAAATTATTCCGTTTGATTGTGTTATATATATATATATGTATATTTCAAGATGTCTTTTTATAGATCATATTACTAGCATTGACGTCATTGCAAATTGAGAGAAAATTACAGCTTAAAGATAGGATCGCTCAATATTCTATGTATTAGATTACCTAGTTTTAATGATACTAGATAAATTTGAGATAAACTAAATATTTTCGTTATCATTTTCAAAATAAAAACAAAAACGAAACAAAACAAATATACTTGACTAAGATAATATCGTATGAGCTGTATCAAAAACTTCGTACATTATTTTGATAAGAATAAATTATTCAATAACAAGAAAATTTCCATTTTTCAATGGTCGAACAGTACTGTTTAGTATGTTATTTTAGTTTTTAAATCATAATGCACAGCAAAAAAGAAAAAAAAAGTTTTCTTTCTTTTACAAATCCATAAAGTTTTTATTATTTAATTGATTAATATCTTCACCGAATGAAACATTTGGCTTTCCTAAAGATCCAATTGAAGTCTTTTTCATGTCATTGCTAATCCGCTGACTTAACGAATTACATGATGACATACATGTTTTATTCGACGTAGAATTACATATCACAGATGATGACGGGGCTGTTTCAACGTGTAATGTGTTCAATTTTACACTTGTACGATTAAGTTCCAATTGATCAACAGTTGTCATTGTACCACCTTTTTTTGTAATTAACGGTGTTGCAACAGATTGTAAACGTTCCTGTCGTATTCTTAGAAACGATGGACATATAAGTTTTGTAAATGCATCTCGAAATGCTCTTGACATGCGACAATAAATAAAAAAATTTATTGGATACGATAGTAAGACAGCAAAATTTAAAATTTGTACAGCGATATCTAAAAAGTCACGTAGAAAGTTCGATTTTACTGCTCTTAATATGCCGGATGTAATTAAATAAAGAGCCATGGGTATTTCGACAATTAAAAACATTGTTACCACAATAACCTAAAATCATAAAAAGATATTTAAAACAAAGAAGTATTTTTTTCTCGTCGTCTATTCTAATAATCATCTTGTTACATACAAGCATCAGTGTAACATTTGATTGTTCTTGTGTTTTAGATTCATAACTACGTCGTCGTATTAGTTTCTCTCGATTTTTTTTAGCTTCTTTCATACGCGCAACTAAGATAGCATTTAATATAACAAGTATTGTGCATGGACCAACATTAATTAATAGAGCACGAAGAAGTGAATAGATTGAAAATAATGTTCTATAGTTAGGATCTTCTGAATAATCTATAACAGTACATGCATTGAAAATTTTGCTTGGATCCGTCAATGATTGAACTGATTTGACTTGAAATGTACCTTCGATAAACATAGGTATGGCTACAATAACTGCTAAAATATTAACACATGCAATTGCTTTTAGTGCCATGGGTACAGTACACCATTTTTTGGCCTTTTCGGAATAACATACATAAACGTAACGTTGAATAGCTAATACGACAGTTGCCTAAAATATGTAATGAATATAGATTATATAATGAAGCTATATACATATGTATACAAAGAGTATAATTTACCCATATAGAACAAGTATGAAATATAAATGGCAGTACATCATAACAAATTCGATGAAACCATCCGTAATTGTATGGCATATAATCATTGCATTGTCGAAACGTAAACAGGAATATATAAGATGGAAAAGGGAATAGGCCTGTCAATGTATCATAAAGTGCAATAGCTAATAGAAGAATGTTAGTGGGTGAACGTAGGTGTTTTTGAAGTAAAACAACACCAATTAAAGAATTTAGCACAGTTGATATAATAATAATTAATGGTGCACAAAATCCTTGTAAAATTATACTATACGTTGGCGGACATTGACCCGGAGCAAACGGATACCATTGTATATCATGTCCTCCAGAAGTAGCACGATTGGTTTCAATTGTTGATGATGTTTGATTAAATTCGAAAGCCATAGTGTCAAAATCGATTGGATATAACAGACTTATTGTATAATTACTCTGAGGAAAATCAAACCATCGTCTAGATCAAAAATCAATTTTATTATTAAAAAGAAAACAAAAGAAAAATCGCAGTTCTTTCATAGATTCTACTCAAATCTCTTCCGTCTTATTATATCTCTATTGTTAGACAACTAAGTCAAAATTTCAGCATCAATACCACTCAATATACTAGAATTAAGACTAGAGAAAATAAATAGGTTCACTATAGTATTGAATAGTTGTTCCTAATATGATGACAATCAAAAAACAAAACACGCGTCAAGCAACGTCATCAACTATACAAGAACAAAACGATAGCTGAATGATGGTTGATAAAGAGAAAAAAATAATTGAAAATCATCAACTATCAGAGACTCACACGATCTAAATATTAATAAAAAACAATTTACGGTTTTTTTTTTCTCTACTTCTTCTCACTACCTAAATAGATACATTTACATGTATGTTGTTTCCGGATGTGGATAATTAATCAAAGATTTATTTCATGTCATCGAAAAATATAAAGCAACGTGCATATATAATTTTAAAAAAGCAGTCGCTTTATGTCCAATAATATTGACTATATATTAGTATACCATATGAAATTCTTTCACATCGATAGCATGTCAAACATGATCAGGTTTACATTACAAATAAAGAAAAAACCTAGTCTACTGCTTTGCTGCAACAAAACTAGCCAGCTAAATTCTGATTATTATTTCTTTTTAATAACTTAAAAGCAAAATTCAACAATTTACCCTAAGAATTCTTTTTCACTAATAAGATAAAACAGTGATGTTCTATAACGTACTTATGATTAATGAAATATTCAAAAGATACAGAAGGTATTTCATTGGATGGTTCTCCTTTAGTAAATCTGACGTTTGATGTCTTTCCTAAAAACAGAAAACAGGCGAAGAAAAAGAACAAGATGAAGAAGAAGCAGAGGAAATCTAGCTTCTTTCTCTCTCTCTCTCTCTCTCTCTCTCTCTCTCTCTCTCTCTGTATTTTTAACAGTACTGAATGCTCATATTGAATAATTTATTCAAAAGAAAACACATCGATTTTTTTTCTAGGGTATGATCTCTTCGAAAGCTCATAATACATAAGATAAAAAATTTGACAGTATACGTCTTATATTTATACGCATGAAAATTTCTGGCGCATGAGAACATAGAACACATCATCATGTAAAGAAGACGAAGATAAGTACTTGTTATTCAAGTGGCTACAGAAAATTGGGAAAGAAAAAAAGGATAGTGTGATCATAGATGATAGATTAACAATAGAAGAGAAAAATAATTTGTCTAGGGATAACAAATATACTATAAAATAACACTAAAATATATCAAAACAAAAGATAGATAGTATTTGTCTAGTGACACATGCAGTTATATTGTGATTAATTATTAGAAACATATATCGTCACCTATATTTGATTGGGTATTATTAACAAGGTTCTAATAATAGACCCGATTCGATCCATGCATGTTATGTTTATAGGCTATAGATTATAGCAAAGTACAATTCTTCTTGAATAATCTCCTCCTCAACAGAAAATACGTTTATATAACATGCATACAGTATTCGAGTCAGATTGTTAAATGAGTACACGCCTATTTCTTTTTATATTTTTAAAATAAAGTCAATGTCTCGTTTTTTTTTCTTTTCGCGATATAAATAGACTTGTCATAGATTGATATTATTTCAAATTCTAACCTTAACAATAACATTAATGATGAAGGATAACACATGATAGTGCGCAGAACAAACAAGAAGAAAAAGGAAACAGCTTAGCTGAATCAAACGAGAAGAGTTACAAAAGTTTACACATAAGCACATTGATAATATCTTGTGATAACGAATCATAATATTTTTGTTTGATTATTTATTTTCTATAGATTCATCTGAGGTCATTTGAATTCCGCCTCTGTAATACTCTTTTGATTTGTGTTTATGTGTAATTAACATATCTAAATAGCTGACATGTAAATACAAGAAAACGAATAGAATAAGTGATCTTGTCTAGTTTTGTTGTAATTAGATTTTGATTTCGAACATGTCAACGTGGAAATCGAAAAGAAAATGAAAGAAAAATAAATCATCTATCTCTAGGTTAATTATTAGTCAAAACAAACATGCTAGTTTTCGTTTCGAATGAATTAACTCAAAGTAGACAAAAAATAATAAAATCAAATACTCACATCAATTCGTTGTCTGTGTGAATGATGTTTTTTTACCTTCCCATTACAATAAAAGCTGTAAAGAGATCTGCGGAAATAATTTTTGCCTTTAGAAAGATTAGCAGTAGAGTAATATAGCGGAAGAAGAAAAAAAAAGAAGAAAAATTACAAATTGTTGTTTTTTTTTGCTACTCCAAGTCTACATTCTTAAAACCACAATATAGCCTAGTTGATAGTGAAATTACAAATACACAGAGAAGTACTTATGTGAAGTGAAAAGCAATCTTCAAAGATTTGGGAGCCATTATGACCTATTTTCTTGCTCCTTCTTCTTTAAAAATCTATGAATTTGCAAGATTCATTATCATCATCATTCATTTGAGTACTCCTTAAAAAAAACAGTCCTAGAATTCTTTTTTTACTTCAGCACACAAGAAAAAGAAATGCTCAACTGTATACAGTTCTAGATTGATTAAAATACAATGCTGCGTAATTATGTTGAAATGCGCAGTATTTTTAAAATAAGATGATGAAGGACTATTCCTTAGCAACCACTTGTTCATTTTAAAGTATCTGTGATCTTATACAAATATTAATTGTAAATCATGCGTTAAATTGATTTATTTTTCGTTCTATTTCTCTGTGTTTCTATTACAATCTTATTATCCGTAAAGGGTTTAAATTGTTTTAATGGAAAAAATAATAGTTTGACACATATTTTAAATATTAGGTCAATAAAATAAACATACTCAGAATTACTTACATTTGAATACTAAGCCGAAAAAGTGTGAAGCTATCAAATGCATGTTAGTATTACGTGTAAGGTCTTTATTGTCAGATAAAGGATTAACTGAAAAAAGAAAAGAAAATGTCTCTAGGTTGTCTTGGTCTTTCTTTGGTACTGTGTCTTTTACACATGATCCCTAATAAAAAGAGATCTAAATTTTGTTCCTCATCCATCTTCTTCTTCTTCTTCTTCGTCTTCGTCTTCTTCTTCTTCGTCTTCTTCTTCTTCTTCTTCTTCTTCTTCTTCTCTACTTCGATATGTATATGGGTAGTTGTTAACTATGACACTGATAAAACTTGAAACACGCAAAGCCTAGTCATTTCCTTACATCCTTCCTATTCGCTATTATGTCAAATGTTCGGTTTTGTAATACCTTAGGTGGATCACACGCTCTTCCTCTTGGATGCTTTAGCATGACAACTTTGAAATACTAAAAAAGAAAAGAACTATGACAAGTATGAAACGTACCAGTTTGCTTTTGGCAATAGCACAGATTAACAATTGTTTGCTCTTCCTTCTATCTCTATTTTCTATGTTTCTTCATATTTTTCTATTACATTAGACAAGACCTGTCATTCTGTTCTATAGTATCTCGTATTCGTCCCTGTTTTAAACCGTACTTAATTAGTATTCTTATAAAAAAAAACTCACCCGTCATCTTCGTACATTGTAGGCCGTGTTTTTCTCTGTTGCCTTTCACGTACAATGATATGTAGAAACAAAGCAACCGAAGAAAAGTCTGAATAGCTTAGAATATAAATTATAACATTTCCCTTTCTTGGTGTTTTGAAACATTACAGAGACGAAGCCATTGACGAGAAAAGATCTGTTGGACGAAATGATAATAACGGACGAGTGGATCTTATGCGTTGCTTCTCACTTGATTACATTCTAACATGCCAATGGTGTGCTGTCTGGCCGATTATCGAGCTTCATAATTGAAGTGAGATCCCATAAGCAAAAGCAACTGTTGGATTCAATACATTTTCTCTCGATTTACTCGTAAAGGAGAAGAAAAAGAAGAGATATAGAAAAAGATGTCTATATATCAATATTGAGATCACAAAATAAGATTGATAATAGTATTATATCTGTCGAGAAAAGAAAAAATCTCTTCTAGTTCCTTTCACTCTTGTTTTTGCTATAATGCATACAATACAACGACTGATGCATTGACTTTCTACCAAATTTCTCATTCTTTTCTTTTTCGTATACAAATAATACCACTACAAACTCTATTCAGTTTCTTTCTTTTTTCTTCGGGCTTACACTGCCTGTCATAAGTGATTTAGTCCTTTGTCTATCAGTTTTCTTTTTACAATGTGATTCACTTCGCTCTATATTCGAGGTTCCATCCTATAAATAATCAGTAGCAAAACACTATAATTTTGCCAGCTTTTTTAATTGGCTTCCTAAAATAAACTGAAATATAACATACTATCAAATATCAATTTGAATCGAGTGTAGTTTTTTTCTTCTTTGAAATAAGAATACTCGAGAGTCTAATTTCGATCTATCTCAATTAATAGGCACTACAAGAAAAAAAAATAGAAGCCAATAGATCGACAGTGGTTAATTCAAATAGAGAACAATTTCTGATAAAATTATATTAGCATTATATTAGAAACTAATTCAATCGAGCGTAGTTCCATTCCCTAAGTGCCGTTAAAGTATAAGAGAATCAGACAGGGGTAAACATTTTAAAAAGAAATATGCCCCTAAATTATATGTGTTAATGGCCCATTGTTTAGTGTATGAATGGATTATTCACAAGTAAATGTATTCATTCATGCATATATAGTTCGGTAAAGTATCATGGGCAAAGATATAGTATAGTAATCAGAATTACAAAGATAAAATAAGCAAAACAAAAAAATGAAAAATGAAAATTCACACGTTAATAAATTTCTTACTGTAAATTTTCAACATGAAAACTTGTATTTTCTATTAGGATTAGTTCGCCACTGGTCTATAACTAGATTCTCTAAAAGAATATTTATGAGGGAAGTTTTTTCAAATGTCAATATATCTAAAAATGTTACCTACTTGCTTTTGGCAGTATTTTAGAAGTAATAGGAAGTCATTAGCATATATACTAGCGTGACAAGTGTCACAATTGTTACCAATGCTCGAGAAAACGTGTAAGTCATATAGATTATAATTGGACAGACGAGCGAAATGACAGAACTGTTGTCGTATAATCGACATCATTAGGTACGCATTAACAAAAACTACTAAATATTTCATCAGTAACTTTTGCTTACTGTCAATTATTATGAATGACAGATGTGAACTTTTACAGTAAACGTTTCTTTGTAACTATCAAGTATATGTAGCGGTACTTATCTAATACATTCGACTAAAAATCTTTGAAGCTTCTCTGCAATGATTAGAAATAAATAGCGCATGGAATGAATTTACCTATGTGTAACCAGAATAGGGTTTTTATTAGGTTGTTCTTTTTCTTCGTATAGCCATGAGACAATGGGCTATTCACTGCTCTAGACGTCTATTTATTTTTGCATGTTAACAAGATGTTCAATATTAACATGAATTTTTTTTCTTCTTTAGTAGGCAATCGCGTGATATGAAATTGACTTTTCTTTTCGTGTAATATGCATAAATAGAAGCTTCCTACGTAAAATATGCCAGTTTCATGTTGATTTTGACAGTGAAGAGTTTCTATGAACTTGAAGGTTCTTAAGAGCTCATTTTTCATACAAAAAATGTGAACATATTCATCTGCTTCTGAAAAGTAAATTGATAAAAGTATAATTCAATATAGATCATTATTTATTTAGAAGTATTAAAAGGAAAAAAACGAACGACTTAGGCACTCATAGACTACGTGATCACCCTACAAAAAATCTATTCAAGCAATTATTTTATATGAGACTTTCTACTGATCGTGACATTATGTCGAATATACACGAACGAATAGAAAATACAATGGATACCCACACAGATTATCTTCAACATAGAATTCTATACATCTGAGATGGTTCAATCCCTTTTCAATTCGATGTATGAACATGCTTAAATTTGTATTTGTTTTGAAGTTCTAGTAAGCAATAGAGAGGATTTCCTGTCGTGAGCATGAGCAATAATGAATGTTTCTGTGAGCATTAATTGTGTCTTTTTTTGTTGAGCGGTCGGTCTATTCAACTAACTATCTAGATTAGCATATAATTTCATATATGAAGTAATTGTATAAAGACAGATTTTACATTTGCCGACTATATGTGATTAACGAGGAAGTTAAGGCCTTTTTCGGATGATCGCGTGGTTTACAAGTATCTAGGCTAAACCAATAAATAAAGATCAAGTTGAACTAGATAGATGGTAAACATAGATAAGTTGCATTTGTTGTTGTTGATAATGTAACATTGGCGTTCTTTTTCGTTTTAGCATTTCGTTCTCGAATTTTTTTCAAAAGTTCTTCATCTAATTGAGAAAAATTAGAAAATTAAAAGTCATAAAACTTTAAATTTTACTTCGCCGTTTATTTTCATTGGGTTGTATAAGATAATTTGTATCAACATTTTGTCCACATGATGAGCAAATTTTTATTTTAAGACCTTGTAATTCTTTGGGTGTTGTCCATTCGCCCTAAATATTTATAACATGTTTTTTTAAATCTACAAAAAAAAAAAGAAATCAACACTTACCATAAATGAATATTCATGGCAATATGGACAACTAGCCAAACGAGTAAATTGACTACCTTTAGAAGAAGAAAAAAAATTGAAGTTACTTTTTATTTTCTAACGGTACTGGCGATCTATATTTTGCTTTTGAACAGATAACTTTCATATGTAAAGTACTGAGATGTTTCGAATCGTTGAATACAGAAAGAAAGAGAAAAATGGTGAATATGACGAGTTGATATAGTTGAATTAACCTAATGAAAAAACTTTCTTGACTAATCCATTCCGCTTTCAATTATGTTTTTGTCGGTAAACACAGCATAGCATTTGAAAAATAATCCGTGAAAGGCGTGTATATTGTCTATTGATAGTGTACACAACAGTGATGTTTTCAAACGTTGAGTTATTTTTTGGAAAATTCCAAATCTAATTGAGTTCTCTATAACATCCAAAAGCCCCAGAGGAGTCTCTCAAAAGTAGACATGTTAGTAATTTAATAACTTAGCGAGGTCTCAATGGAATTGCTAATTCTTTTCAAAGATTTAATGAGACGAGAATTAATATCGCTCTAAGAAAACGATAATGGAAATCGGCAGGGAAGACCTAATGAGTTATACTAAAAATATACAGCGTGTGACGATGGAAAAAGAAAAATTGATGATTTCTACATAAAAATGAGCGAATAACTTATTTTGCGTATATTTTCATATCATCTTAATCTTGTAGTAAAGAAAAATTTACCAGGCGCTAAAACTTTGAACATTTCTTCAAAAAGATTGAGTAAACACATAAGTACATGCCACACATTATCAAATGGTCTTTCCATAACATTTGTTCCACAGTAAAAATTAACATACGTATGATGATTTGTTTCAATAATAAATCTTCAAAACAGAAAATAGACTTCATATTAATTAAGCAAAATTTCAAAGTTGATCAACATACTTAACTTGCTTTTCTTTATATTCACCTACAATAAAATCATTCCAATGCTTCATATATATAACATCGGATTTTAATAGAGCCAAAACTGAATATCGATGAAAACAACCCAACGATAATGTTGCACTTTTATAACAAACATTAACTTTATTTGTTAATTGTTTAAAAAAACGTTTTTTCTCTTGTTCATGTTCTTTTAAACTAATCGATGGTAAATAATATGGAACAATAATATGATCAAACTTCATTGCTTCAGAATTCAAAAAACTTTTCAATTGTTTTTTATTCAGTTTTGGATAGGCAATTAATAAATAACGCATTAATACATTCCAAACAGGATAAAAATAGTCTTTTTTATGCAATACACGATTCCATAATAAATGATTAAGATCATAATGTAAACGACCATATTCATGATATTCTTTTTTATGTGATTGAAATGTTGTCGATTCATACGAATTACTATTATGAAATAATTCTGATAGAAGATCTCCTAGCCATAATGGTCGAAGAAAAACAATACGATTTGATGTACCAATTTCATTGAGAACTAAAATTTTTCCTTGATCAGATAATGACATTGTTATGTCGTGAACTACGTCAGAAAGGCCATATTTTTTATTAATATGACTAGTAAAACTTTCCCATTTAACATAGGGAACAGGTAAATGATCAACTAAAGATTCAATATATCGATTTGTTTCAGCCCAAAGTGTTGGCAAAATTCTATTGACATGAGAAAATAGAGTCTTTTGTGTTGCAATGCAATATTGAATTTTTTGATTAAGTTCATCCATACCTTCATAGGTTAATGAACTAACTGATTGGCAAGATTCAATTTCTATGTTGAGATTTAATAGAGAAGTGTAAGTTTTAAGACGATCCGAAAGAGATGGTGAAATTATTGGAAGACGATCAATAAGTTCAATTTCATGTTTTATTCGATTGATACGAGATTCAAGAAAAAACTTGAAGAATCTATTGATTTTATCTAATAATTGATTTCTAAAAAGAAAATTTCGATTAATAATATATAATTTTCATTAAAACAAGGTTTTTTACTTTTCATAAATCGATTGTTTATTGTATAGATCAATGCATGTGACAATAGGAATTATCATTAAAGCACTTGTTTTAGTTATTTTTTCACAAAGAATTTGCAATATTTGTAATAATTGTTTTACAATTGGATATGATGTTATGTCAAAATTATCTTGAAATATTTCTTCAATAGTTTTTGGAGTTTGCTTATCAAAATCAACTGAATGAATACAAATCAGATGAACAGCATTTGTATCAATAAATATTGACATTTGTTCATAATGTTCCGATGATCCATTAAAATCAAATATAGATAATGGAATGGGTTTTTTCGATTCCATTATTGTAGACGACGGTGGAGATATGAATGTAAGAAAACCAGACTTTCTCGAAATTTTTTTTTGTATTTGTAAATCAATATCAAAGTGTGATTGTTTCGATACACTTGTTAAAGATTTTGTTTCGGAATAAGAATATTCGTTGTCGCTTTCGTTATAAAATGGACACTGGAGAACTATTTATTACACAACAATTATTATCTCAATTAAATTTTATTAGCGCCACTTACTATTAACAAGTCTTGGATCTTTTTCATCTTCTATCAACGGTCGCTGCTCTTCTAGACAATAGGCTAACGATGATTTACCACTGTTTTTACAGCCTGTAATATATATTTTAAAACCTTGTCGAGTCGGTTCATTCATTTGTTGTTCGTCAAAAGACGACCGAAGAATGGGAAGCATATTTCTTGACGTTGTGTTTTCTTCATTGAGAATTTCAGATGAAATCGTTGGATACACTAACGGATTATGATGAAGTTTTAATTCTCGAGTTTTAATCGTATTATAATATAATATTTTCATTAGATTATTTGGTATCGATTGAATTTTATTATTTGATAGATCAAGTTTAGACGAAATCAAGAGAAGATAATCGTAGATTTTTGTTAATTGATTAAATGATAGATCAATTGAAAACATAAGTGTTGTTCGTCGATAAGCATCTATTAATGTTGGTAATTGAGTGAATAAGTTGTGACTCAGATCTAATACATCAAGAGTATTTATAAGTAATAATTCAATGGGAAAATAAGTCAGACGATTATACGAGAGGTTCACATTTTTTAAATAGGTTAATCTATGAAGGTTACGTGGAAATTTTATTAATTGATTATGAGCCATATGAATATATTCAAGTCTTTTCAATTGACTAAAATCAATACCGTCAAGTGTTTCGATTTGATTATGATCGAGAATAAGAACTTTTAAAAATTTAAGTTTTAATAAATTTATAGAAACTATTTTAATTGAATTATGTTCACAATTTAATCGAACCAGATATTTTAAATTAGAAATAACATTCGGTAAAGTTTTAAAACGATTAAATGACAAATCGATTTGTTTTAAAGAATGTAACTTTTCAAATGTGTCCGATATTGTCATAAGTTTATTATGTGAACAAATTAATATATGTAGATGATTGAGTAATGCAATTTCTATTGGCAAATTATTAAGTTCATTGTGACTAATATCAAAATATTCTAATGTTTGAATCGACGAACAAATATTCTGAATCGTTTCGATATTCGAAGATAATTGATTTGTCGGAACATGAAAACGTAAATGTGATATTGAACGACAAAATAAATCATCGTTATAATTACCATCATTTAGACGAATAGGAAGAAGATGACGAATACCAGTTGTACCAGCACGTATGAATAAAATAGGATTTGATGTTTCGGTAAGTAGATCATCATTATTGGTAGCCATCGTATTGAATACGTTTCGTACACGCGTGAGTAGACTTTCCCTGTTGACTATAATATATTGCTATTAAAATTCAAAAAGGCTACTTCTGATAATAAATGGATTAACTAAAAATTGAACGCGTTAAAGTCGATGGTAACTATTAGCTGTTTAATTGATTCAATTAAAAATTTAACATGACTTACACAATAAATCAAAGCTAATTAACAAATTTTTAGAGTACGGTCTTTTATGTTTTAATCAAATCACTTATGTAGCTCGACGACTCTCTACTATCATTGATGGAATCAAAATAGAATATGAAATCTTTTGTGTTTTTTCTATCTTTATAATTAGTTTTTACTTGCTTTTTTAATGGAAATGTCTTTTTTTTAAACTGGCCACCTTGGCTCAATTGTTCTCTGTTGTTTTCTGTTTTGTAGAATACTTGTTGTTCAAGGTAATATTAAATTATTTAGGAGGAAATAAATTATAATTGTAATTTCCTGTAGTGAGACAGGAAATCTCTAACCAGTGCATTAACTATCAAGAAAGATTATTATGTTTTTCTTTAAATAGAAAATAATATTCAATTAGTGTAGTGTTATACCTTGAGTTTATTATATTATCGATGCAGCGAGCTTGTATTTTGCTTGTAGATGAAATAATCATTGATCGATAGAGTAGAAATAAATCATAAATATTGATTTAACATTGTGTTTCTATGGATTTACAGGAAAAAAAAACTTTAATTATATCCTGAAAAAAATCCATGTCTATGCAAACAAAAAACAAAAAGTTAATTAAAGACATAATGTAAACTAAATCAAATGTTGAAATCTATTGAAAAAATAGTAGTAGTCAACAAACAACGATGGATAATATTTTAAATTAAATTTATAAAACAAAAAAGTTATGGACATAGTTTCCAAAAATAATTATCAATTATCGACGAAATCTTTCTCTTTCACTCGCGCAGAAGACCATTATTTGATCAATCATGGAGCAATGACATCAATGCTTCATTGCGCGACGTCTAAAAAAGTATAATTTTGTGAAACACGATCTCAAGAGAGTATTGAAGTATACGAGTAGAAATTTGCATAGTCTCCAAGGACGTAGCAGCAGCAGACTACTTAGCAACATCCTATCATAGACGCCACTAAGGTATTCATTTAAGATGTCTGGCCTTTTTTTTGACTTGAACTAAATCACTTAATTTACAATGCATGCACATTTTTATATTCCAATTCCATAGGGACTTTGCTTGAAAAGTCATCTTATACTTTGGACATGTTGTTTCTACAAATCGCTTTAATTAACATGCAATATAACAAGATATTTAATAATTAGTTAGTACTATCAGCTAACAATACTTTTCATAAATTTTTTTCTTATATATATATATTTTTTTTTTCTATACAATATCTCACACAAGAAAAAAAAGTAGAATAATAATTTTTCGTCTCGAATACAACAAATAATATTTGATGAGCACGATGGAAGAAAACTATAAACAACACAAAACACAAACAGTTAAAGTAATCGATGACGACATTCTTCTGAACCACAACGACAATGCAATACACGATTTTCTACCGTATCGACCTGTGAAAAAAAATTAAAAGAAAGAGTACATTTGCTTTAAACAAATTCAAATAATTCAATCTTACTTCATACGAATAATCCCAAACGAGTTCTGTACCAGCTTTAATATGCGATACCGTAAAAAAAGCTACCCAAGGAAATCGAACATCCCATGATTCAATAAATACATTTTGAACAAACACATTCGGCGAACACGAATGATTATAAAATCTTGATACATTTCCTTTTAAATGTGCATCCATAACAAATATACCTGGATCATAATTTGCTTGTTGATATTCAAGAAATGCTTTCGTTTTTTCTATTGGTATATTTTCTTCTTCCATATATGTATGACCATCTGAAAATACAGATCATATTAGACTAATTCAATATGATAGAATAGAAAACAACTTACTTCCATTATGTTGTTGCAAATCTGAGTTAACATTCATATTATCAACATGACTCACATTATTCATATTCATCATTGGTCTTGGTTTTCTTGACGACGAATTTAGTGAAGCAACAAAATCTAATGCTGTAAAATAAACATCGCCCATATTTTTCTGTACACCACGTCGATTAGCATCTTCATCATTGAGCACTTCACCAGCATAACAGCTTAAGTAAGTACCAGCTGGTAAATCATATAATGTTCTTACACCCCAACCTTTTTCAGATGTATTATAAATTTGTAGAAGAGTATTTACACCAAATTGAACACATCGATTTGTACATCGTGAATCACATTTACATTTTCCATTACATTCATAAATACCTTTCAATATTCAAAAAAACAAACCGTTCTATATTATTTCTATGATTTTGTTTTTTAGCAAGGGTGCCGAGTATCAACTGCTAAACAGAAAAACTAATCTTCATAAATGATAAATACCTGAATGAATTTTTTCTAGTAATCGTCCATGTTTATAGCCATAATTTCTTTTCGATAGAGCTTCATAAAGGTATAATCTCATATTTTCTATATTTTCATCATCATCGTTAAATAATTCTTTTAATTCTCCGATTAAATCTTCATAATAATGTGATTCAATAATACCATCGTAAGTCTTTTTCCAACAAGCACATTTCGTTGTATCTAAACATCCATCTGTACATGAACAACCTTGTATTGTACTTTTATCAATAACAATATCCGATGTTAATGGTATACGATCTGTTATATATTCAAATATTTTCGGTAATGTTGAATCATATTCATTAACTAACATCAATGGTACATTTTCGCGTTCATTTGCATAATCTTCCATTTGTACAATTGATTGTTTTAGTGAAATAAATTTTTGTGTTACGCGACAATTCATATCAAATGAAAATTGTTTTATATTTAATAATGAATCTATTTGAAATAGATAACTATATAAACGTTCGGCATCAGTAAACATTTGACCACATGGTGATATATATACAATGGTACCTAAATCATTTCGTATTTGTCGTTTCCAACCTTGATTCAATGGTATTAGAAGAAAATGACATTTATTATCAATTGTAGTTTCTTTATTTACAGCGAAACGTTTACATGGTGGTTCATATGATGATACAGAATTAAATAATGGTTGTAATCGTAATGAACCACGATAGAGCCATTCATGTTTATTTAATATTGGGAGAAAAACGCGCATAAGACTACCTTCAACTTTTGATACAATTGCATCAACCCATTGTCCATTTAATTCAATATTAATATGATCTTTTGCTGATATATTAACAAGACGTCGTTTCGGATAAGTTAAAACATAATTTTCAATATAATGTTTTGTACCTAAATCAACTTTAGATAAATAATTCGATAATGATTCAAGTAAAAGATGTATTGCTATTGAACGTAAATAAAATGGAGAATCATTATCGGCAAATATTAAATATCGTTGATTATTAATTGATGATGGTTGTTCAGTGATGATACCACGCAACGGTTTATCAATATATCTTGATGTATCAGCATCACCACTTGGCATACATAATACACGTGTGCCAACATTTAGATTATTGCCAATAGTATCATTTAAAGCTACACGTTCCGGTGGATAACGATAATGATCTTGTGATGTTGCTTTATGATGACAATTTGATAAACGACATGTCTATTGATAAAAAAATTTAATTAAAATACCTAGAAGAAACAAAAATGACATTTTTACTTACTAATATTTGAAGTTTATTATCATTATTTTGTTGTGCAGTGACAAAATATGCTAGCGTCCATCCGTGTGAAGGATTATAGACGAGTACACGTTGGCCAACATCAATAGCCACAGGCATTCGATTTTATTGGAGAAATTACTGAAAATATTTTCTCTGCGAAATAGACTTTAACGTTTATTAGTATAACAAAGAGATCGATATACACAAAGGGGCTCAAGAATTGAATTCGATTGGTTGATTTAAATTAACCAATCTATGGATATGATTGAACATAACAATCGTTTTGTTGTGTATGTTTCAATCGAAGAGAGAAGAAGAAAAAAAAACACTGCAACCAATAAACAATTATAATGGCTCATGTTGAAGATAAGAGAAATTCACCGTTTAACTCATTTTTAATTGATGATCCAACACCGAATGATAATCGTATAACAATAACGAATGAAGAATCAACGACGATTTGTTCATCATGCCAACAAGATCTTCGATTATGTCCATCAAAAATTCTAGCTTGTCTTCATTCTGTTTGTAATCAATGTTTAGATAAATTAAAAGATTCATCAGGAACTATCTATACATGTTCGGCTTGTGATCATAAAAGTCGAGTAGAGACAATATGTGACAATTTATTTGCAACAGAAGAAATCGAAGTCAATGGATTGTCGACACATTGCAGTAATTGTGAGGAACACAATATTGCTGATTGGTTAGTGAATAGAATTTTAAAGCTCTTACTATCAAAGCAGAAGAATCTATGCTAAATTTATCATGATTGGATCTGATGCAAATTTAACATATGAGATTGAACAGCATAAATTTTCGTTTTAGCTCATTTGTCAGTTAATTTTACTAACAATTTCTTCCTTGAGAAAAGTAAATCTTTGGAAAAAGAAACTCTTGATATTAGTAGAGCTCGAATAGTAACACCCCTGCTTAGTTTTATGTCCAAATTCATCTTTTATGTTGTTTTATTTTGTGTATATAGGTATTGCGATAGTTGTGCTGATTGGCTTTGTATTCAATGTAAAAATGCACATGCAAGAGTTCGTTTAACTAAAGATCATGTTGTAACACAAAAAAATAATGAAGAAGCAAGAAAAATAAGAGGACTAAATCAAAATGAAAAATTGCTTTGTCAAGTTTGTCATATGAATGGATTTTTTTTTCTTCTATATTCTTTCATATTTATGATTTTAGATTCACAATGAAGAATTAGCTCGAAATTTTTGTCAAGATTGTCAAATATTAACATGGTTAGTTACTTCGTTTTTCTTCTGTATATTTTTATGTCCATTTATTTTTGTTAGCGATGAATGTCAAATAACCCTACATAAAAATCATCGTTATTTATTTATTGATGAAGCCATACAAAATCAAAAAATAAATCTTCATTCATTAGCTAATAAAGTTCGTGACGTACGTTTAGTATTAAATAAAATTCAACAAACAAGAAGTCAACAACGATCTGATATCGATCAAACTGAACGTCAAGTTATTGATGATATTAAATTATTTGGTTTAAATATGATTGCTGAAGTGAGCAGAGCATGTAAACAATTAATTAATGATACAACTACTTTATGTAATCAAGCTCGAACACAATTCACTGAAAAGTAAATCCACAAATGCCTCTAGTCGCAAGAAATGAATGATGAAGGACATCTCCATTTTGTTGACAGTGATTGCGTTTTTGTGTCATTAAAAGCCTATGTTCCATCGTACGCTGAACGTAAAAAATATGCACTTACTCAATTAGATAGACTAATATGAAAAATTTTCACTTAATCCAGATAGACAAGAAACTTATTTTGTTTTTCGTTTAGAAATACACGATTCGAACAATATTTACAAAATATTGATCATTCACTTGATTTTGTCAATGAAGCATTGACAACAAGTATGTTGATTGAATGATTTTCCATCTTGGTTTTTATAGTGTCTTTTCTTTTGTTTCAATACAGGTTCAAAAATGGCAATATTAAAATCGAATCGTGTAATGAATAAACGATTAGATCATTTACTTCATCAAAATGCTATTTGGTCAAAAGCGATAAATCCATTTCAATTAAAATTTTCACCCAATGATCCAAAAAATGTTCGCTCAACAATTACAAGTCTTGGTGTATTAGTACACAATGGTAAAAAGAAAATAACTAATAACAATAAAATAATACTTCCAGAAGGTAGTTTTTTTTATAGAATTGAAAAATTTTTTATTTGTACTTTTATATGATTTAGAACAAACGAATGGTATCGAACATAGGTAAGACTGAGCCACGTCTAAAAGAATTTGTTTTTTGATAAAACAAAGAGTTTTATTTGTTTTTCTTAGAAAACTGAATAAATATCATTCACAATTGACAACTTTCGATAGATTTGATACTGACCATCAATCAACAATATTACTCGATACAAGTGAAGATTTTTGTGCTGTTTGCCGTTGTGGTGGTGAGCTTGTTTGTTGCGATGAATGTCCACGTGTATATCATGTTGAATGTCATGTACCATCATTAAATGAAGTTTCAATGAATGATAAATGGAAATGTGGTTTATGTAGTGAAATCAATCAATCATCGACAATATTAAAACGTAAACATGACGATACAAGTGATAAATTATCATCAACTGAAAAACAAATATGTGAAAAATTAATTTTACATATGTATACGCATTCATCAAGCGGTCCATTTCATCATCCAGTACCAGCTGATGTATGTCGAAAGAAAATAAAGGAAACTTTTCTATTAAATCTATTTTTGTTTAAATTTAAGTGTATTGGCTATCATAAAGTTATTACGCGGCCAATGGATTTACGTACTATTAAAGAGAAATTAAATTCATATCCAAATATAAGTGAATTTTTAGCTGATGTTCGATTAATGTTTCATAATTGTTCAACATTTAATCGAGTATGTGTACTATTGTTTTCAGTTCGATTTTTGAAGATTTTCTAATTTGTATTTATTTTTGTGTTTTAGCCTGAATCAGAAATTGGTAAATCAGGTCGTACATTGAGTAAAGCATTTGATGAATGGTTAGAAAAATACTGTTCAAATAGCCAAATATCAATACCAGATCGAACAAATAAACGAAAGAAAACGTCTATACAAATGATTGATCATGTTTCGTAGAAGACAATTGATTGGAATGTGCAATAGTTATATATTGTGTGTTTTATAAAAGCAAATTTCTTTTTTGTGAATATATATATATATATTAAAATGAACTAGATAGAAATAAATGTTGAAATCATCTAAAATTTAGAAGGATGATGGAAATAGAAGATTGTATTTAGAATCTCATTCCATTTTAATCGAATAATTTATATATATATATGTCGCAGGAGAAATTGAAATTCAGGAAAAATTAAAATATATGTTACGTCGGATAGAATCGATAGAAGATTAGAATGAAATAAAAATGTGCACCTAAATAAACGTCGGGTATATCATATAAGTAGATATTCAAGTGTCATTCTCTTATTTGCATAGAAGAATTGGTGATCAGAACGTTGTATATGAGATTAAATCTAAGCATCATGTTGTTAGATACGAGAAGTTCTAAAAAAATTCAAAGATGTCACGAAAGAGCTGGTCATCTAGGGCGAGAGAAGACTTGAATGGAAGTATGCACTGTGAACATTTTATGCAGTGTGGTACTACCCCGGTCGAAGAAAACGATCAGTACACGGTCGTATGCGATATAAATACGGCCCGTTTTACGTGCCGTATTTCCCCCGTATAACAGGGGCAGTAATACGGCCGTCACTAATCGACGATCTTGCTCTATTCTTTCCAGGTTCTTGTTTTTCTTTACTTTCAGGCAAGAATCATAAGATATTCAAGATATATTTAAAGTTCAGACAAGGATCTTTTTCTTTTCTTTTAAAAAGAATCTTGTCTGAAAATTATGAAAAAACAGAAACTGGAAAGAAATATAAGATATTTTAAATTTCTTACTATTCAAACAAGATTCTTATGATAGGAAAGAAAAATATTCTTGCCAGCTCTTCAAGATCAACGACACGTGATGTCGTCTTTGTACGATCAAATATATAAGGGCAATGCCTGAACGTTATTTATTCATTATTGGTTCGATAGGTAGTACAATTCACTTTGAATATGTACTTTTCCTAAAGCATTCGTTTTATTCAAACGACATCTAGCAACTCATTATTTCAATCGGATGTATAGAAAAAGTTTTCANCAGTAATACGGTCGTATGTTCTATAGAATACGATAATGCTACGCCTGCTATACGAGGTTTTACGGCTGATATACGGTGTCCGTGTACTGCCGTAATACTGCCCCTGTTAAAACGCCTTAATACGGCTTAAAACGGCCGTTTTACGGCGGAATACGATGCAAAAACGACCGTTTACGGTAATGTTACACCGGTTTACGGTGGTCCGTTTTGATCGACCTGGGTAAGTGTGATTCATCAAAAACGAAACCATGCTCAAATGTCTAGTTCAATCTTTGTATTTTTGAAATATAAAAATGTAATAAAGTTGATACTATATATTCAGGAATATTTAAAATTCTCCTATAGGAAAAATTAAAACTTTAAGTTTTACTAGGAAAATTTAAAATTTTCCTGAATTTCAATTTCTCCTGCGACATATATATATATGCAAAACTGATATGAGGAAACTCAGAGGTGATGTGTTTTTTTTAAAGGACGAATAAAAAATGTAAAAATACCTTTGGAGATATGAATTCATTAATCTTAAATAATATTTTTGTTTGTACACGAAAAGACAAACTATTGATGAAATCATATGTTGTATCAATAGGTGCTTAATCAAGTCTATATGAATATCGATCATTCAGTGTTCAGATGTGGACATATCTTTTCTGTAAGAAAATAAATTTCAGAAAAATATACTCTTTTATACAGAAAACAAATTTGAAAGTTCGTCGAGGTTTAAAAAAACGAAATTCATATAAATTTCTTCATAAACATGCTAAATCAGTTGCGTTCTTGTTAGGCCCCAAACAGATCAAAAAAAATAAAACAGAATTAAGCAACGTGATTGGTTAATTCACACTTAAGTCATATTTTTTAGACGATTTAGTGGTTAATTCTGTTTTATCCTTTTCGTCTGTTTGGGGCTTTAGTGTCACCAATTTAATTTGTGGTTCATTATTAGCGGGTAAGGAGAGAGAGAGCTTTATGTTCGATTTCTTTTTTTTATTTATTTCAAATCGAAAACAAACATCACACATACGCGCACACACACTACTGAATATAAACCATCGATATATATATTTATATATCTATATATATATCGAGGGTTTGGAAAAAAAAGAAATATAAGTGCAAAATAAAGAATGACCTGAGATAGTTCAGACCAAAGAAAAGAAAGAAAAATATAACGAGGGTTAGCCGCTAACATTCATGAAAGCTTGTTTTTGAATTAGATATTGCAAAATGAAAGAATTGTTGGTACCAACGATGTTTTTAAAAATAAACCAAAAAGAAATCAGTATCGAACGCCAACAAAATATTGAATGATATCTATAACGGTTACAATTGTTTTAGAAGGAACAAAACTTGATACTAGAAATTTGAATAAATAAAAGATGTAAAACGTAAAATTCAATTTCGCATTTCATTCCTCATATGGAAAGAAACGTGTGATGTTTGAGTATGATCTTATGATTAATATCTTGCTACAACATTCAAATATGAAAATACAATTACGAATCTTAGACAAAAACTGCTGATCTATGATTATTTTTTATTCGGATGAACAAGCAAAACATTGTCTAAAGAGAATTTCAAACCAAATCAAAAACAGGAGTTCATGTTCTTAAAGATACCTTTTAACTGTATAAGAAATAACATTAGTCGAACATGTTTCTACTCTTATCAATCGATACGGCAGCAAATCGTTTTACTATATGAAAGAACGAAAGTAATACAATCGAATTTTTTTTTCTGTAAAATACATAGGTTTATATCGAAATTTTCAGCCTGTTTTTTGTTATTAACTGTTAGTCATGATCATGCTGAATCGACTGTCTCCTTAGTCAAGAAAACAAAATAAATCAATTGCATGAAAATTCATAATTGTTTAGCTAGTCAACTCGACAAGAATTATTTTTTAGGAAGATTTTAGATGTCGAACATCAAGAATTATTTGTTGTCTTTGGTTGCAATTGCATTTTCTATGCTTGTAACAGGAATGTCAATCGTTACCCCCTTTTATTCGGCAAGAGATGATCCATTTAGTGTAAAAATGCGTGATCCTGCTCAATTGTTATACGTGTCGGTTACGTTGATTGGGTTATACGGCTTGTCAACTGAAACAAAAGTGTTTAGACGTTCGGCTCAGTTGGATACGGTGGCAATATTTCTTGTTGCGGTTTGCTGTGCGGTGATGTCGATTACAACCCAGGTCGAACATTCCGGCCACCGGATCCCGTAGGATACTCCAGAGAATATGCGGGAAAGTCGCCATATCCTGTAGGAAAACACGGGAAATTGCTGGAACATGGAAGCAGTATTCTGGTCAAAAATACGGCCGAACTTTTCCGGCGGATTCCTGTCAAGTTCCGGTGATTTCCGGCAGGAATTGATCGGAAATCACCGGAAAAAATCCGAAAATTTTCCAACCGGAATACTGCTTCCACAAAATCAACGGAACTACCCGGAACCGGCCGTTTCCAGGCCGGACTATTTGACCTAGGAACGATCCCAAGCAGGTTGGCTGATCGAACACTTGTGATTATTGACACCGTAGCCAACAGCTCTGCATCGCTGTATCTAGCGATATTGTTCACAGTTTGGACCGAAAAAAAAACAAATGTTAAGAAGGTAGAGGTTTAAGTTTCTTTTTTTTCTTGTTTGTCTTTCTCTTTCTTTTTTTCATTGCTTGCCTTTCTCGTTCTTTTATTGTTATTAGCTTTCATTTCTGTTAAAATTTCATAAATTTAGCTACTTCTTTAATCATAGAAACTTTTCTTTAATAAAATTTTCACAATGAATCTCTGAACTTTGGTCGACAGCAACAATATCGTCAGTAAAAATGTCGAAACTGAGTAGGTATTCATGAAAAATGTCGTCTTCAGAATTGATGCATTATTAAAAGAGGTTTTCCGTTGTTCGAAGTAATGAAATTTAAATCACTGTTGATGTTGCGTGTCGATTCCATGACGGCTTCCATATGTATATTTATCACTCGAATAATGAATCATTAGAGAATAATTTTCTTATTCTTTTCTATTACATTGTACTAAGTGACCAATGTTTGATAGACCATTGATAGATTTAAACGAACATAAGTCGCCATCAATACTATAAGCAGTGGCGGATCCAGAAAATCTGTTATGGGTGGCCTCCTGGCCAGAAAACGTTTTTTCAAGCCTAGTTGAAACAGAACAACTATTTTCTGTTTCATTTCTGCTGGAGAAAATCGAAAAAGTTCCTTAAGGGGGTGACAATGGCCGGGCAGCCTAACTGGTAGATCCGCCACTGCCAACAATAGAGGTGTCAGGTTAGCATTAACAATGAAAATAATGCATTGGTGTGTTATGGTAAAGAAAATACTTAATGCGGATTTATTCCCTATTTTATCATTCCTAACACTGATATTACTTTTAATTTTAAAGATTTATTATTAACCAATTTTCCTGGAGAAATAAATCAATGTATTATTTTCACTTTTAATGCTAACCCGACACCTCTAGCCTACAATAATAACATATTCATCGAATATCTTTTAAAACACTCCTTCTTTTAGATTTTTTAATTTTATTTTTAGAAATTTCTTTCGACATTTTACTGTCGACCAAAGTTGAGTTTACCTTTCACAACACCTACTCAACAAAAAGTATCGCCAATTTGAAAACATAAAATCGAATGTTTCACTTCATAAACAAACTAATGGCTGTGAGTTGGGTAAATAGACAAATGATCCCCAAAAAAATGACTATTGATCACCAAAATGTGTTAGTTGCGAAATGATCACCAAAAAAATGTACAAATGATCCCCAATCTATTTTATTGTGAAATGATCACCAAAAAAACATACAAATGATCCCCAATCTATTTTATTGTGAAATGATCACAAAAAAAATATATATTCGATCACCGAATTTATTATCAATACAATAAGAGATAGAATAATAAATAACAACTACAGTTACACAAAATACAATAAACAATAGAAACAGAAAATATGTTCTACCAAAATCATGGTAACCATGCTGTTCGAACTTTTTTTGGACGTCCTGGAGTTTTTCGTTTTCCCAATGGCGTACAACGAGTTTCATCTTTAATTTGATGCATGTTCAATATAATAGCTAATCCAATGGAATGTTTACATATGTATTCTTTAAGTCCAATTGGACATGTACAAGATGCAAGTGGTGATACCATCCAGCATGATGATTTCCATGCGGCGTAATCGTCAAATGATGGCCATTGATTTGATTTATAAATATTTAACCACGCCGATGTTGTCATGATTGCAGTTGAGGAAGGAACAATGTAATGATTATTAAACCAATTTAAAATTTCAGATCGATTAACATTTAATGACCATTTGTATGCATGTAATTCAACATTCAAAGATATATCAGTTATAGTAGAAAATGGTGATGAAATACTGGCCTCTGACCACTCAAATAACATAGTTTCCACTTTAGGTAAGAATGCAGATAAATGTAATTTGTTGCGTAATGTATATTTTTTTTTTATAACAGCATTAATTGATTCAACGCCGTTGTTAGTGGATGGTTTACCAAATGCAGCTCCTTCGTACCTGAGACAATACAGTTAATCACTCTTAAATTTATATCAAGGCAATTTCTTACCAATAACGTAATTTAGACACCCATTGATCAATGAAATAATCGGTGAATCTTTGCATAGTTGGAATGAGATTCCATTTTTGTAGTAACAATTTAAGACCAAGATTAAATATATCATCAGTAAAAGCAAGGTGTAATACATGAATATCCTTATCAATAATTATCCAATCTTCTTTTGTTGCTAAATTACGATGTGATCGACATTTTTGTATCATGTGACGCCAGCACATTAAACGACGACAACTAGGGAACAACAATTCTTGGGCCGTTGTAATTGCTAAATAGTAGAAGAGATTTATAAAAATTATTGAGTTAAAAACTACAACACACCTTGTGCACCATCCCCCATTAATTGATTAATTAAGCATGGATGGTTGAATTCTTGTATAGCTAATGTATTTATTGAATTAAATAATTGTTTATAACATTCAGCGTTTTCGTCATGAGAAATAAGTGCAATGCCGAATGGTTTGAAATGACGATTAGCATCAGTTGATCCAAATACAAGAAGAGGTAAATTGTTCCAGGTGAGTTTATAAGTTGCATCAATTTGTAAATATGTTGTTAATCGAATTTGCTGAAACAATTGTTTTGTTGTGAAAAAAATAAATAAGTTATTTATATCATCAACTGTATAGAAAGGGACAAAAGTAGAGTGTAATCGCTCACCTTCTTGATGCTGACTGCACCAGTTTCGTAAATCATAAACCGAAAATATTTCTGGTCTATCTCTTCGTCGTTCATAAACTATTTTATTACTTAATTTAACTTGATCAATTGGACTTTGTGGATAATTTAATATCAATGATGCTTTAATTTGAGGTTGTGATAATCCACATTTGACATAGTTAGATATGGATTCACGTATTGGCGATGGTAATCTTGTTGTTGTATTTCGTTCATTTTGTTCATGTTCATGTTCATTTTTGGACATAATTGTTATAGAATTCATATTGTTGTCTGGGACGATAATTTTTATTTGAAAATGACATAAAGGATATTTCCTGTATTCACTACATTTAAATGAATATTTTGTTTGATCGTTTAAATCTGATCGTCGATTTTGGCAAACATTAAAACGTGATTTTGCTAAATCTTTTGCTTCTTCATATGATTGAGCTGTGTATAGCAGCGTCCACTGTTTACTTGACATTTTTAGTTTTCTGAATTGTTATGATAGAACATTTTGTGTAACTATTCTCAGTTAATGAGATCATTTTGATCCAATTATGATTATTGTTTAACTATGTCTTATCAATCTATTATCTTTTGAGATAAACACATTATCTACCACAACTCTACCATTCATTCCACAAAAAGCAAATTGGTGATCAAATATATTTTTTTTTGCGATCACTTCACAATAAAATAGATTGGGGATCATTTGTATGTTTTTTTGGTGATCATTTCACAATAAAATAGATTGGGGATCATTTGTACATTTTTTTGGTGATCATTTCACAATAAAATAGATTGGGGATCATTTGTACATTTTTTTGGTGATCATTTCGCAACTAACACATTTTGGTGATCAATAGTCATTTTTTTGGGGATCAAAAATATTGCTACCCATATTTATATATACATATAAGTGTATTAGAAATTAAAAAGTAAGCTTTTTCCTTGTTCTGTGAACGAATATCTATGAAGATTAATCTTTATGTTTATTTTCATGTTCATTTTTTGACAGCGAGAATATGAAGAACACTGTCTCTAGTTTTTGTTTTACATTAGTTTTAACAAATACATATCTTTTTTTTCTTTTTTGAGTATGCACTTTTATTACGTCTACAGACGCTTATAATCACATATGTATATATATATATATATATATATATGCATACGAGTATTAGCTGATCTCTTTATTTTCTCCATTGAGACAAAAAATGTAAATATTAATAACTATCAAATCGGTTTCATCAACATTTTGATGATGTACTGTATTATCTTTTGATTCAATCATCCACACAAAGATTTGAATCCTTAATTTTATGAATAAAGATGTCTTTTTCTGATGTATTAAGTAAAAAAAAACACGCATCTCAAGATGTACAACAAATCATCACATTTATCGATTGTACAGATTGATAATGATGAGATTATATCATTGTTGAAGTAAGATAGACTGAAATACATATCTATCATTGCATATGTATCAGTCTGTCACCTTCAACGACAAGGAGATAGATACTTATAAGGACTATTATAAAACTATTTCTGCTGGTATTATGCTTTTACATATGTAGCTATGCATATAGATATGTCAAACGATTAAGAGTGTCTATCTTTCAAAATACATGCCAACAACACGATTATTTTACACTTATATTTATGCAAGACAAAAAGATGAATACTCAAGGGCTTGATGTATGAGTAATGTCAATCCTTCTCATTTTAAAAGAATCATCAAAAATAAAAAGAGTGATTTTCTTTCAATTTTTTTCTTCTATTGAGGATGTTGCGTCATGTTCTCATTTGGGATAATCATATTAGTAGTATCAAACTCTTTGATCATCAGCTATAGTTTCAAAGAAGAAGAAGAACAAAACTAGTCTATTAGCTATATGTTACATAATTTCCGATTGTAAAAGCGTTGATTTCCGCTTCAATACTCAGATCAGATCAATTGAAAAAAAATGACAAGTTTGATTAGGTGAAATAGAGGGGAAATGATAAATGCGAATCGGCATAGGTTTGAAGGTTAAATCTATTCTTGTTTCAATTCTACTTAGTATGCAAATCAAGTTTGCTCGATAATCAATTGTTGTATTTAAAATATTTATGTGATAAGACTGGATCGTCATAGGAGAATAAAAACACATTACCAAATAACACCTATGATAAGAATTAGCTGGTGAACAAAACAATATTCAATGTTTGTATTCAATTACGAAACGTGTGACAGTATGCTTTCTATAAATTAGCTATTCAAAACTTACTTGAGCATAGCCATGTCTTCTTTTCGTCTTTTCAAGTGTTAGCTAAAACTTGTTCGTGATGAATTTGGTTATTGTTTGAAGAGACAATTGTTTTGTGTTCAAATATAGGTTGAAAATGAAAATGAAAATAAATTGAATTGTTGAGTAAATCGATACGAGTAACAACGATAATGAGTATATACGCACCAATCGGCACGATGATCACATCATTTCAATGTATCTATTAATGCTAACACAGTATTTTTGTTGATTAAAAATTTTGGTGTAGAAAGAAAGCGAGAGAGAAAGAAAAAGAAAGGAAAAAATACATCTATGGGGTTCATCATTGATACATGAAATTCCTCTTTTTACCCGCTGTCTGTATCTTAATCAAGCGGAAAAAGAAAAAAAATGAGAACGAGAAAAAGAGATGAATATAGAAGAAAGAACTAGACATTTATATTCTCGTTCATCCATGTTAATCTTCGAATAATTCAATATTAGATATGCATGCATATACTAGGTCGCAATCTTCTATATATATATATATATATTTTTTTTTTGTTCTGTAATATTACTGGCAACAACATCATCGAAGAAAATGCTAAAGATAAAATTACATCTAGATAATTGATTTTGCCCAAAAAGAAGATGACGACAACAAGAAAAGAAAGATCTCACTATCTCTCTTGGCTCGTCTAGTATTGTCATTTTTGTTCTTTTGCATAGTTGTCGCATACACAAGACGATGAATGATATAATTTGTCGAAAGAAGGAGAACTATGCAGTGAACACGAAGATGAGCAATAGCTGTACTATATATATATACGAGTGTGTATGTGTGACGGAGTAATCGATCATTACACGTCACAAACGGGGGCTCACTGATCAAATCATCGTTGTCATGTCTCCTCTGCTTTACATGAGAGAATAAGAAAGAAAGCGACAAGTTTTTCTATAAACTTGAACACAACCGTTGTAAAAAAAGAAAGTGAGCGAAACATATCACATCAATCGACAAAAAAAATTTCGAAATATAAACGAGACAAAGAACGGTTTCTTTATAGGACTCAATGATTTTATGATGATAGCACGACATTTATATCTCATTGCTCCCGTAATTTGTTCGTCATGGTCGCTTGACATGCAAGAATCTTATTCAGTCAATTGACCATGTCTTTAACCTTGTTTTTGAAATATCTCTGATATTACCCATATAGTTTACATGAAAGTAATTTGTGCATGTAAGAAAAAGAGATTCAAGGTTGCTAAAATTATTCTAACAGAAGAGGAAAAGAAAATAATGATGGGAAACACCTCGGTTCTGGATGAAGAAGACATCTTAGACTCATATACGCGATTTACTGTCCACTGATTGGAAAATTTTTATTCCAATTAACGTTATTTTTGTATGAGGATTTACTGCCTATTGATTGAATAACTTTTTTTTCAATAGCGTTTTTCTCGTTTGAGGATTTACTGTCCATTAATTTCTTCGAAGAAGAAAAATTAATAAATGAGTGATGGTCTTGACAGTCAATCCGTTTTCTGAACAAAAAATTACATAAATGTTGAAAAACAAAAAAGTCACCAATGAGCGAACTATTGAATAAATGTTCAATTTAAAATGACGGATGCTCATCAAATTGAGGGGTGAGATAGTCATTAATATGGCAAGAAATTATAAAAAATATATATAAATTCAAAGAACATCATTTTCTTATCATCCTCTTGCTAAAAATGTCTGCTATATTTACTGAATCCTACCCATGGTAAACGGCAATTATGCTACCTCGATTATCGATATTCCATCATTCTTAAAATCTGCTGGACTTAGATATTCTCAGCGTCCACCCAAAAGTTGAAAGTTCATTCACCCTTTTTGGTTGATTTATTAATCAATTTCTTATTCTCTTTGTTATTTCCTCATATATTTGCTTGAATTCTGTTTTTTCTAAATATACATAGTTGATTGCGATAAATATTTTTCTGTTCATTTTTATTCTTCGAGGCAACGAGAGGACAGCAATACCTCAAATGAGAAAAACACTAATTGAAAAAAAAAACGTTATTCAATTAATGGACAGTAAATCCTCAGCAGCAAAAATTATACTTTCTGTAGAAAAAAAACAATTTTCTAAGAAAAACAATCAACGGACACTAAATCCGTGGACAGTAAATCCTGTAAACCCTTAGAGTACCATTGACAGCAAGCACACAGCTAAATTAGTTTGATATCCTACTTGTATTACTTCTTTGTATTATTCGAGGTCATAAAAAAAGAATTATTGCACGTCGTATTATAGAAGCATATTCATTAAAGAATATATTGTTATTTATTTCTGTGACAAAATGAGAACGTTTGTATATGGCAAATGAATGACAGTCGACAGATGTTTTATACATATGAATAAGAATTATTTACTAGGGACCCTTTATTGAATGGTATTTAGCATTTGCTCGCATATTCTAATCTTCTCATTATCATAAAATAGATGCATGGACTTGTTTTCTTCTGTATGAAAGAAAGCTCGATGCTGAACTGAAGTTTGCCCCGATTTCCTTTTTTTCCTTCATGAGTATATTATTTCATTAGAAAATAATTATAGTCATTTTGCCTGCCGGTAACACCACAAATAACAAAAAAATCTTAGTATACGCACAAACGCATCAAAATATCGATGAATAGGAGACATAGTGTGAAAAGACATTGTAAACATATGTAGACGTGAATATTATTATTATTGACGACTTCATTTATTCTAGAATGGAAAATGATAATGATTATAGCGGTTTTTTCTGCTTTTAGTGCATCTGTCTTTCGCTTTTCTTAGCACTACAATTAGTTTATGGCTAACCATTTCCATGTTAAATAATTTGTATTTATGGGATAATTGACATTGTTATTTTGGGGTAAGAAGGAAGTCAGGTGCTATCGGCATTTATTGTAGAAAATCATTTTTTTTTATTAAAATTAAGCCTGTAGGAAATAGAACATAATAGTATGAATCTAGAAGAGTTTTATTATCTTAAATTGGAAACAAAAATTCTAAAATTTCGATAGTTATATCTATGAAAAAATGTTATTTTAGTGAATTAAATTTACATTGATGATATTTTGATAAAATATAAATCAATTATTGATAATTCAATAATAGGTCAAGACTACAAAATAAAATAGCAAAAACAAAGTTCTCTAACGTACAGTATGCTCTAAGAACATTAGAAATGTATTGTGACAGATCAAAAACAAAAACTGCTTATTGAAATAGTTCCAAATAATCAATTTTCTGCTTGTTTTTGTACATCATTCAGGAAAACAATGCAAAAACAAAACGAATCATATAATTAACTTACATTTATCTATTTTCGGTTCGCGTATTTAATCATTGCTTCTGAATAACGATCATTCTACTCTCATGCAACTTACATTTGCTATCTTTCCTTCAAGTAAAAAACATGAAACCTTCAAAATACTATCAAGTAAACTTCCTTCATCAAAACTCACAATGATTCATAGAAATAAATTTCATTTTTACCAGTTTCAGTTTTGATAGTGTTAATGCTGTTTCTCTCTGACCAAATGTTTTTACGCGCTTTGTTTGTTTGGCTCAATAGCATACAGTGAGAAGAAAAAATCAGCTGTTTCTTATCAAAACTAACATAATTAACTAATTTGTTAATCTTCTCGATGACAGTTTGTTTAGATAGATTAACTGTGCTAACTTCGTATGTACTGTTTATGTTATTAAAGCACTTGATAGAATTTTCGATAGAGCTAGAATGTAAGTTCTAATGTTGTATTACGTATGATCCGACGATATGTTTTATTACGAACTATTCGATTACATACGTAGCAAAATAAAAAATAAAGGAATTTTAATTACACTTTGTGGAATATTAAATGTTTTCATGGAAAAATGCTGAGTAGTATAGCGTAAAATGGAAAAATGCTGAGTAATATAGCGTAAAATGGAAAAACATAACAATACTCATGTAGTGACGTTGAATTTTCAAGACTAATATTAAGACTATTTGACTAAAAATAGTGCATATTTTATGATAGTTTCGTTGTTACTTTTATTCAAGTGGACTGTCAGTCATTTTTTACAAAATAGAAAAAATGCCGATCTAGTGCTGACAATCTTTTCCTCCATTATCTTCGCATGTTTGTAACATTGCTTCATAATTGATGGTTTTGATTAGAGTCGAAAATATAGTAAAAAAGTATGATACATTAATTTGCATGGTTTAATCATACAAAAAGAGATGAGTTTTGACCTGTGTTTAATTTATACATTTGAATTGACGTTTGGTTCTTTTGTTTTGCCATTTGGTTTATAAGAAAATATTTTTCTCCCGAATGTTATAACTTTCTCAGTTCTCTAATATTTTCAATAATGGTTCTGAAATGCTTCAAGAATTAAAAACAAATTTCTATGCATCTCATGTTCACTAGAAAAATAATAATATAATAATATCAAAAACTTCACTAAAACCAAAAAGATGAATTTTACAATTTAACTTGATCTTCATCCTTTTGTGTCCTTAATTAAAATATACACCTGCGAATATAACTCTTTTATAATAATCATCATCTATCTCAATGATTATGACTATTTGAAAAATATGCTCTTTGACATGCCCATGCAGTTTAAAAAAACTGCAGTGATATTTTTTGTGTACTCAAAAAGTGAGTACACTAGATTCGGTCAGTGTGTCAGACCGGCCGTTAACACAATAACCTTTGACAGCATCATCCAATTGTCATGAAATTTTGTACACATAATAATCTCATTAATATCTCAGTCGAGTTCGAAGATGAGAAGGATCCGTCAAGAAATGGCTGAGTTATCGAAAAAATTATCATTATTGACCAGACCATTCCTGAGGGGGAGTACAGGGATTTTTTCACAAAAAAATCTTTTCTCAGAATTATTCACAATATATATAAATCGACTCAATTTTTGCAGTACACGTAACAATCGGATGCAAATTCGATGTTTCCTCATTTTTTAGAGATTAAATCTGTTTAGTTGACATGACACATTTATATTCGTATAGTTAAATTGGATCTTTCCTATCACAGTGACGTTTATAACATGTGGACACGAAACAGAACGAAAAAAAAAGGAAATTTAAGACAAAGAGAATTTGTTTATTGTATTCTTTTTGAATAAGTAAGTTTCAAAGTGTTTAATGAATTCATATTTGGCAATATTAAGAATGCCAATGTATTACTATTGAAAAAAGTTCTATATTTATTATGAATTTATAACACGGTATTTTTCGTTTTTCTTATTGAGTTTAATCATGTTGGTTTTTTCCTCAAATGACTCAATGACACGTGAGAGAAGGATAGGGAGAAAATATTTATAAAAAAATGTTTTATTCTACTTACTCTTCATCATTTCTATAAATTTTATTATTGACATAAGAGTGCTTTACTATTTTTAATATATTTATGCAATGAGTACTTCGGTAACAACAGCATCAAATATCAATAGAAACACAACCCTTCTAAGACCATCAATAATAGCTGCATGGGTCGATCAAGGCATAGGTGAAGTGGGAATGCACAAATATATAAAAGAACGCTTTGAAACGCTTTCAACTTTTATCACGCAATGGCTCTTTTTCGATTCATCTGAGAATTTTACATTTTATATTGAAAATAATCCAAATATCAAATTAATTTGTGTTATGTCTGGTGGGATGTCTCGTTTATTAGTACCAAAACATTCTAATCTTGGTGCTTTACATACAGTTTACGTGTTTTGTGCTGATATAGAACGAGCTCGAACATCAATGGCAGATGAAACTAAAGTTAAAGGTATATTTAATATTGAGGATGCTTTATATGAACAGATGGCCGATGATTTATCGAAATTATTAGTTGAAGAAGGAATTGCATTAGCACAATTAGATGAGCGTAGTCTTGCAAGATCGCATTATGAAGAAGCAAAACGATTGTTGAGTACTCAAGCAAAAAATGTGTGCTCAGATGATGAAAAAGCAAGAATGGAAGAAATCGATTTAAGACTCGATCAATTACTGGTTTGAATCAATATACTATTCGTACTTATCGCATAGTTTTACTCAGCGCGCTAATGTCAACTTATTTTTATTTAATAGAGTATTGAATTCTTGTTGAATAAATAAAATGACTCTTGTGGCCACTATATTTGATAGTAGTTTTTTTTTCTCAAGCACAAGTTTGTCTTCATGATGACAGAAAATTTCGCCTAGCAAGCAAATATTAATTCAGGTCTTTCCTCTTCTCTTCTCAAATAAATAATTTAATTAAAAATGAGGCGAAAATAGAAGTTCAAGATTGATCACCAACGAATGGCATTCTACGTGTATTAATAGTAAACAAAGGTTTCAAGAGTCGTTTCATTAGGAATAAAATTTTTGAATATGCGTGGTCTACTTAGATTCATCTATTTGATATATTCTTAGTTTTTCGTATTTATAAAAAAAATATATTTGAAGGCATAACTCCTCTTACGAAATATTATCCTTAACTTTAGTAAAGAATAATCACTATAAATAAACGATATCGAACGTTCTCAACAATATCTCATTGTTTATATCTTAAATTTTCAGTTACATAGAATAAATGGACAGTATAAAATGGGAGATGATTTTAACAGACGTTCCATGAAAAAAAAACAGATATTCCAAAAACATGGCGGGGGAGGGGAGTGGTGCGGTCAGCAAACCTGGGCCACTCTCAAAAAGTGCTCTACAAGCTTGTATATTTGACATTTCTGTAATATCAACTCTGTATCGAACCATATGTGAGACATTGTATCAAACCGTTCGAGTGGTTCGTTTGCCTTATTTGAATTATCGACCGCTCACACTATATTTTACTTATTTTCAACATAATACTGTATTTTTATGCATGAATATGTTCCTTCTGACTTTTTATCTTGACATGAAGGTTCTCTAACATGTGATTTTAGAATCGAAAAAGTTAAAATACATGTTTTTTCAGAGTAGAAAACATTGTACGTTTTTCACTTTATTAATAAAATTTTGCAACCATATATATCGATTGCTAAAAACATTCTATATCACTTTGTAGTTCATTCAATTATGGGTCGAGCCAACAAACGAGACAGCAATGTTCGAGCACTGAGCCCTCGCATCTTATTCTAGCTATTTCAAGTATTTCATCATATCAAATTTGTAACTTATTTCCTTTCTAATATGTTCTTTTTCCAAATGAACCATATATAGATCAATAGAATGGATGTGGGTGTGAGTGTGGGTGAGGTTCTTGCTTTTATTTGACACCGAGTACACTCACACCCGTAACAGCTCTCTCAACATTTTCTTCTTGCTCTATCCTTCCAGACTCATTGATATTCAGATCTATTCAACATAGATTAGACGATCATAACCAGCAAATGATTCTGTTTACGAAATATCACATAAACTACTTCGAATATCAAATACAAAGCAATCGATAGAATGTCATATTAGTTCGAGAAATAACGATGAAAGTTCAAAACAAATGAAATTGTTCTCATCTTTCGAATGATTTATAGCACATTAATTATTTTTTGCATACACGAAAAATGACAAATATGTTGAGATAAAACAACATAAAAAGACAAGTCTATTCAATCTATATAATCGGCTAAAAAAAGGAAAATTGCAATTGTTTCTCCTCTAAACTACAAAAATAACTCTAACTTCATCTTGTCGTTCATTTGAAATGAAAAATAACATTGAAATGATATACAAAAATCTCTGATCGACATATTCAGTAAATACACGAGAAAAAGAAACATTCCAAGATATTATACGATGACTATATCAATAGAGAAAAACAAATATTGTGTGTTACTGGTTCATTTGTTCAGTAATACTTTGATTTATTACCGAAGAATCTAACACAAAACATGAAGCAATCTCTCATAAGAAACATTTCCAACAAAGAAAAAAACAAACATTATTTGATTGTTGATAATATACATGGAAATCTCATTAAACAAAATCATCTTGAAGAATACCTTTTGGAATGATTTCATGTTTCCAGGAGAATGTCTCAAACATTGATCATTATCTGAAGAGATATTTAATTGACTTATTGAGCAAATCTCTCGAACAATATCAATCCAAACAAGTCGAAATGATTAATTAGTAAAAAAAAAGAAACTTTTTACTTGATGTGGTATTTACATTTTCGCCTTAACATGATGAACATGAATAAATTGTCAATCAGCAGATGATTCATATAGATCATAATCAAAACGCTCCAAACATTTATAACGAACACCAATGATTGGTGAACAACTACAATCCATTCAATGTTTGCATTTAGCTTCGATATTAATACAATGAAATTCAATCAAATAAATCATCACATAACACCAACATGTTGCGATGGAAGTGATTTCAATGGTACAAGATCATCTTTGAGAAATTTAACAAAACACGAAGAATTTCTTGATGTGCTGCTTATTGATTCTGTCGAATGATTTAACTAATACAAGACCATGAAGATCGTCTAAAAGTAAGAATTCATCTCATCTTAAATTGATTTATCAGTTAGTGTCTATCATTTACCTTCATATTGAAATTCAACATTAATATCATTGGAATTTGATATTGATTTAGAAGATAGCTAAGAAAGTTTGAAACGTAAGATTAATAAAACATCAATTGAATGGGTTAGAGCCGGAATAGCAATTCGACAATATTCAGTTGCCCCATCGAATTTTTCTACATACAGTTTCACTTAGAAGAAGTTTCACAATTGGCTATGATAATTCTGCACAAAATAAAATAAATAATCCCAAATTGATGAACTACAGAAATCTGTGAAAAAGACGAAAGATATTCGAATCTAACCGTACTTTAACGAACTTCCATTGTCGAAATTCATATCTGAGAAAATCCTTGATGAATTACTTAGATTCTTGATCACATATGAGTTCGTTGGGCAAGTTCTTATGTCCCAACGTAGGTTGTTCAATTTATACGTATCGAATATTGATCAAACAAGTAACACAATGGCAATTTCTGATATATTCTTTTTCCTAGATACTTGCACAAAATGAAAGTTATATGCATCGATGTGAAGAAATAATAATATGAATTTCAAGTTATCATTTTGATACTTGTTAATAGGAACTATCCATTTTAGCGGATATTATTAATAAATATCATTGACAATAATATTTTTGGTTTAGTTCAATAAAGAAATTTTTTGCCGAATTTCTTCATATGCTTCCATATGTAATGTAACTCATTGACAGCCAACAAGTTCTATGTGTATCGGCTGTAGAAATAGAACATTTTTTATCTATGAGAAAGGAATCATTCATCTATACCGTCTGCTCTCTGTTGAATACCGGATGGATAACCGACTCGTGAGTTGTTTATTTTATCTCATAGAACGATTGTTTATTCTAAAAGAACAGAGAACATCTATCTTTAATTTCAAGCTTGAACGGAAACAACTAGATAACAATCGATAGACTAGTAAACAGTGTTCCTAATAGGAATCTGAAATAGAGTGTATAAATACACTACGCTAGTTTTGAGCATCATGGTTTCGTAAACTTTGTTTCAAGGATCAAAGTGCACAAGACGCTAGAAAGTGAACTCATTGTGTTTTTCGTTTAAACGATGTTCTTTTATCTTGTACAACGCCAAAAAGGTTGAAGCCTTTTGTAGCCCATGTATTTTCTTTACCGTTCTTGTTTTTTACCATACGATATTTTTCACACAAACGGCAACTTAATGTAACCGTGACAGAATGCTCATTGCTTTTTTGTAGAGCCAACAGATATGTTTTGTTTGCTGAATACCTGGAATATCATAGGAATGCGATGAATAAAACGAAGCTGGATCATTTTTCCAAGAAGACAAATACTTTTTACGATGACCAGCCTTTTTCTGTTGAGGAAAAATGAGACTTTTGATGAGGATGATAATGAATTCATCTTATTGTTTAAACCTAATACCGATACATGCAACTGACATTCATTGTGAGACTTTGATTTGATTTCTATTTCTTCAACTAGTTCGATTTCCGGTGATAATGAATATTCTATTGTGGTTATTGCTTCTTCAAAATCTTCCATTTTATCAAGCTTATGTTGCAATAATCTAAATTTATATTCTAAAATATATATAAAGAATAACATCGGTATGATGAAAAAGTATGAGCAAAAAGTTAAGATTTTCTAGCGGTGAAAAATCTTCAAATTTAAACTGCAACAAAGCCATTTTAAGGTGATTCTAGCGTTTTGTTTTTCTTTTATTGTTTTCTTCAACAATAATTTCAGTTCGCTTTACGCTCATATGAAATAATAAAGAAGCTATATACACTAAGTTATGTGAAACAGACGATGATGTTATGATGTCTCTATCTCTACCTTTTTTTCTATTGGATGAATCACACAAAGTTTTGATCACATCCAATAAATATATTTCTTTTAATCATAAAGGCATGCAAATTTTCGTAAAAGTTACTATGTAAAAAGGAAATCCAGTGGGTACACTGTACACACTGTTTTTTATCTTCAGGTGTAAAACAGTATGTAAATTCTATTTCATTAGAGTTCGATACACTCTTTCATTAGGAACACTGCTACTCGTTCTGTTATTTCGACAGCGAAGAATTTCCTCATCCTTTTTGTTCTCTTGACCTCAACTTCTTTGCCCAGTAGAAATAGTGTTCGTTTTTCTACAGAAAACGAAGAAGAAAAAAACAAGAAAAGCAGCTGAGATCTGTAGTTTGTTATACGTGATGTGTAACTCGCGCAAATATTATCCAAAGGTTGTTGATGCAACTCAATCTATTAACTATTCTTTAAATTTATAATCTATTTTCTTTTTCTTTTTAGAGGCCGATCAGGGTGGGTCCGATGGCAATCATTCCATAACCTCAGGCACCTCCGTATGTTTCACCCAGGGTTGCCAACTGTACCCCATTTGGACTTTTTGTGCCCCGCAAAAATCTGTACCCCAGGGGTACGCGTTTTGTACCCCATTTGGACTTTTCCCTTTACACTATATATATCAATCATCTTTCGATATAAATCAATGATATTTTTGGCTTTAACTAGCGTTTTTCTTGTGGAGATAAAAGTGTTAATCATATTAGCCCGATTGCCCAAGGAGGCAAAAATTTGGAAAAACGCGTTTAAACGCTCAAAATGGAACCATGATTGTGAGCCATTAGCGCTCATTAAAAAACCGCAAGAAGCACATTTTATGTTCAAAATTTGCACTTTCAGAGCGTAAAAAAAGACGGGAAAATTCAGTTTTCAGCGGTAAAGCGCACTTTTATTCTATAATGTAAAAACAATGCATTTTAGCACTCAAAAAAATGGAGTTTTCCTCCGGCTTCACGTTCTAAAAATGAAAGTTTTGAATACATAATGCCTTTTTTGCTGGTTTTAATGAGCGCTAATGGCCCACAATGGCCGTCCGATTTTGAACGTTTAAACGTGCTTTTCCAAATTTTTGTCTGCTTCGGTGGTGATTCAGTCATATGAAGCACGCATGGACGCCAAGTCGAAACTCGATGTCAACTGAGACAATTGCGGCTGAATGAAAAGTTAGGTTGAAGTTAAATACTCAGCTGAAATGTGAAGATTATTATTTATTTGTACAGTCGCAACCAGAAATGGTCAAACTTGCCAAAAGCAAATAGCAATACCATCATGAAAAAAAGATGTGCGCCAGTTAATGTGAATACAGAGCGTTTTTTCTAATTAAACATTTTTGTTTTATCTTTTGAACAGAAATATGTTGAAAACAGCAATAACTGCGAACTCTCTTGTTTGAAAACAAGCATTCCAGATCATGTTTTGCACATGGGCAGTTGAATGTGATCTTTCTTTCGCTAAAATTGCTATTGCTAGCCGTTTCGTGACGTCAATTTCTTGTCTTGTAAAAAACACTTTATACCCCACGAGCGTACCCCATTAGGAAAAGAATTGTACCACATGAGTACCTCATTCGGGGCCTTAACAGTTGGCAACCCTGGTCCCACCTGAGGTTGAGATGGAACAACATGTCAGTGTCCTGGAGGCACTACTATTGGCTGCTCCAGGTACTGCCTCTGTTAACTTGGTGGCAAGAATAAAAACATTAGGAGATCTGGCGGTTCAGCAATCACCACCACCACGTCCATAATCTATTATTTGTGAAGAAATGTTTTTTTCTTTATTAAATAAAGACGCACGAAATAATTCGTGCTAAAAGAAAATATTCGTTGAATCAAAAGAAAGAGAAAAGAAAAGACGAACACCTAAAGTATGCATTAAGGTATTTGTGTGATCTTGATTGCAATAATTGTTTTCTAATAGCGCTTCGACAAAAATCGCCTTCTGATGGATAAAAAAAATATTAGGAGAAATATAAAATAGTATATAGAAATAGGAATATGGATTTCTATGAATTTTGTCATTCGTTCATTCTATTGAACAAAACATGATGAACGTTTTTTATCGAAAAGGTAAATATGTTCTTCGCCGAAATGCAGATCGCAGAAATTCGACGATTTCCATTTCGGCGATGTGATTATCGGCTATCTGTCGGATCGGCGATGTCACTGTCGGTGATGTGGCTATCGACGATAGTCTCGCATGATATTTACCGCATTCGAAAACTTCACTAATTCTAGCTATTGATACTTATTGTACTTCGCTAATAAGATGAAGTGCCAAGTTGATAACTAACTTAAGCGAGTGATTCAATAAGTTCCTACCTTGATCAAGTTAGGGACCGAGTCAAGTTAGGAACGGCCTTGACTTAGGAACCGAATCTCACGAACATAGATGACCGAAAGGTATTCGGCGATCAGCATTTCGTCGAATTTCATATCGATAATCTGTATTTCGGTGATGTTGATTTCGGCGATCTTGCTTTTCGGTAATGTTCGTTTCGGCGCGAGTTTCGGCGATTTGATCTTTCGGCGATCTCACTTTCGGCGATGAGGTATACAATCTTTCAATGCTTTTAGATTTCTTAACTTTTTTTAGTATAATCATTATCATCATTTAGTATTCATGGATTACTTAGTGTATAATAATTTTAATTGAACAGAAAAATAGATAGAATTACAAACTACGATGTTTAAAATGGATCATAGTGATACACCTTAAATTGTTCAGATCATGTGCATTTAAAAATAAAACAAAAGTATTATGCATAAAATTGATAATTCTTGATTATTTATATGAAACCATTTTCGACGGATCATCAGGAACGCTCGGTGATACTTTATCCAAACGTATTTTTCTAAGATCAGTCGTTAATTTAATTCGATTTATTAATTCTAATTGTTCTTCTTCTAACCGATGCTTTAAATTACTTAATAAGTGTGTACGACTAAGAATACCTTGTAGTGCTTTTCTTAATGCAATATTTTCATTTTGAATACTTAGTGATTGATCATACAGAAATTGTTCAGCTTCCTAACAATTCAGATTTATTTCAGATGACAAAATAAAAAGAATTTATTTAAACTAAAACTTACCTTATCAGCTTGTCGTCGGATCTCTTCAACCTTGGTATTTTCACTTGTACGTTGCTGTTGAAGTTCTTTTTCGAAAGTTGATTTCATGTAAGAAATTTGATTTACATGTTCAACACGTATTCGGGCTATTTCATGTTGTAAACGCTTGATTTCTTCATTTTTTTGATCTCGAAGATCCTATCATTAGACATATATGTAACAAAATAAAAAAAAATCGTTTGGAAAATTGTTTTACTTTATATTCGTTCATAGTTTCTAATTCATCTTTTACTTCTAATAATACTTGTTCCTTTTGTATTAGTTGTGATCGTGCTTCTAAAGCATAAAATTGATAAAACATCCGATTTTGTTTTCAAAGACAGAACGATTCTTGCGAAAATGTGTTGTTACTTTAGTTCTGTGAGTAGAAAAAGAATATCGCCTAGTCTAGTTGAGTTCTATAAAAACTATCATCAATGTATTATAAAAAATTAAGTACTATGAATAGATTCTGTTAAGTGCATCGAATGAGACTAGACTAAGAATAATGTGAGAACTTCTTTGAAACATTTGCTAGACATGGAATACTTCAAAACAACATACCTTCTTTCTTTTTTTGATATTCTTTTATCATGTTTTCTTTATCTCGATTTATATCATCAATTTCTTTTCGATGATAATCAGTCAATGTTACAATTTTCGTTTGTCGAAGATTTGTCTTTTTTGACATGAACTGCATATATTCATTCTGTGACAACAAAAAAGTAATTATCTATCACTACGTATTATATTGTTATTTACCATTTCGATTCGAACTTTCTTTGCCTCATCATTAAGCCAGTGGTTTTCTTCTTCACTGTAATTACAATTAAAAAATAGCATAAAATAACAAAACCATAGAGAAAAACTATTAAAAGTTCACTTACACCACATGAGCCCGTAATTTAAGTTCGGCTAATGCTTGTACTTTTTTATCGAGTCTAAAATGAAGTTTAATATATGTAAAAATATTATTCAAAACAAAATGTCAAACAGCTCTCTTCGACACTCAAAAGAGATTTTATTAACTGAAATCATCTTCAACTTTTTGTTAAAACAATATTCTTCATATGTAAATAAAATCCAGTTGAAATAATATGAACTCATACTTAAATGTACTTAAGAGTCTTTATTTAAGTAAACTTACTCTGTTTGCAAAGCAGTTTCTTTTTCTGTTGGACGAAGATATTCTTGTTTTTCTTTAGATTTTTTCTTTCCAGCATTTCCTTTTTTGCCTTTAGGTGGCATTTTTCGGATTAGATATTAAATACAAGCTTTTGATCTGTTAATCAGAAGTTTGATGGAGTCACCATTATCAGTGTTATTACTATGGTAACATTGGAACATGATAGAGGGCGTTTCAAAACTTTACATAAGAAAAGTCGTAAACAACAAAACTATCATTAAATTACAGCTGATTATGAATTATTTGTATCCGTGATTTTACCTGAGCAATCTTTACGTCTAATTTTGGTCTGAACAAGAAACTATAGTTTATTCACAGATTTGTTTTTCTTTTGAAGTTTAATGTAAAAAATTTCATTGAAACTAAGATTTCAAGTATTATACGGTTATTTTTCTTTTCTTTTGATTAATTGAGAAAACGTATTTTTTTATTCAAATAGTTCTTTAGTAAATCTTCCTGTTACTGTGATACAAATTGGGCTGGATTGATACAGAATACCGCTTTTTTTCCTTTTCTTTTAGAAATCTTTCACGATTCAAAGTCTGACGTCAACGGAAGAGGAACACAAAATTTATTTAAGGTTGACTGAATAATTTCAAGGTTTCTTTTTCTCTTATCAATAAAAAATTATTGTTGAAAAAGCTAAACTTCGGTATCTTATTGAATTTTCACGTAGAGTATTTTCGGTGAACTTGTATAGTTTCTTATACTGTTTTGAAAACAAATAAAATCTGGTTTACAGTGAACTTCCAAGATATAAGCCTTCTAAATGTTGATGTGCTACCAAGCTTATAATATTTTGCTTTTGTGGCTTGCATTTGTTTAGTTTAATTATGATTTCAGAAATAAATGTTTTCACTTCGGCGATCTTTCGCCTTATGCTCATTCATTCTAGAGAGCACTTCTTCTTTTTCTGCATCGAGAGGTTTAGTAATCAGCGCAAAAAGAAATTCTAAAATGTCAACAACACCAAAAGCAACAGATTTAAATGCAGGTTCACAGGGCGTAGTACCAACAAGTAAAGCATCACACTCAAATGAAAATGAAAATACTCGTTATGAAACAGTTGAACGCGGTCAATTACATACAGCTAATTATCGTTGCTATTTGCGAGATGTTCAAACAAAATTAATAGTATCACCATTTCATGACATTCCACTTGTCAATGAACAATATTCGTCGTCCACTAGAAATCAAGAAATAAAAATTTATAATATGGTCGTAGAAGTACCACGTTGGACAAATGCTAAGATGGAAATAAATAAACAATTAAAAATGAATCCACTTGTACAAGATATTAAAAATGGTTAGTTTATTTCATTTTATTATCATTTTTTTTAATTATTGTATTTTTTACTTTAAACAACAGGTAAACCTCGTTTTGTTCATAATGTGTTTCCTTATCATGGTTACTTATGGAATTATGGTGCTTTACCTCAAACATGGGAAGATCCAAATCATATAGATGCAGATACAAAAACAATTGGCGACAATGATCCATTAGATGTTTGTGAAATAGGTACTAGTCTTCATCGAACTGGTTCAATTGTACCTGTAAAAATTGTTGGTGTACTTGGTTTAATTGATGAAGGTGAAACAGATTGGAAATTAATAGGTATTGATGTTCGTGATAAACTTGCATCGAAAGTAATATTGAAAAATAATTGACTACAAAAAAATAAAATCTACATGTTGCTTTTCTTTTATAATTGTTTGATAGATTAATGATATTAATGATGTCGAAACAAATCTTCCAGGTTTACTCGAAGCAACACGTCGCTGGTTTAAATATTATAAAGTTCCAACTGGAAAACCTCCAAATAAATTTGCACTTGATGAAAAATATGGTGATCGAGCATATGCAAAACGTGTTATTAACGAAACAAGAACATATTGGGAGAAATTAGCAAGTGGTGAAACAAAAGTTGAAGAAAAAGTTTGCTCAATTGCTAATACAACACTAAATAATCATGTCACAATGAAAAAAGACGATGCAGAAAAACTTGTTGAAGCTGATGAAAATTATCACAAAGAACCAGCGCAAGTTGATTCAAGTGTTCATCAACTTGCATATGTTCGAGATGAAGAAGAATGTGCGACAAAAGAAAAAAGTTTTAAAGCCAAATAAATTAACCCCGCAATTGTATTTGAAAATTTTTAATATTCGTAAACAACTTGTAGTCAAGATTTAATCTGTTTGCTTTTTCCTTTGCAACACATTTCTATCTATCATATTTGAAAATATAACATTAGGATGACAGAAAATATGTGTTTCGAGAGAAATAGTCTATTTTCACTGTAGAATTATGATACAGAATTCATTTGTTCGTCTAAATGGAATATCGAATAATATATGGCATTTGCTGCTCAATCGTCCATCATTGCATAATGCTTTTAATACACAACTAGCCAATGAATTGATTGCGCATTGTCATCACATTGATACATCAAATGATATTCGAGCAGCCGTAATTGTGTCTGGTCAAGGGCAATCATTTTGTTCGGGTGCTGATCTTAAAGAACGTAAATCAATAAAAAGTTCAAAACAATGGATGGAACAACATCGTATATTTGAATGCATGTTCAATTCGTTAGCACGATTAAAACAACCAACAATTGCTTGTGTCGAAGGTTTTGCTTTAGGTAGACGTCGATCTATTGATTTATGAAAAAACTAATCTATTTCTAATTGATCTAGCTGGCGGTTTTGAATTAGCGCTTAATTGCGATATAATCATTGCCTCTCGTTCTGCATCATTCGGATTACCCGAAGTTACTCGTGGAATCATGCCTGGTGGTGGTGGAACTCAATTACTTACGCGTCTTGTTGGTCCAGCTCGAGCTAAACATATTGCTATAACTGGTCGACGACTAACTGCTCAAGAAGCTTACGATATGGGAATTGTTCAAATATTAACCGATGAAAGTGACGCATTAAATAAAGGAATTGAATTGGCAACGGTAATAGCTGCTAATGCTCCATTGGCAACACGTGCAATAAAACAAGCCATTGACGAAGGCTGGGGTAAAAATAGCGATGAAGCTAAAGCAATTGAATTGAAATATTATAAAGAATTAATTGATACCGAAGATCGTCACGAAGGAATTCGAGCATTCAATGAGAAAAGAAAACCGCAATGGAAAGGAAATTAAGTTTTTCTTTGGAAAAACTAGTATAGAAATTAAATTATAAAAATAAACTAATATATACGATCTCATATTTTACCAATAAAATACATAAATAAGATAACAAGATCGAAAAGTTAACTTATATTGATGCTGTATTGAATTTCATAAAATGAGTATATAATCTGAATTGCTATTACTACTAAACGACCAATGTGTCCTTTCTCATAAATACTGAACGTCAACACTGCTATGATACTAATATGATAATAAAAACAAACGACAATGTTAAAACAAATTATTGAGACCATAAACTAAATTTATTGAGATCAATATAAAAATCAATGTAGAAACTTCGGATTTCATCTGAGAGTTATGTGTACTGCAAAAGTGCATGGGACATATGAGTCATTCTAGAATGTCTGAACACCAAAATTATCATGAGAAACGAGGCAATTTGATTTCTGGATGCAGTTTTTGTGCATTTTGAGACGTTTTCAGGCGATGTTTCGTTAAAAAGCGACGATTTATTTCAAAACTAATATCAGATTCGGAATCAGCGTTAAAAACTGAGTCGATTTCTATATGTTGTGAATAATTCTGAGAAAAATTTGTTTTTTGAAAAAAATCCCTGTACTCCCCCTCACGGATGACCTGGCCAAAAATGACAATTTTTTCGATAACTCAGCCATTTCTTGACGGATCCTTCTCATCTTCGAACTTGACCGAGATATTCATGAGATTGAACTGTGTGGAAAATTTCATCACGATCTGACTCTCCTTTCGAAAGTTATCGTGCCTACGGCCGGCCGGACACACTGATCGATTCTAGAGTATACTCACTTTTTGAGTACACAAAAAAAGAAAAGCAACACATTTAGAACAAACGAAAAAAAATCTAATACGTGTGTTTGCTGAGTACCTTGGATACTAGATCATCCTGTCACGTCGCTATTTTATCGATTGAGATGTAATTGAAAGACACGACTGTTTAAGTGTTGACAAATGCCCCAATGATAATAATGGCAAATGACAAGATGAAGTAAATAAAAAAGAAATGTGAATGAGAATTCAGTAATTTATTTAATAGATTAGAAATGAATGAAACAGTGGATACAACAAGGATAAATTGTAAGATTTTAAAAGAGTTTCAGAAGAAAGAAGTTTAAGCTTCAAGTAGAAGAAAAAGAAGTAAAAGTTAATTATGTAGAATCAACTGAGAGAGTAAGAGTAACAAGCTAATGAATAAAAAATAATACAGTAAAAGAAAAACGCGAGTAGTAGACAGGTGGGTACTCCCCAGTCTTACCATCCCTGACAATGATTCATGTCACAAACAAAACTTCCTAACCAATAAATGATTAATGACTAAAAAAATACATGAAAGAAATCGGTATAGTAAAATCTCAAGGTTGAATTTATCATAAACATAGTAAATTAAAGCGTTTTGTGTATTCTCATTCAATATTTACATATTGATTGTGACCGAGATAACATATTTATTTTATAAGCACAGGGAAAAAACTACGACTAGACATAAATATGACCATTTGCTGCCTTTTCTTTTTTATCTGACAATATTTAGATCTCGACGACTATGATTATCATGGCATTCAAGTCAAGTTTAGTGTTAAAAACGAATTTTTATCGCGTTTTAAATAGAACGAACGATATAAAATAATAATAATTGGACATGACGAGTTGAATTCAGTAAAAATTTAATTTGATTTTCAAGTTTTGAACATACATGCATATTAACCTACAGACTCGAAAATAATATTTTTCAAGAAGTACAATCTCAAATACGTATGAATCAGAACAACATAAATTCATAGCAGACTATAGCAATATATATTTAACAACTGATAGAATGGTCTTGAACCTGAAAAATGACTGAAATTTCAAGCATATTAATCTTTGAAAACTATAGGTAGTCAACCAGGAGAAAAAGAAACTAATTTTCAAGAAATGTTTCTATTATTAGACTTTGAAGAGTTCTTTTTTTGCCGATTATTTCGATAAGATAATTTTCAAATTTGATATTTAAAGCTGATAGATAAAATATTCCCGAAAAACTGTTTTCTTATCAGAATTAATTATCCATAATTTTCAATGATAAACTTGAAATATTGCTAATGTGCTAGTTCACCGTCTTTCTAAGAATAGTCATTTATCAGAATTTTTCATATTGTTATGATTTTTATATTTGAGACTGTGCTCTTAAAAACAACACCAAAAATATTTCCCATTCTATACACTAGAAAACATCACTTTTTATTTATTTGTGTTTGAATAGTGCTATAAAATGACAAATAAGACAAAAAACAAGATTCTGAAAAAGTTAATCATGAATTGGGCATATCATCATCCATATTATTATTGAACTTTAAAATATTTGTTATTGGCAAACTAAAATGATCAAAGTCAGCGGAATATTGATCAAGCAATGCTGAGGATTTTTGTTTATCCATTAAGAATAAATTTGTCAAAGAATTTGTGGAAACATTATTGATTTTAGTATGGAAATCTTTTTCACATAATTGAAGCTTCGTCAGATGATGTTCTAAAGTTGATTGTTCATTTAACGATTCTTGAATAGTTCTATAGAGATTTCCTTCAAATAATTGATGTTTTTCTTGTTGTGATGCTACTTGTTTTTTTTTCTGCGTTGTTTATCACGTACGATAGTTTCATCACGAAATAATATTATATGTTCCGTACGATGACCCGTTTCTAACGTCTGAGTTGGTAGGCGGCACGCATGAGGTCGTACTGATCGGCATTCAAACGACGGTAATAGTTTTGTATTTAATTCTTTTTTATTTGATAACGACAAAGCTAAGAAGTCATTTGAATACAAGTAAGAAACGTCGTTGCCAAGCATATGAATATTGTTCGTTCAAATAGATCGACGAAAATTTTATAAATAAAAAAATGTATTAACTGATAGGTGAGAAAATGGCAAATACCTGTACACACAACATTTATTTCATCCTTCAGAATGCCATTGCAATCGTATCCTTGACAAGTAAACAATTATGACGATATGATGAACAGATTTTACTATACATTCGATTCTATTCAATCATATCATCGAATGAATCAAACCATATTACCCGTTATCAATAATGAATATTGAAAAATGTTGAGACTGGAGTCACGTTTATTAATTTAGATATAATCAATGAATGATTAATTTTGAACTGCTCATCAGCTTAATTAGGTCTTCGTGTTATAGTTTCAAGAGATATTAATTGTACTGTAATCTTCTTTTGTAGCGTATGATATTCAGTGATTTTACGTTTCATAACTTTCTTTTCCTTTTTTTGTAGTGATGTCGTTAGAATAATTGAATAAATATTTTATGTTTCATTGTGTTCGCTATCTGCACAATATCGAACCAACTTGACGTATGACTGAGTTTTGTCTTGACTCGTTTATTGATGATTGAATGTGCTTTTGTAATCTTATACAATATTCTATTGTATGGGTCAGCATGATCTCAAGTATTTCAGTATGTATATATTCCTGTCAGATTTTCTTTAACAATAACGTGGACTCTTTCGTAGTACTACTCATATTTTTGTTTGATCAGAGAAAGACATCGGCGTTCAACCAAACGTTTTTCATACAATGTCAAAATGACACCAGCATTCTATTTTAAGTATACACTAGGAAATATAAATTAATGTTTTTCAGATTTTTTCTTCTATTTTTTTTCCAATTATAGTCAAGAACTCGAAACATTCGTCGGTGTACTTCCTACTTTTTTCTGCTTTATTCAGATACAGAAAGATAGAAAATAATTTGAAGAAAATGTGAAGAAGGGAAAAACGGCAACCATGTGAAGTGGTGCAAAGGTATCAAAACAAACGAAGAAAAATGTAACTTTATTAGATTAATAATATATTTGGGTTTTTTGATGACGTACAAAACCAAATATGAATACCGAACAAATCTGTTTTATCACAATTATTTCTTTTGTCTTTTAAGCTGTTTTTTTTTTGGTTCTTTTTGCTTCACTAGTCCATTCTTATTTTCATATGTTCACTGTTTAGAGTGGCATTTGGGTAAATAGGTACGAAACGGATTCGCCATTATGTGTTCGACGGATTGCTTCCGAAAACATCATTGATACATCGATTACCTAAATATACAAATAAAAATTCTTTGCTTACTTAAGTTCAATTAATGTGTCTTACAGATATTTTCAATACAAATTTGAATAATAAAAGTTAAATTTATTACGCACCCAGATGAGTTATTTCTCAATGTAGAAAGTTGTTATTATTTTTATGTACGTATATATACGAATAAGATAATTTTTATGATTTGTAATGTAAATCTGATAGTTGTCAATACGAAATCTTCAACAAGGTCACTGAGCCTGCTAGTAGACTTGAGTTTTTAACAAGCAGATAGATTAAATCAAAGATATCAGATGGCAAACACAGACAGACTGAGAAATGTGCAACGCTACCATGAGAAATTTAACATAACTCAAAAACAAAAATCATCAAACTATTTGGACCTGTAAAAGTTCATATAAAGATGTATCATTAGTATCGGATATATTCTATTATAAATCATATATATATATATAATTATACGAATATATTATTTCTTCATAAACATTTTGTTTAAATAAATTTCTCTTGCAAGTCATCGATATTATTAACAAAACTCTTTTACTCTTTTCTGATCGATAAAGGTTGTTGATTATGTTCTGGAAGTTATTTATATCAATGAAAAATTTCAATAAGATCTCATATTATTTATGATGGAATTATTTCCTATTGTTCGAATATCCAATTATTAGAGGCCAATATCTTATTATAAAAATATCTGTAAGCTTCTTTTACCAAAACATATATCTTGGTTGCACATAATGAATGGCAAATGTAGGAGGACAATATATGAGTATATGTTATTGTTTTGTTTTGTTTTCTACAACTGCGTAGTTATCATGAGTAATATAAGAAAGCAAAAGTAGTCTAAGCACCAAATAGTATATGGCAAAAAAAGAATAAACATTTGCAAGATTAACGGGGAAAATGAAATAGTATTTTAATTGAGACTATGTCAATAATCGATAGAATTATTAATTAGAATTTTTGTCATTTCTACCTGAATTTTATTTGAATTTTTCATATTTTCCTCTTGTGGAATTGTATTTGTAACAACGACAGCTTCAAATGGTGAATTGTTTATTCTTGTTATAGCTGGTCCACTAAAGATTCCATGAGTGCAAATAGCATAGACTTTACTTGCACCTGCGCTTAATAATCTATTTAAAATTTGTATGAAGAAGAAAGAAAACAATATATCAAGATAACGAAGGAGAAGTAAAAAGAAAATTTCTGAAATTTTACTTTTGTGACGCACATTCAAATGTACCACACGTATCTAAAACGATAAGAAATATAAAAAAGAAACATAACTTCGCGCATTTTAATCGTCACATACCAGCCATATCATCAACTAAAATAGCGATGCGTTTCGTAACATCACCAACAAGCACCATTGAATCAATTTCGTTAGCTCGTTTTCGTTCTTTATGAATAAGTGCAAAATCAATATTCAATCGGTCAGCAATGGATGTTACACTGTGCGAATAACAATATTCGTCAAAGAGAGAAAAAAAAATTTCATCTCAAATGTACCGTTTAGCACCTAGAATTCAACAATAAAATGATTTTCTTTTCAAAAAGAAAAATTATTATTTTTGCTATTTTTTTACCTCCAGCATCAGGACTGACAATGACAGCATTTTTGAAATCTGGAATATGTAATGATATCCAACGAATGACAGCCGGCTCAGCAAATAGATTATCCACAGGAATATCGAAAAAACCCTACGAAAAATAATGAAATTTGTATTTAATCTATTAGTAAAAGAAGAACGACGACATACTTGTATTTGTGATGCATGTAAATCCATTGTAATTATATGATCAGCACCGGCGACACTCAACATATTTGCTACAAGTTTAGCTGAAATTGGTGCACGACTCTATTATTTTTTTTTAATAAAGAAAAATATTCGTCTCGATTATTTGATGAATTAACTTTGTTTGTTTACAGAAAAAAACACAAATAAAATTTTAAAAAATGAAGTCCCTCACTTTATCTTTTCGATCTTGTCGTGCATAAGGAAAACATGGAATGACAGCGGTAACTCGAGAAGCCGATGCTATTTTACATGCATTGATCATAATCAATAATTCCATTAAATTATCATTGATTTCGCCACAACCACTTTGAACAATGAATACATCTTCGCCACGAACAGATTCATTGATTTCAACACTTTAATCCATAAAAAATTACATTGCTATGGAAAGAAAAGGATCCAACTCAATGTTTTACCTTGTTTCTCGATTACTAAATTTTTTTGTTATAACTCTTCCTGGTTCTAAACCAAGTCGAGCACAAATTAATTTTGTCAATTCAGGATGAGATGAACCGCCAAATACTTTAATATTAGGCATTCTTGGGCACAATGATGGACGATGCTCTAATACTAATTGTGATATATGATTAAATGAGATTTCACTCGAATCGGAATTCGTTGTTGATTTTATACAAGATTTATCTTCATCAACTAATTGAATACCATCTAAAAATATTAAAGGAAACAGAAAATAATCAAATCCATAATAGAATAAATCATGAAAATAAAAGACGACAAAATAGAAAAGGAAAAGGAAGTCATGCTTGAAATTGAAATGAAAATCAAATTAAAAAACATCAAAATGTTCATTGAATATACTCACTCGAAATCTGATAATCATTTTCTTCCATTTCGTTACAAAATATTATTGGTAACAGTTATTCCATTATTATTGATCTTTACAGAGGGAAACAGAACGATACAAGAAAATAAGTTTCTTTCAATCTGTATACTAATCAGATAAGCTTCCCCTTTCAACTTATTCGATAGCCCTGCTAATTTGTCATTTAAAATATTTTATTAGTAAAAAGACTCTGTAGAAAAAGTCTTGCATGATCTTTTCTATTTTTCTGAACACTCAATGCTCGTATCTTTTACCTTTGTATTATTAATTACTAGCGAAAATCTGTAGCACTTACCTCTCGACAATCGATTGCTGCTGTATTTGTTTTTTTTTCTCGTTATAACAACGTCAATTCGGTTTGGACATCAGAAAATAGATCATAATTCTGTACATCGATAGAAAACAAGAAATTGTTTCTATTTCTTCTCGAAGCATAAAAAAGAGATTTTAACAGGATAAATATAATCGACTAGAGTATAAGACAAATGTCACAATGACATATATATTTCTATGCGATATAATAGTTGAAAATAATAAAATATCGGGTCGCTTTTATCTGAGGAGCAATAGTATATGTAACAGCCAAGTAATTTGGTTATCGGACTCTATAGACGCAAACAAAATGGAAGCCGTACGGGAAAAACATGTCATATGTTTCTCATGCGATATTTTTCTTCAATCACCATATAGATAAGCAATATGCTACGATACAAAACGATCAATCTCATTGATTGGTATTCAGTACGACTTCTGGATAGATTGATACGAACCTCGAAATCGAAAATAATACATTTTTTGAACATTATAAAAAGAGAATCATCAGCATCAGTAAATTTTCAAAAACATTGATTTAAAAATCGATTTCTATGGCTTAAAATTCTTTTATTTAAGTTATGGCTAGCCTCTGCTAAAGACCAAAGTAGGTGGCGCTATTTGATAATTTATTAATATATGATTATTTAAAATATTATATTTATATTTATCATTTATTATTCAAAGAAAAATTGAAAAAATTAGAATGATTTATTTCAATAAGTTACGTCCAATTATCGATCGAATGAATTAGTCATTCGAAACAATTTATGTGTGTGTAATTTATATTCTTGTTAGCAACTTTTTATTTGCATATAGTTTTACTTTTCATTGATTTTTTTGCTGTTAACTTGGCTATGCGGTGATGTTCTCTAAAGAGTTTACTTTATCATATAATCAAAATAAATCTTTCAAGAAACGATGATAAGAATTTTATATTGACTTATTAAACATTATTAGTCTCGTTATAATAGTAATATTGCTCTATTTTTTCTATTCTTTTATGAAAAATTATTTATTATATTCTGTTAGACTAAATAAGAACCACAATCATAACAATAAATGAATGCAAATGAAATTGAAATGAATTCTGAAGATAAAATTGAAGAACCTCAATTGACGCCCAAAGAAAAACGTGCTATTTACATGTCTCGATTGCGTGGCTCACTTGATTCAGAATATCGGCGCATTGAACGTGAAAACAATGCGCGTGCGATGCGCAAAAAACGCTTAGAAAATCCGTTGTATCGCGAACATGAGCGTCGTCAAAATCGTACACATATGGCAGAAATGCGTCGTGAAAATTGCGATTATCGGCAACGAGAACATATTAAAAATCGTCATCGTATGGCATTAAAACGTTGTTTACATACACAAACTTCATCGGCGATAAATAATACAATAAAATCAACAACGACAACGACAACGACAACGATAACAACAGCTACTAATAGTAATACTAATACGATACATTCAATATATGAGACATTAGAAAATAATTTGCAATGTTCACATATATCATTTATTCCATATCAATCAAATTTTAATTGTTATCAACAACTATTGAGCAACAACAATAATAATAATAATAATAAACAACGTAGTGAATATGAATTTTTGCAGCAAATCGATGCATATTGTCGTCAACATGATACTAGATCGAGTTCAGATAGTAACAGTCATAGTGCTGGTTCAATGCCATCTTGCTAAATAGAATATATTATATATGAAAAATATATTCAACGTTTTTATTTTATTTAAATCTTATTTGAAAAAATCCGTCTCTAAGACGCTTGCTTTCTAGGTTAGAAAGATTTCAATTTTTTTTATTGTATTGATATTTTTTTTTGCTTGATAATATATAAAATCTCATTGTTGAATCATGAATAGTAACGAAGTTTATTATCTATTTAGTTTGCACATCAAAATCTAAATTTAAAAGTAAATGTTTAATTGATTAATCGAATTTTCCTGAGAAACAAAGTTTTGAATGATAATAACATCATAATGAAAACCTAATAGAATATCATCATAACTACATCGAGCTTCTAGATGTCAATTGGATAGATAAATATTTTGCTAAAATTTGAATCAATTCGCTAATTTATTTTGAAAAAATTGAAAATCATAATATAAAAATCCATTTATGTTATTTTTTTGAAATTAATTTGAACATTCCCTAGAACTGAATTCTATCTTGTTAATTCAGTGCTATCGACCAATACAGGAAGAAAAATCAATTTATTTTACAATTGAAAAAAAGAGTAATATTTCCACAAAACAAGATATTATTGTAAATAAAACATTCTATTACAGTAGAAAGATAACGAACGAAAAAGGTTTTGATACAAAGTACTAGATTTAGAATTTCTCAGGTGCTATTACTTTTAGTATTAGAAATAATAAAAAAGACAATAGTACTCTGATCACTAGAATTTTCTTAGGAGCTTACGATGAGTATTTTTTTTTCATGACTTCATTTGAAAAGAATAAAATACTTGAAAACGCTATTTTTTTGAACACTTAGCCTATGCTTGACTGGAAAACAACTAATAGTATGTGTATTGATGAAAAAAGACTGAGTCTGTTTTTACAAATACAATTGAATTTTTTTTAAATAATGCGTTTTTCAATAAAACGAATCGATTTTTTAGCTTATTTTCAAGCACTTGAAACGATTGAGCATAAAAATGTTTATTTCAAAATTATTATAAGATATGTATTTTATACACATAAAAAGTACGATAATTGAAAGAAAAGCGAAAGAGTAATAGAAAAGAATTTGTTCATATAGTTAAAATTATGTGTAAAACAGCAGATGTTGAGGAAACATGATGAGATTACGCTGATTATTTGTTTTTTAGATTTGCCAGTAGTTTTACAATGAAAATAAGAAATGTATCATTAATAGAATTTAAAAAAATTATTATTTTAAGTTATAGCAAGTGTTAACGATTTATATGGATTCACAGATGGATTACTGAGTCCTCCATCGACATATGGATCATCGAATAGTAAAGCTTCATCAAGATTTTCATTTAAATCAGTATGTGATGCTGCTGGTGGTCGATATTGTTCAGAAGAATTATTATTATTTGAATTTGAAAGGAAAGAAAATAGTGGACGTTTGTTAGGATTGTTCAAACCAATTGATCGTAAAATATTACTAAAACGATTAGTAATAGTTGTATGATTAGTTGATGAACCTATAGTAGCTCCTGCATTTGACGATGGGCGATGTCGACGTTGCCGATTTACACGAGCATAAGCAGCAAGCATACCAAAAATGGCGAATGCTGATAATAGACAAACAAGAACTATTATCGAAGCACGATGACCTGTTCCAGATGATGGTTTTACATGATCTAAACACGATATGATTAATTGAAATACATTTCTGTGATCAGATCTATAATATATTTACTTTTATTTTCAAGACATTTTGTGCCATTACTTTCATTATGTGACGAACATTGAGTACACTTCGGTGGATCAACATGGCCATTAGGGCATAACAATAAAGTCGATTGGTCTAAATAATAAAACTCGTTCAATGTTCAACATTATTTAATAATATGCAAACTTGTGCTCGAACTAGTTGTTGTAGCAGCAGTAATTGATGTCAAATGTGTTGTAGTAGTTTTATCTATTGAATTTTCAACTTAACGATAGACAATAAAATTCAATGAACTTCAAGACTACAAAAATGCAATACCTTCAATGGAGCCGTTGAGAATCAAAAATAAAATCAGTAAAGAATAACAAAAATTTTGAATGCCCATTACTGTGCTTATTTTTTTAGTTAGATCTTTGTATAGAAATAACCTTACTCATTCACTCACTCACTATAATCAATCGCAAAGAAGAAAGAAATAATCATTCAATCGTCTTGCCTTTTTTTATTTATACATATAGGGAAACATTCAGATGATTCATATGTGTACAATATGAAAGAAAAAATGACCAATCTACATTGATTGTGGCGATATAAAAAGATGTCGAGAATTTTTCATACTATTTACTATTGAAGAAACGAGTAAGAAAACAAGAACATCAAAAGTACAATTTTCTTAAAAATATTATTACAAAAAGTTGTTTTTGTGTACTCAAAAAGTGATTACACTAGAATCGGCTAGTGTGCCCGTCCGGCCGTTTACACGATAGCTTTCGAAAGGAGAGCCAGATCGTGATGAAATTTTCCACACAGTTCAATCTCATGAATATCTCGGTCGAGTTCGAAGATGAGAAGGATCCGTCAAGAAATGGCTGAGTTATCGAAAAAATTGTCATTTTTGGCCAGGTCATCCGTGAGGGGGAGTACAGGGATTTTTTTCAAAAAACAAATTTTTCTCAGAATTATTCACAACATATGGAAATCGACTCAGTTTTTAACGCTGATTCCGAATCTGATATTAGTTTTGAACTAAATCGCAGCTGTCTAACGAAACATCGCCTAAAATACGTCTCAAAATGCACAAAAACTGCATCCAGAAATCAAATTGCCTAGTTTCTCATGATAATTTTCGTGTTCAGACATTCTAGAATGACTCATATGTCCCATGCACTTTTTGCAGTACACATAACTCTCGGATGAAATCCGAGGTTTCCACATTTTTTAGCTTTGCACTTCGAATTTTCTGTTATTACTTTAGTAGTACGATAGCAAAGAATTATTACTGATGGTGTAAAAAGAGATTCATATTTATTATGAATTCTTCTGTAAGCTAGATTTTTATCATACTCATAGCCTTAGAAACTATTTTATACTTCAATACATCCATCAACTGTATTCTCTTTATTACTACTTATGATCATATCAAGAAAAGAAGAAAAATGATTCTACTATATAAAATGTGATACATGTGAACATTTGGTTGATCGATCGATTAGAATCAAATTCAGGAGACTATCAGCGATAAGAATTTCATAGTTGTAATTGATTTCCTGAATATTTCTTACACAATAACAAAGATGATTGAACGATATCACACATAATTACAATAGCATAAGCAAAGAGATGAATTAAGACAAAATGGAAAAAGTAAACTAACTTATAAGAATTAAACGAAAGTGAATGAAGTACGAATAAAAGTAGGTCAACGTACAAACATTATTAGAGAAAAAAATGTTTAGTTTTCAAATCAAATTGCCCTATTCAAAAAAATTCAAATAAACTTATTCTTATAAAACTAGCTGCATATTAGTTTAAGAATGCGGAAGGGACCAATCAATATTCATTCACAGCTTGCATAACATTTCGTTTTCTATCAGATGAGCTCCTTTCAAAATTGGGTGTAAACTTGCATTGATGTTCAAAGAGATAACAAATCTTGCTCTTGTCTTTATAAGCAATTAATATTACTGTGACCGTAACAAAAATAAATGATTTATTGACAAATGAAAAAGTAACAAAATATTAAATTGAATTTATTAGTAAGTTCTAAAAGTCTATATGTTAATCAGCACTCCACTCTAGTAGAAACCAAAAATGTCTTTGAATAAAGCACGATTCCGACCGAGTGACCAATCTATCCAAAAATTCCGCTACTAACTAACTGAGAGGTAATGTAGGATGTGGATACCGTTGTTGAAGTACCGTTGTTTATCACTAGAGTAAAAACAGAATGAATGGATTCTTCGACAATTAGAGTAACTTACCGCTCGTATTGATTGAAACCAATCCCGATATTGAAACGTCAATAAAAAATGGATCAACTAAAGAAACATCCAGAGAAATGGGCGAACCTAAAGTTTGATCCGTCACAGTTTCATATACGTATAAGTATGTGGAATTTTTAGCAATGAAAGAACTGCCAGTGTACAAATAAAAACTACTACTGAACAGTAAATATATGTCGCCCTTGCCCTCACTCACATCGATTAATGTTCCAAGCAATCAAGTTCTAATGTAAACTTGAATTTAAGTGCAATGTGAACACCGTTAGATCCTAAGCCAAGAGATCCACCACTAACAATCGTTATTAAATTGAAGTTAATGTTCAATTGGCCATTAAGACTGCTTGTTAATAATGCACACCCAGATGGAATATAGAGACCACATCCACCAACGAGTGAACATATATTAGCTGTTGGCACAATGTTACCAAGCCAACAAATAATAGTGCTGAATTTACCAGTCTGTCGTACAATGAATGTCACTTTTGAAAACGTTTTAATACCACCATCAAGTAAAATACCTAATGTAAACGAACCTGAGAAATTTGATCCAAATGTATAATTTGAACCAAGACTTGAGGTTGAAGGCATAGATGAATAAGTGAAAACTTTAGTATTTGCACCAATAAATGATGAACCAGGATAAAAATGTGAAAAACAAACCAGCGAGGCAATAAAATTGATCGGTACTTGTTTGATCCTGGAGTGTCCCACCTGATTGCAAGACTACAAATACGGCTATTGACAGTGTGAATATCGTTGTTGTTATTGTTTGTTGTGTACTCACTGTTACATTCGAGTCAATGATCGCTGGTGCTATAAAACAAAAATGTGTGCAAAAAATGTTGGAAAAAAACAAGAACTATTATTCATTACTGGTTGTACTTGTGAAGATATTGCCTGACAGCTAGATAGTAATGAAAAAAGGTTCATTGAGTGATGCATTTAAACTGAATGCTGCACTACCAATTGCACCAGATCCAGAATCAAAGACATGAAGGACAGTGACTATTGTGCTCACAATATTTCCAAAGCTAAACAAGTTGAAAGCGCTTCCTAGAGACAAATAGATATACCACCAGTGCCATCGGCTATGTCGGATAATGTTCCATGAGAATTGATCAGTATTTGGAACTTAAATTTAAAAATATTGTTACTATCAGGTGCGCCTAGTTGCAAAACAGCTCCAACAGCAATACTAATATCATTAAAATTCATATTCAACTCACTGTTAAGATCAACTGTCGATAGAATAAAACCTGCTGAAATACTCATACCACAACCACCTACCAATTCACATATAGCAGTTGTTGGAGCAACATTACCAAGACATGTTAAATCATCGATGAAATCACCTGATTGCGATACTATATATGTGACTTTATCGTATTTCTCGATTGAACCACCAGACAGTATACCACAAGTAAACGGGTCATTAAAATCTGAGCTTAGTTTCACGCTTCTAGTTTGATTAGCCGTTGTTTGGGCTGTGCTGATAGAATTCACAACTGTATCTTTACCAGCGAATGATCCCATAAGATAAATCGTCAATAATGCACCTTCAGCGCAATTAATAACGTTACCACTTGTGTGATCTTGAAGAAAACCACTGGCATGGACAATAACATTAGATCTATAGCCAAATGTAACGCTACTATAGGAAGACGAGTCCAAAAGTAAAGTACCATAGATGTCACATTTACGCATGTTAAGACCTATGAAAGCTTTTGAAATAGTAACCACAACACTACTTGTAATAATAATTGAACAGTTGCCGTATGGAACGATTTCATCTTCCCATGTTGACGGATCAATAAACTGCCCTGAATTAATTGCAATGAATTGACCAAGTGTCTTTGGTTTATCACCAAAGCCCTTGAGTTCTTCATAGTAATTAATTATTAGAGTAAAAGATAGTTATATACATAATCATTAATTACTTGTTGATGACACACCGACAAACGTGAATAATAATGAGATTGAATATTGAATTATTTTGTCTGCGCACAATTTGCCATGTAATATTAGAAATAGCTGTCGTCTTATTCAAAGCTTCAAATATACGTATCTTAACTGCACTACGACAATGTAAATTGAAACATATTTCCTAATATTTGAGTTTAAGCACTAAGAGAATTTTATTTAGAATGTCACGCTTGATACGACGGAAAAATCTAACAACCAATAGAAGAGACATATTTTACGAAATAAGTATAGATAAAATTTTTAATGCATATATCAAAAATACATACAGACTGCGTCATCGGCGTGCAAATGCCGTTTGAGTTTGTCCTCCTGTTACTTGAAATCCTTCATTTGTCAATTGCAAAGCTTGATTTATCTGTAAGGAATCGAATCAAAAGATTTTATCGATACAGAACTCCGAAATTCTTTCGATAACTACGATTCTTTGAATGCAAAGCAAACTTTAAGACAAAGAAAGAATCTTATATTAGTTTGGTTTATATCAATTTCAAGTTCCAACTCCGGCCTATCATCTACATGAGCGTACATATATTCTACTTAAGTCCCTACGATGGATTATTGTTTTCGTAAAAAAACAGACCAGTTATTCAAAAAGAACTAACACTTGATTTTCATGAAAGGCATAGAACTGTGCCAATATTTGACAAGAAAAGATATTGCGATATACGTCCTTCGAAGGGAACAGATTTTATCGTAGATTTACGCGTAATTAAAAATACGACGAAACTTGCAGGCAAACGTTGAAAGATCTTTACATAACAATAGCAAGGGATACTTCACAAATACCATATAGATATTACACAAATAATTGCCATTAAGATTGTGAGGCCATTTTCAGAATTTTTGATAAAACACTCTCTTTTTGTTTCAAATTGTTTTCGTTTACAGAACTTTTTATCATATGATTTATTTCTTAGAATACTTTAATGTACAAAAGTAGCTCTTTGATCTCAGACTACTTTCATAATGGTCAAGACAGTCAGAAATGATACTGTAAACTGTCGTTGAAAATTACTGGTTGCAATTAGCTGTAAATTGGCTTTTGGTATAGGTGCACTATCACGTCTGCATTTTATCTTGATTTTCAGAAAATCCATCATGCGCCTTGAATATTCTGAAAATCAAGTATTCTACCGTTTACAGTCATTTTATTGTATCCATCCAAGACGCAAAAAAAAGAAACATCGAAAGTGGCTATTTCTAAATATTCTAATTTGGCACAGAGAACAACAAAATTTCTTCAGAAGAATAATGAGAAAAATTGAATAGCCGAGTAAAATATTGACACTATTCTATGAATCATAGTGTAGAGTTGTAGCTAATGAATAACTTTGATAGCTTTAAAGATACAATCTTGTATTCATTTTAAAATTTATTGCACACGATAGAAAACATAGATATATAAAAGATTCTTAAAATTGGTTGCATCTATGTATCAAAGCTACAATTGTTCGAAAGCTTTCCTGATCATCGTCGCTGCTGTTCCATAGCGATCAGACTACGTCATAGAACAGACTGAGCTATTTTCACTTTCTTTATCTTGTAACAGCAGCATTAAAATGGACAAATTGTGATGTTGCTCACATATCAACAATGCAAAAAAATAAGTTCATCTTGGAACAGGACTATTGATGATCACTGCTGGAATAAACGGCAAGTATATCAAACCGTATTCTCATAGCTTACTCCAAATATCACGATATACATACTGATGATTATTTAATATTTTCGCCGATGGCATCAGAGATATCAATATGTGTGTCACGGTTTGTAATGGTTCAGTGAATTTCTTAACATTTTGGTTTTGATCGTCTGTAGATGATGAGATTCTTCCCAATATTTATAATAATTTCATCGTCAATAATGCTCTTATTCCTGAGGGGAACGATGTTAGCTTAGTATTTATTTGCTTCTAATATGGCGCATATATTCTAAGGAAGAGCTTAGTACCCATCCATCCTATTTTCTCGCTGAGTTTTCGTAAATCTGCTTCATAGTATTGTCATAGAAGAATTTGGCAACTATTAAGACATTTCTGTACAACATATGAAAATCTTCAAAACACATTTAAATCAGTTAACTTCGTTAACATCTACATAGAATTATCTCCAAAAATGTGTTTTTATCGGAAATAGACTATTTTCAGATATGATTTGTCAAATCAGTATTTCATAAGTTTTTTTGAAATTGATTGAACTAAAGTGAGTCATTTGAAAGGAATAGTCATGTGCTTTATAATTACAAGAAAAAATAATTGAAAAGTAAAGTTTATGGTCGAAGTGACCATTGAGTTAAACAATAACTAAAGAGATCTGACAAAAACAGCAAGATTATATTGAATTTTCGGGATCATTTTTGAATTGCTTTTTTCTGAGTCAGTTAATATCAATTGAAGCAATGTAAGGAATCATTTTAAGTATAAGTCAAATATATATCTTTATTTGTTATTCATTTCATGATAATCGTTAAAGAACCAAGACATAATAGGGATCCTCACATTTTCCTACACTCCAAAAAGTTTGTCTAAAATTAATGTGGACTATGTAAAGAAGAATTCACTCTTGTTATTTCATAGCCTTCTGTGCACTCGCTTCATATTTCTTATCTGATTGTTATAATGGAATCTTTTTTCAGAATGCTAAATAATTAAAATGTTAGTTTAGTTTCTGAATCATTCGAATATTTTCTGATAAATAATGCTTAAAAGCTGCTATATATATATATATATGTTACATAAATATTTATTCTTAAATATAAATGAAAGATAAAAATATCAAGAAATAAACATTTAAATACATACATATATTGACACAAAAGAAAACCAAGGAAATCTGACACAAAACTCAAAATAATATTAAGAAAATAAAACAATCACCGGGATAACATCACTGTTTATTTATTATTTAATGTTGAAATAGCATCGAGTGTTAGTTTAAATTCATCTAGAAATGCATCACTAAAATCAAATATAGCTAATCCAAATGAAATTCTAAAATTTCCCAACTGAGGAAATTCTAAATCGCAATATTCATGAGGATGTATCTCTTTATCAATAATACCAAATAATTGTGATATGCCTATCATTAATTGTTCTCGTGTCAAGCCAGATTCATTTTGTAATAAAACATAATCTAATGTTTGCATATTAAATGATGATAATGTTGTGTTTGGTTCAATATGCGTCGAATGTCCATTAGCTTCTAGTGAAAGTGAGAGAGCGGATGAAAGATTTGGTTTTTTGATACGTGATAAACGATGACGACGAGCAAATGTTGTGTCTAAGACAAAAAATGGTTCTTGTCTGCGTATATTTTGATTATCAGCTGATGAGTGATCAATAACAACAAAAGCACCAAGTTCAGGCAATAGGCAAGGTTCAAGTTTAAGAAGTCGTTTTCGTATCATTTGAGACAGAAGATACCACAAATGACGAAGATCATTGTCTACCAGATTCTCATCGGTACTGTTTTCATTAGCATATGCATTCGTTTGTTCATTTACGTTTAACGAAGATGACCTAGTTTCATCATCCATATTATTTTCTTGAGTTATCAATTGAAATAATGTATCATTGGTAAAACGACGTCGATATTTCGAAGAAAATATATCCGAAGCTAATGATGGCATAATCTAGAACAAGGCAAATTTAACTTTTCAACAATATAACCTTTGCTTTTTATTTTCTAATTTAATAACAACAAAAAACGTGTGTTCATTTTTCATGAATTAGCGATATGATGATGACTATGATCGAATGCTCGTTCAATTTGTTCTTGCTGTATATGACCGATGGTGGTCAATTCTTCTTGATCAATATCTGTTTCTAAATCAGGCATTATTGATATGGGTGCTGGATAAGCACGTGCAATAAGATCATCGGGTATAGCTTGTCGACATTCTTCAAATAATGATATAAGATTTTTCGATGATTGTGATAAAATTTGTGATGCTTTTGTGCATGTTTGACGAAATCGTTCAGCTTCCGATTCGACGAGATTTTTTGATGCATTCATCGATGGTACAAGTGGATTTTCAACAAATATTGGCCATTCTTTATCTTTACCAGCTTGAATCAACGATGATTTTGACATATTTTGACGTTCAAGTAAAGTTATAATAGACGATTGAAAATCAAACTTTTCATAAAATGAGAAAAATCCTTTGAGCAGAATAGCTACAATAAACAATGAAAATTGTATTGTTTAAAACTAGTTTTTGACATCTTCTATTTTCAATGATAGAATTCTTCTTAAAATATTAAAAAGACTTTCCTAAAATTGCAATCTAATGCTATTGATTGCTACTATATAAACTTTTTCTTTCACTAAATGACAAACATTATTGAATGATGTATATTTGCAATTTCCAATCACCATAAAAATACCTATTGTCTTCTTGTTGTTGTTGGGTTTTCGTGAAAATATACGAATCAATGATCTTGAACGATTAAGTATTTATCTCATCAAATCATAATTAGACGAGCATATCAGTATCCTCAATATGTTACAATAGTTTTACGCTTTACTTAGTTGTAGAAAAACGCAAAAGAATTTGATCATTTTCGAAAGCTTTCTCAGTTGGAGTAAGTGTAATAATCAGTTTCTTTTTACAGACTTTTGTCTCATTTAAAACTCGATTCATCAAATAAATTGTTTCAAAAGTATTAAAAGAAGAATTCTCACCAAGTGAGCTATTATTGGCTTTATTTGCTGGAATATGACGAATATTTTCAAGTTCATTCATAAGAATTACATCATCACTAAGATCACCTACGAATATAAAAGCAGAAATTCTAGTTGAAAACAAAACTTATATTCGTTAAATATAATTTTACCATTAGCTGCAATTCCATCTTGAAATGATGATGTTGCTGTTGTTGCTGTAGTATATTGTTCATTGATATAGTTCAGTTTAGGTAAAATTTCAATAGATTGAAGATAGAAAATAACAAGTAATGTCATTTGAAAATTTGAAAACCAAGGTCCCGGTGCGCTTTGTGTTATAGAAGCTTCACGTGCCCAACGTCGAATAGCAAAAACAATCGGTGCAACACGACTATCAGTTGAACTCAAACTCCATAGTAATTTTGACATATAATATGAAGATCTATTCATTTTAGAAGGTAAATAATTCATATATTCTTGTTCTATATGTTTATCTTACTTAAATTCACTCATTGATACATCACATTGAAGATCAGATAGCCGATGTTGAAATCGAACGATAGGTACACGTGCTGGAAGTATTATTTGTACGTTCGTACATTCGGCCATGAAATGTTTTAATGTATCGGCAAGAATCTGTAAAAATAATATCATTGTTGGTTTTTTTATTAAACGTAAGATTGATTGTTTGAAAGTTTTCTATTTAAAATTTATCCTCTCGATCATAGAATTGCATCTTATTTTACGGGAATTATTAGCTCAAAATTGAATATGAGTCCTTATCACGGAACTGTCAATTAGATTCAAAATTATATTGAATTTAAATGAGAAAAGTATCGAATCATCATTTTCTCTATAATTTATATGTTAAAAAAATTTACTTTAAGATAAGCTTGTGCTTGAAATCGATCATTCAAATAGCTGCGTTTTGTTAAAAAACGAAGTTGTTGCATTTTTCCATCAAATTTTATCTGTTGAAGGAAATTTTAATAAAAGTAAAAGTAAAAAGAAAAAATTCATACATTTTTATTTCGAAAATCTTCAAAAGATAATAACATATCAAGATCACAGCGAGATTTTCCAAACGTGTTTACAGATGAACCAAATGGAAGACAAACAGTATCAACAAAAATACTTCCCAATGCCTCTAGAGAAAAAGAAAAATTCTTATATTTAATTGCGACGAATTTTCTTATTTACCTTCGACAAGTGAAGCAACAAAATATCGTAAGCGAGTATCAACTTCAGTTAGTTTTGTTTTTTGCCAAAAGTAACGAATTTGATCACTAATTTCGATGAAATTAAATAAATATTTTTTTTTGTAAAATAATAAATTAGAATATCTTTCTTATTGCTTACCTTACGTTATGAATATCATTTAAAGCTTTATCTACGAGTAAATCGTCGGGCTGCTGAACTTCACGGCCAACAGGTGGATATTTCAATCGTGCACCTGTATATTGAGACTACAGAAAGAACAAGAGAAATTTCTCCTATAAAATAATTACATACTGCAAAATAAAGATTTCTTGATACACATGGCAAACGATTTTCATTCGTGAAATGACTGGTAATCTTTAGAAGATTTTTGACACTTTGTTCATTGGAAAACTCGAGCAAAGCACATTCCTAAACATTGAAATCGAAATAAATAACTTGCATGAATTGTGATTTATCATTTTATTATCATTCATTATACATGAAAAGTAGTCTCATTTACAGCAAGCAATGCGTGAGATATAATTTTATTTTGTAACTTATTTTTTAATAGATATTCTGTCCAGCACACGACTCACAGTTTTTCAAGCAATAACATTTCATTAAACAGCTTAATAAAATAGAGAAAGGAATTTTAAGAAAGTAAGAATTACATGTGAAAAAGAGACTTTTAACAAATATTTTTTCTGTACGTTTTCAGAAACATTCATCTGAAGCTTTTTTTTTCAAAATAAACGAGTATTACTTAGTAGTCCAAAGATTTTTAGTATGATTTTTCACTGAAGTTTCATGTTAACTAAACTAAATTGTAAAGTATTGTACTAGAAGTACAGACATATTATTCAGGATTGAAATAAACCATAATTAAATGCAATATTTTCAATGGAAAAGTATAACTTCGAGTTTTCATATAAGAAACTTGACAGTCTATGCTAATCATATTGATACAAAAGGGAGAATGATATTTTCACAATGTTGACGGCATTGTTGCATGCTTTTTTTCAAAAATTGCCAAATAGTGCATGGCTGAAAGAAAACGATGATGGTTTATAAAAATAATCTAAGCAATCATTCAGCTTGATTCAACTATTTCATCATGATTGAATTTTCAAATAATTTTGTTATTAAACAGGAATTCTATTGTAGACTAATTATATTGTCTTTGAATATTTCTTTGTTTTAATTGCTCAAACGTGTTCACATCTAGTGAGGTCTTTCAGTTAAAATCTAGATTGAAATCTATTCAGAAAAATCCCTATCAACTTTCTTTATGTATGATTTGTACTTATTCATATGCTTCAAGTAAATCGAAGTTACAAAAAACGTTCTTCAGACAAAGCTGATAGAGTGAAATCAAAAAAATATGATAAATGCTTTTGTAATCTGATGACTCAAGATGAATTATTAACTAACCCTTTTATTAGTTGTATACAGTGTCATATTTGTAATTGAGCCGATTCGTGAGCACAATTTGTATAACTCCGATTCGGAATGACTGCGACCGAGCTAAAAATATTTAGTTTTTAAAAACGATTGAAAAAAGTTTTTATTAGCAAGTCACATGTATCAGGAGTGTTCGTCTTGCTTGTTGACGTCGAAAATCAATCATTGCATCAAATGTTTGAGTGACTACACCGGCTAAAATTTTGAAAATAACATCATGTATCTTTCTTTCGATAATCAATTAATACATTTTCTCGGTGATACTATCGAGTTTGAAGATGTCGATGGACGGTTCGATGATGAATATCGCTGAATAACAAATGCATAATACCATCCAGTCAACATGAAAGATCGAGGAAACGATGAAGAGTGAGATAACGAAATCAATGATAACATTTTCACTAAAATTGCAACTGATAAAGTTTACTTTTCCGTTAATATATAGAATGCCGATGAGAAGGAGAAAGTAAAATCGATTGGATTCTATGAGTGGCCACAATCACTGATCAATTTCAACGAATTACTTTCATGACAGATGACACTAGTTTTAAAGTCTTGAAAAAATTTTGTCAATTGATTTATTCAATTCGGTTAACAAATTCATGAAAATTTCTTTGAAATAAATTGCAACAAATTTTTTAAATCTCTAATTATACTTTTGTGGATGTTGCTGAGTAATATACCTTTCATAAACTAGTTCGATGGCATTGAACGCCAATCCATGACGTGACCCATTGTCTTACTTTAGTAACTGAACAAGAGATACGAAGTAAATAGTTAACTTCGTTTAATTGAATATGAAAAGTTTACTGATTTCAACAAGTCAACAGGAAAAATTAATACAAAATGAAACTGAACGTCGACGAACACTTCGTCTTCTTCAAGTTAGTTGAGATTCTTCAATTTATAGAAGTATTTCATTCATTTATTTTAGACACGTCAAATTGAAAAGCAACGTGCCGCTCAACTTCGTCAAACAATTGCTGATGAAAAGAAAAAACAAACTTACGTACTAGTGAATCACTTGAAAGTAAAGATTATATTTTAATAAAAGTGTTTTATTTAAGAATTTTTCATTATAGAACGAATGGGTACAGCAGAAAAATGATTTACATGATAATCTTGAATATCAATTTCGTGAAAATCTTATGGAAATGGGAAAAGGTCATAAAGAAGCAGCGGATCAAGTAAATTCTTGAGTATTTCTTGAATTGATTACCTATACTTTGTTCATCGTCCATTAGCCTGACTACGAACATGAATGGTTAACAAAAACATTAGATAATGATGCTCGAGCTGTAGAACGTGGACAACAAGCACTTGATAAACTTCATGTTGATATGATGCAAAATGAAAATGAACGAAATCTTCATATTCTTCATCGGTTTATTTTGATTGATTTAAATTAATACAATTTTTTCTTTAATTCTTAACTATATAGGAAAGCAGCACTTGAATTGGAAAAAGTACGAGCACAACAGGTTGCCAAATTACCTCCACCTGAAGATCCTCTGCGTGATCTTCAAATGAAACCAAGTAAGTCTTCATTCTTTTTCTTCATATATTCTTACTTGATACTATTAAGAAACTCATTTTAAGTGAAGATAAAGTTTATGTTGTTTCTTTTCTTCATTGCTATTAACATTTTCAGAAAATAAAATAGATTTAATATTCCCAGATACTTAATAATACATCAATCTGGAAGTTTTGGAAAAATATCTTATTGATATCTCAGTAACATTAGAAAGCAAATTGATGGTATCCCATTCATATTCGTTTTGTGACTATAATTTTTAGCGTATCATGCATTAAATATATAAACCACATCTTTTGTTGATTATGATCAACATTAACAACTCCTTCTTTTTGTAAATTGTTTTCTTATAATCATAGATACTATTCATTTTCATGTCAACGATTTCACAATGTTTCCTTCTCATTCAGTAGTGATGAGAATACTAAAGTTAATTATAAATTCAACGGACTTCTCGATTGAAATATTCATACAAACGCTATACTTAAGAACATTCTTCGCTGAAAGAAAATCTATTCATACGTCACATTAATTTAATATGAGCCAATGTATTTTATTTTATACTTTTATAATTCAAAAAAAAGTTAGCGTAGAAAATATCTAACGATTGCGATATATTTAGCGACAATTGTTACTGTTCATGATCCATATAATTTTACAACAACAAGATATCATCTTGAGGAACGTCTTGTAACAAAAGAAGATGATCAAGAAGTAAAGAAAATAAGAATTTTATGTTTGATTAAAAGATACGAAAAAAAAAATCTCTTGGAATTTTGAAGGGTGATGCAGCACAAGATGCTATTATTGAACAAGAACGTGTTGATGCATATGTTTCGGATAAACAACGTTTATGGAATGAACAACAAGAAAAAGCTCGAGTTCGCGGTGATAATGCACTTAAACGTGAAGTTCTTGACAGTGTAAATTAATTATTCTTTGATTATTCATGAAACAAAATGAAGTAATTTTCTTTTAATTTTAGGCTTATGATAATGTACTCGATGAATTGGGTAAACTGGAAAGACAAGATCGAGATCGTCGTCAAAAAGAAATACAAAATTTACCAGTAAATAAAATTTCAACCATTTGATCGCAGTAAAAATAAAAATTCATTCTTTTTCAGAAAAGTATCTTTATACCACCATGGCGTCGTGAGGAAGAACGTCAAGAAAGACAACGACAAATGGAAACAGCATTTGAACAAGCTTATCAAGATACACATCGAAAACGTTCGTTTAAAAGAAGAAATAAATCAGAGGAACTAGTAGCGTTACTTTTTATTTTTACTTGTATAGAACCAATTCCTATTGTTCTTATGAATGAAGGCGAAATTCCCGAAGATGAAGAAGAAGAAGATGCTGCCAGTGATCGAACACTTGTTGCACAAAATGAAGAAGAAAATCCATCTCCTGAATATCGTATGACAACAGTAACTCCATCAGCAAATACAGTACCAGTAGCTGATGAAATTCATGAAGATGACGAAGCAACACTTGCAGATCCAACTATAATGACATTACAAACACCATTGCCCGAACAACAACTTACTAAACAGCAACAACAGCAAAATATGCGTCGTTTAATGGAAAAAATTGAACGACAACGAGCAGCTGCACAAAATCGAGCCAATCAACAAGCTGCACTGGTTACACCAACAATCAAAACACCTAAACGTCTTATTGTTAGTCCTGGTTATATTGACAGTAGTGAATCAATTAATTCATCAGTAACGCAACAAGATATTATTCGCCAAGAACAATCATCGTCATCATCAAATACTACAACAGCTGAAATTGAAGAGCGACGAACAGAATTAGAGTTCGTTTTCTTCTATGTTTTATTTCTAGTTCAAATTTTATTTCTATCACTTTAGATCTCGGAAAAAAGCTCTTGAAGAACAAATACGCATATTATCTGAAAGAGCAAGTTTACTTCCACAAAAGTCAACTTGTCCGATGGTATCATCATCATCGGATCTTTCTATTGAAAGCTTACTTAAAAATTTACGTACAACAAGTAATACAGCTAGTATACCATCAACAACATCATCGATATATGCCGGAAAACAACATGAAGATGATCATGAGCAATTCATGCAAGCTGTTCAAGCTATTGTTACTTCAGATGAATCTCAATTACAATCATCATCATCTGGCATTGCTATTGAAGATGATGAAAGATCGCATGGAACAATGTCGGATGATACTCATAAAGGAAAATTTTTATTCGACAAATATGAAAGTCATTCATCAGAAGATCGAGATCATTCATTAGAAGACCTTATTTCACGTCTTGTTGCTACACAACAACAATCGAACCATAAACAATATCAAAGTAAATATTTTATGCAAACAAATAGATTAATTTTTAGAAAGAATATTTAAGAAAACAAGGTATTGCACATTGCTTAGAATATTTTTCATTTCAAATCAATTCTCATCTTACTTAATATTGAATTCAATAGTTTTCTCTCTAGGATATTAACAGTGATACTTAGATCCTTAAAAATATTTTAATTCAACGATTAGACTTTCTTTTCGATCACTTACAGAGATCATACTCTCTGAAACACACATAGACAAATGAAAATATCATCGTAGACAAAACTACTTTTTAATAGCGGGATACAATAAAAACTTGAAAATAATTCTAAAATTAATATACAAACTGGATAGACGTAATATGAAAACGCATCAAGAATAATTTCCAGATTATCATGACTGTAAAATGTTTTATGAAAGAATAGTTTATTATTATTTGCCTATTGTAATGAAAGTGTATCACTAATTGAGTTTAATTACACAGCTAAACATCTAGTTTAATTCTAGTAATATCTACTTTCTAGAGAAGCTTTATCACGGGAGATCGTAAAACATCACATCAGATTATTGAAAATGATGTATAAATCTTTTCCCGATGATTTAGTGGCAACAAAATAAGTCATTTCATTGTTTTTATCTAATTAATAGAAATAATATACATTGATATGTAAAGACAGGCAGCGCATAAGATTTTAAGAGATTGATTCTTAATTTTATTGAGCACTGCATTTTAACTATTCGTGAAGAGTTTGTTCAGTTTCTCACATATTTTAATCTTATGGTGGCATTTAAGATTTTCTATTATTTGAACTAACATTCAACACATATTCTCTAGAAACACGAACTTTACGTCTTGATATGATGCGATAAATGCAGATTGAGAGAATTCGTTTTTTTAAAGTTTATAGAATTATGACTAACTAGTTTGAGAATGATAAATTGCATTAATCGTTATATTCTTAAAACTGTAGAATTTCCAGACAATAAACACGATTATTTTCTTGACAAAAAAATCAGCATTCGTATGCGAACTTATCCTAGAAAACGTGTTGTTTTCAAATGTATAGAACTCGATCCAATAGAAAACATAATCGAAAAGTATAAGTTCTGATTGTTTTATATCTATGGATCTACATACTACTATGAAACTATTATTAAAATATTTTAGATGCGCCTTTGAGTGAAACGAAATTATCAAATAATCAATCAACAAGTCCTTCTTTAATCATTGATGATCTTGTTGATGACGCTTTATCATCAATATCGTCATTATCAGGACGTACACCTGTTGATCCACGATCAGCATCGCCTGAAATTGCTCAATTACTTCTATTAAATCGAAATACCGATTCATCTCAAGAATTTACTACGAATACAAATGATGAGCATCATTTCTATGAAGAGAAACGTTTAATTGAACAAGAACTAGAATTAATTCGACGTGAACGCGAAAGTCTTCTTCATGAACATGAAAAATATCGACAACAAACATCGTAAGTATTCTTCAGTCAAAGTTAAAATTTATTAATGTTCTCTGTTCTGGTAGAGGATCGTCAATGAAACAACAGATTCCAGCTCAACCTCCTCCACCGCCATCTCTTCTTCGAACAAAATTAAATATTGTTAGTAGAAACGAAGTGCACGAATTAAGTACCATACAAGAAGTCGATACACCTGCTAGTTCAAGAAACACATCATTATTTCATCATCGTAGTCCACTGAAATCTTCATTTGATCTTCAACAATTAGAACGAATATCATCTGCTGATTCATCATCGTCATCGGTATCTGAACATAATAACATAGCTCCATCCCAAATACCATCAATATCTGTTATACAACAGCAACAGTTAATATCGAATACTGGTTTAGAACGAGATGATTCAGGTATATCACTTATTGATGGTCCACGTTCATCGGCAACATCTCGAACAACACTTGCTGGTGGTAATGGTGGTGGTGGAAAAAGTTCAAGTAGTGGAATTCAAAGTTTATTAACAACACGTCAACCACGTGTACGAACAATAACAAATGAAACAACAACAACAACAACATCGACAAGTGCAAATTTACCTGTTGTTATAACAACACCAAGATCAAATACTGAATCTGATGATCAATCAATATCAAGTGTATCGAAAAAATGGCGTGATATACTTGCTAATGAATGTTTACCACAATTACCACAGTCATCTGTACAATTCATGAATCCAAATAGAAATGATTTGCCACAATTGACCCATTCGCTAGGTTTTGGTTCATCCACTGTTGAAGGTTCGTATTTTATTTTGTTTTCATATTTGTTTTATTTTGTTTTGTATTCGATTTGAATAGAAAATTTTCCAACAACAACAACCGCATCATCAAATAATCCAAATGATATGTTTTCATCATCACAAGCTTTTCCAACGCAAGAACAGATTCTTCGTTCTCAATATGATAATGAACAATGTGATTTAATGTCATTAATTAAAGTTCATGAATATTTAACTAAACAACAACATCCATCATCGACAATAACAGCTATGGAACAATTAGCTGCGTCTTCACCATCAACAACAACACCAATACATCATCAATCACATTCAACATTAACATCAGTTACATATCGTTCGTCACTTGCTAAACAAGTACTGACGAGTAGTGGTCCACCTATATCAACACCATCACATACGTCATTTTCATCTTCAGAAATTCCAATACATCAAATTGTTCAAGATGGAAATGAACGTCGCAATAGTCTATTGAGTGATATACATCATTTGACACGTTCACCAAATACATTTGAAACATCGATAACATCAAGTTCATCATCAAATTCAAATAAACATCAAGATACATTATCATATTTAATTGAACAAAATCAACGTGCTATGCAAAGGCTTATATCAAATCATGATGAAAATCTCATTGGTGGTGATTCAACAACATTTTATTCGTCTGCATCAATGCGTGTAGCTGATTATGAAAGTGGACCATTAACAGCAGTTACAATGGCAACGCCGAATGAAAAAATACAACAAAAAACTACATTAATTGAAACAGGTTCAATATCAACATTAGATTTCCCATCAGCTATTTTACTTGCTGAAGAACAAATATCATTTGAACCATCAAAACTTGATTGTAAAGTAAGATAAAAAAATGAATTCTTTTACAATTGGTTTTCTTTTATCTAAAAATAAAACAACTTTTATCTAGATTGACTCAGAAGATCGTGGTATTCTCGATGAACCATCATTAACTCTACTTTCAAATAGTTATCGTTCATTAACAACAACAACAACAGGTCAACATCCAACTGCAGTGATTGTTCAGTCAACATCACAAAAGAAAAAACAATGTTCATCACCACTATCAAATTATGATGACAAGACAAGTGCTTGTTCAACACCTTCATTGTCACCAATTAAAAATGAACCATTAATCATGATTCATTCAGTTAATCGATCTGAAATATCAACGCCATTACTTTCATCGAAGCCACCTATGTGTCAAAGTTCACCATTTATTCCACTTTCATCCAAAAATTCCTCGATTCAAAATTCATTAGAAAAGCCAAGCAATGAAACAAGTAGTGATGATACGTCTCTATTGTCATTTGAACGACACGAATTAAGTGCAGGAAATGCAACATTAATGACAAATAATGGTGATATTGATGAACTTAAATTAAGTGAAAACCTTTCACTTAATCATTCTGTTACAACTGTTCATGCTGTTTCAACAAACAAAAGTAAAACTACTGCAGATTGGTCATACTTTGTAACAGTCGGACAAGAATTCTTAAAAGAAACTCAAAAATCATCATTATCATCGTCATCATCTTCGTCATCAAGTAGTAGTGATCCAGGTGATTCTCACTCACGAGAACATATAGGTGGTGTTGAGTATTTTATTAATGGAGAACAACAAAATGCATCTACTCGTAAGTTTGACGTTATTTTCCTTTCTATAGAATTCTCTTTTGTCTGGTTTTTTTTCTAATTAGCACAACTTGTTCAATTACCTTCACTTCAATCAGCTTTACAAGCACGTCGTGCTGATTTTGTTACAACAAGTCAAAAACGTGTCGATGAAATCAAAGCGAAAGATTATACGAAAATAACTACTTCATCTGTTCCAGTTCCATCTCGATTACTGACCCAAAGAGCATCACTAACAACAACAGCAACAATAACATCAACAAACTCATCAAAGAACATTGTTGAAACTGATTCTGAAGAACGACAAAGACGTACACGTGAATCAAAAGAACGTTCAAAACGTTTATATGATCAATTGGCTGAAGTTCAGCAAAAGAAAAAAATTCATGAAACAAAACAACAGGCACACACTTATCGGGCACGTATGAATGCTTTTCAAGCAGCATTGGATAAAAAAAAGACAAATAATATTAATAATAATAAATAATAATAATTATCATCACAGTGATACGTCTGATATATATATTTATCTTTAGTATGTAGTATTTCTTTTTTCATTTCTCTTTTGTCAATATCGTCTGTTTCGTGTGATATTATTGGTAGATAGATTTGTGTGTGTTTGTGCGTGTGTCTTGTCTTTAAAAAGAGAAAACCAAACAATAAAATAAACTAATCAAAACAAACAAAATGTGTTGGTCGTATATATTTTATGTCTTCATTCTATTCTCTTTCTTTGCTCATATAATCATTTAATTATTCGTAAGGATAATTATTTTTCCCTGGATAATGTTTTCGACGTCTATGATCTATCATTAATATTAATTTTTCTTTTTCTTTTTGCTGGGTTATTCATTTCATTATTTTTATAATGAAATCGTTGCTTATGTTGAGCTTTCGATGCTGTTACTGATGGAGGTGTGGGTAGTCGTATTAATTTTGAACAATTATTAAAGCGAATATTTTGAGATGATATAGATCGACAAAATAACATATCAAATAGTTCATATCGACCATGTTTACCACTTACAATCGAAACAAATACATTAAATGCATAATTAGATAATTCCAAACTTTTGAGTAAATGTGAAGCAAAATGTGTTAAAAAACAGTTCGGAGGTTTTTGATAAAAATTCAAATAAAATTGAAGAAGATATCTAAAATATTCCAAAAAAATAATCAATTAAAGAATTAGAAAACATCTAGTTTCTTTTTCTGATGTACCGAGGTGAAACTGTTAGTAGTAGAATGCATGACGAAAAAAATATCATCGGTGTAACTCGTCGATGTTGACCATGACGAATAAGTAATGTTGAAGTTAATTTTGATGATTGTTTCCACATTTTATGGACGCTAGCAAACAGAATTATATTTGCCGTTAGAAGTAATACAAATGGAATGACAATACGAAATATAACTATTATTAACAAATAAATACGCTTTGTATTTGGACTAAATAATGAGTATTGTTTAGAATACGATTGATTTGATGTTGACGATTGTTCATAGTGACATACTATTGTATGGCTAAGTTCTCGATATACTCTAAATTGATAAAAAAATTATCTATGTATAATCAAAATATGCATCTTTGGAAAACAGTTGGATAATAGTAAATAATTATCTAAGAAGCTTTCAGAAATTGAAATTTTCTTTTTTTTATGTTAATCTGACAAGTCATCATGTTTAATATTTAGTATTAAGCACATATTCTTATCACGAACCTAATTATTCTAAAAACTTGGTGTATTTAAAAACATAAACTGTATTTTATCAGTCAAATTAAAATTAAGTCGAAAAATGATTAAGAAAAATAATAAATGAAAAATTGAATTCTTAAATAAAAACCTAGCCGACAGCTAAGAATTTTATGGATACAATTTCCATGTAAAACAAAAATTGTAAAAAGTCTAATTATAATTGATTTTTTATGCGAGTAGAAATCTCTTTTAATGGCACTATTATAATCGGATTTTAACCAAATTTTTCAGCCTTAAAAGGCAGATTATTTTTTATCTTGATTTTATTTTAATCAATTTTAATTGATTACCTGCAAAACTATTATAGTCGATTAAAATCAAATCAAAATCAAAATCAAAAATAATCTACCGTCTAAGGTTGAAAAATCTGATTAAAATAGTGCCATTATAATAGATTTTTAATCTGATTATTAATTCAATTTTTTTTTATATGGGTTAAGCTAACTCGCAGCCAATTGAAAATAGATGAACTGAAATTCTAGACAAACTACTAGAGTTTCCATTTCATATGTTGTCTTTTCTCAACATCACGATTTACCTTTTGTAGTCGAACTTTGATTAAATTGCACTAATAGTTTTTATTTTAGATTTACACGAGAATAAGTCCGAAAAGGAATTTGAAAAAACTGAAATTCTTGGCAGAAGCTCAATTGAATTAAAGTATATAATAGATTTAGTATAGATCACTATTTTTTCTTGAAATGAAATTTTAGCACTCAAAAAAATCATAATTCCGAAAAATAATAGTTTATGGCTATCTACACAAAACAAAATAAAACTGAATATTCATTCCCAAGACTTGACGATCTTGAACGATAATTATCATAGTTTTATTTTATTAAATAATTTTTATATGGCATTAACCTTTATTAATGAAGCCATTTTTCTTTTAGAGAGAAATTGATTTGTTCTAACCTTTTTACATAGAAACCGGGCTGTAAAACCAATGAATTAGCAGCACATGATGCAAAAATGACACAAATCATGACTATAAAAGTACGTTTTCTTCTTGTCTCTTTAAATGTTTGTAATGGCTTATATATAACTAAACATCGTTCAACTGTTAATAACACGGTAAGCCATACACTAATTGAACTGGCAACTGATTCCGTAAATATTTGTGTTGGGCATTCAAATGAATAAAAATTTAACTTAAATATTTTGAAATCAAGTACGAAAAATAGACACCAAACAGCAAGACGTAAAAGATCAAAAACAGCAATCGCTGAAAAATAGTATGAATAAGCAGAACGACGAAAATTAAGCGATGTAGCGAAATAATATAGTGCTATTGGATTAAATGTAAGGCCAAATATAAATAATGCAATAGCTGGTATCAAATATCCATATAAATAAACTGACTCAGTCAATGGTATACACCAATTATTGTTTGTCATTTGAAGAAATGGCAATGATGCGTTGACTGCAGCTAATTGATTCATCTTATGAAGACAAACAAAACACGTCTCAAAATAGAAATATGAAAAGCACTGGTGAATTTCCTTTCTGCTTTATTCTATATAAACATTGAACAATAAATGCTCTTGATTTTTGTTTCGCGAACAGTCACAGGTCAAAATGTCTTATCATTTTTATGTAAAAATAAATAGCGATGGAAAAGAGTAGAATATTTAAAGGACAAAATCATTAACTCTCTTTATTCATAGCGCATGATAAAACAGCTTTTAGTTCAATTGATGATTCGATAGCTGCGCAAAAGTAAACTAAAAGATGACTCTGCATATATTGTGAGACTACAATTAGACTGATAAACTATTTATTAAAACATATGGTCAAGCAAAATACTATTCGTCGAGCAATATTATATTATATTGTTTCTCATGACTATATTTTGTTGATAAAACTGACATTTGCAAAAAATCTAAGAAACATACCTTAATTATGACAAAAAACATTACATAAGCCTATCGATATGATTCATCAGAATACTTCTTATGTTATCTCAGTTTTGCTTAATGTTATATATAAAAAGGCAAAGTAGGTGGGCTGCTGTGAGAGATGTTAATCTTTTTCTTTTTTGCTTACAAAGATTTGTGCTTAGTTATTTCCAAGTATTATCTATGCGTGAACAAAGTATAATGGAAATAGAAGTAAAAAGAAATATAAACAGGTAGAAGAAAATGACGCTTCCTAAGTTTTCTTTTCAAACATTCAATTTTGTCTATACCCTTCCCTCGATCTCATCTTCACGTGTTTGTATATACTCAATGTCAGACGACTCAATGAATACAGAATTTCGCACATAAAAACGACAAATTAAATAGTTTGACGATGCCAATATATTGTATGACTAACTAAAAAAGATTTTCTGACACATTCAGAGATTTGAAAGCATCTAAATAGTCTATGATCAAAAGTAAAAATGTTCAGCAAATAACTAGTATTCATCGGACGAAGCTTTAGAAGAAGAAAAAATCTGGTGAAACCTTATTAAAGCATCCATGATATGCAAGATTTGTATGATCTAAGTTTATCTCATGAATAGTATTATCGATCATCATGATTATCGAAACTAATATTTTACTACTCAAAAATTCAAAACAATCAACAAATTTTAAATAGAACACAACAATTATTGCTATTATTTAAAGCTATAAAAAACATATTCCGTAATGTATGTATCAAATTTGACTAAAAAAAGCTAACTGGAAAAAAAAAACATCAGAGATAATTCAAAAGTCAATATTAAAATCACTAAAATATAAATTTAATGCCATATAAATGGTATATATGACGGATAAAAAAATACAATACTGTAAAAAGTGTATCTTATTTTACTCAACTGTTACGTCATCTTAGTGAGAAAAATCTATGGAAAATATTATTGATGATTCTAGAAAAATAATAATAAAGCAGTCACGAAAAAATGCATGAGTAAAAGGCACAAAAACTATATGGTTAAAAGATAATCAAATTTTGAAATTGGATCTTGCTAAAAATATATCGCCTAACTATAAACTAACTGTACAAAACGAGTAGGGCGTCAAAGAATTCAGACGAAGTCATTTAAAATTTCTCTAGTCTATTTTATAAAGACTTCTTTGCTCTTTTCTCCATAAGTTAAGGTTTGTAAGAAGATTGTAAGTAAGAAGCATGCTGCATAGACATTTATTATTAATAAAAAATGAAAAAAAAACTAAGCCTAAGAGAAAGTCAGAAATTACTCAAAGACGACAACGCAGAGGGACTAAACAGGAAGAATAATTACAAGAAAACTGAAGCATGGATAAGTACACATGATATAGATGCATCATGACAATGTTTGAATAAAAAAGATTTATAATATTAAAAAAGATAAAATGATTTCCATTTTTTTACATTGTTTTTTGACACAATTTGTCAAATTTACAATTTCTAAATGAAGTAATACTTGTCAGTGTGAGATTGACGACTGGAAGGATATTTTTTTATTCCATCCGAAGAAAATTATATGCAGATTTCAAATGCTTAAAATTTTCAGTAAGAATATGCGGAGGTAAAATATTTCCAGGTGAATACATGCTTTTTTAATGAACAATCCCTAAAATATCTTTTTTGTTAAATATAGAATTGCAGTAGCATAACCACGAACAATCTAAAATATACACAAATAAAATATTAAACAAATGATAAAAACAGAAAATAATAACTATACCAAGTGAGCAATAAGGATTGTGATAGTTGGTACTGTGAGAATATCTCAGCACATATAAGTCGTAGAATCCTAATCCGTTTTTTGAAAGATGCACCACAAAATTCACTTCACAAATGATAATGAGAAATCTTTTCAAGAAGATTTTAATAAGGTTAAGAATCAAGCATTCGCTGATAGTCAAATGTCCCATTGTTCTTAAAGAGAGAGAAATGAAACTAACAATGGTTATTTTGCCTAATGTGTCTTAAGAAATTGTTACCATTTTGTCAGCAAATATAAGTACTTAGGTTACTGGACCACACCAAAACTTTGGTTCGGTTGTATGATAAAACATAGTATGACGAAAATAAGACAGAGAATTTGTATGATTAATTCGGTTCGATTAGGTGGGTCTACCTCTACTGATTTGAGAGAAGCGCTATTTCTATCCTATGTCCCTCCCTTATTCACGTCGATATACCCACATCTCTCCTATTCACAACACATCAACAACAACAGCTAAACCGTTTCTACTACATATGTATACGCGGAATTTTTTACTGTCAGCGCTGGTCGGATAACTTTCACAGGTCGAGTAATCCCAGATTCTGATCCTGTCGGATCCTACCGTGAGCCCCAAATAATCCAATACTTTCCGATAGAAATCCGACATGTTCCGACAGGATACTGTCGAAACTTGTGGGACTCCTTAGTACAAAATTTCGACAGGAAGTTGCTGGGTGTTGGATCCGGCAATCGGAACATTTAGGAAACAACAAGATCCAACAGGTTTTTCTTATTCGAATTATCAATCCCAGTATTGTTCTTAGGATCAGTCTTTGAGTAGAGAGATTTTTATTTCTCAAATTATAAATCAAAAACTAGTATGATGCTAAAAATGTGACTGTTTTCTTCACCGCTTGTGATTCATTTGCTTTTATTCATTTAGAACATCTGTTCATTTTCACAAAAAATAACACAGAAAACAAGAAAAATTAAATACAAAATAAAAATATAAAACATTGAACGAGAAATTTTCACATAAACATATAGCTACTTAGAATAAAAAAGGCAAATGCATCGTTGCCACATATACGTATATTCAAAGAAGCGCAATTAAAAGGATAAATTGTGATCTGGAAATGATGATTGCGATGGGAGATTTTGTTGATTGTCTCTTGCGTTCATCTGATAAAAAATCAGCTGATTTCGGTCGAACCAATTTGTTGTAAAAATCGCCATAGTAATGTTCAATAATAAAATATTTATCACGCATATAACTTCTAAAAAAATCAGATTTGATAAAATGAAAATCTTGAGAAATTTCCGTAAGTAAGATATGCAAGTAATAAAAAAAACAATAAATATCTCACATAATCAAATCTCATTTAAGAATTCTACTAGTAACAGCAGCAATGCAGTATTTCTCTACTTCGAGATTTTTCGAAAATAAAAAGTAAGTTAGTTTCTAAATCAGTTTCATAAATACTTTTAACTGTCATTTTGAAATTGTTAATTGTTCAGTCTGCGAATTCTGAATTTCAGAAAGACACTAATTGCGTGCTGTATTGTGATCTAATAAAGAAGGAAAACTTGTTAGGGCTTCTCTCGAGTTTAGTTTCAGGATTTTTGAGAAAAGAAATGAAAAATACGTACCATGAAAATTTTCAAATCTTACGATGTTTAATATAGTAAGGTGCATATGCAAATATAACTTTGTAGAATTCGATTCAACCGTGATCTTGAAAAATAAAAATAAAATTTTCCTGAGTTAAGAATCCTGCCTTAAATGTTTTTTTTTGAAGCACAAATGAAATCCAACTTTTTAATGATGAAATTGTCGAAAACAAAATTCTTTTTTTTGCATATTGTTATTCATGAAAATCTGCCTTTTTACCACACTAATTAATGACTTTGATTTTTAATAAAAATCATACAAATAACTTAATAAAAAACTATTCATTTTTATCGTTCAATTACCGAAATACCATTTCTTAATATTTCAGTAATTGAGCAATTTTTAATTAAAGAAGCAAGAAAATTTCCGTAGCTCTAAACGTAAGCGAATTTCATTTTCGATATTCATCTTAAACTAGCATATAACAATAAAACGTATTGGATTCTGGCGGATCCAGTAATTTCCTAGCTATCGGATCACAATGGGTCCTGTTGACGGAATCCTGGAGTGAGTATTCGATTGTCGGAAATAAATGGATTAAATAGGATTCCTACTGTCGGATCCGACCGGCCGCCGATAGTCGGATATTGTCGGATGTTTTTAAGGTACCAATAGGATCCTATTTGACAGTTTCGACCTGAGTAGTCTCCTTTGTTCTGAACGAAATAAGTTTAGATGACAGGTGCTCGAAATACTGGAACAGGTATTCCTCAACGTTATCTAGCACGAGAGATGGAGAGTTAATGTTCCGTCAGATGAATTTTAATGTCTTCAGAGAAGCTTCGATGTCTAAAGAAAATAGTATAGCTGGAGTCTTTAGATCGAAGAGATATGTTGAACATAGGCCTGTGCTAGAGGAAATTGTGAACTGGTGCGCAAGTATAGCCTTGAACGAATCTATTCTACACTATAACATAGAGGAAGTGATGATCCTGGCGGAGTTTCCAGAAACTTTTGACGCTAGCATATAAATTTCGGTTTAAGCTAGCTGTTCGTTTCTTCTTTCTTCTTTCTTTCTCGTTCTTCCTCTTTCTCCTCTTGCTTTTTATTTCATTTGGCTACGCAATTGCACGGATACGGAGACATGTATCATTATTATTGTTAGAATTTTTTTCTCTCTCTCTCTATGT